CGGGTTGGGGAGTAACATAGGCCAGGTGGCGTTAGTCTACCACTTCCGGTTTCGGAGTTATGACCCCCGAGCGAAGCCGGTCTGTTCGAGGTTGGCGGCTACATTAGGTCTGCCCCGAGTCTGAAATTTGGGGTATAGGGGTAGCTCGGACCGGGGAGTAACATAGACCAGGTGGCGTTAGTCTACCACTTCCGGTTTTGGAGTTATGACCCCCGAGCGAAGCCGCGGGTATCTGTTTGTCTGTCTGTTCGGGGTTGGCGGCTACACTAGGTCTGCCCCGAGTCTGAAATTTGGGGTATCGGGGTACCTCGGACCGGGGAGTAACGTAGGCCAGGTGGCGTTAGTCTACCACTTCCGGTTTCGGAGTTATGACCCCCGAGCGAAGCCGGACTGTTCGGGGTTGGCGGCTACACTAGGTCTGCCCGAGTCTGTTTGTCCCGAAATGACGTAGTTTGTGTCGAGAGGACGTTAAACTCCATTGCTTTACTCTAAACCAAGATATTTGCGATTTAATTTTAGGCTAGTCATTACTTTAACGTTGGTGTGATAATAAACAAAGTGTCGATTATCCAATTTTACGTTAAATTATCCATCACAAAATGTATTCAAATCCAGTAAATATTGCAGGTTAACGATGGCATCGAGGGATGACTATAGTCTGGATAAGTTAATTATTGTCTAATTTTAGATAGCATTTCAGGCCAAAAGGTAGATCTGCAATATGCAGAACTATCTCTTGCATAATGCATATTTAACAAAATGAAATGGGGTTTAACGTCCTACTGTTCTGCTCCTATACCGGGCTAATGAAGACGGGCATACGCCATAAAGTGTGCTATGAGGGAAATTTTGCCCGGGCAGCGGCACTATCGCCTACTCTTATATCGAATTCCAACTGCCAGGGGATCTTTTACGTGCATTCCAATATATACACGGGACCTCGGTTTTTCGTCTCATCCGAAGGACTAGACAGCTGTCATTGTCAGGCCCTCCGTTCTGCACCACTGACAAGGGGAAACCACGTCGGACATATTAACAAAGTATATAAATTCAAAAATGGAAATCGTTGTCAGTAATATAATCATCTTCATCTCAAAAAACAATCAACTGAAATTTCAAGTCAATCGAATCATACTGTCGAGAGAGAGAACCCCGTATGGGCAATGACACCCGTCGATACATTAACTTTCAGATTTATTGTATATGGCATAATTATTGCACGAAGCCCGTTTTAAAAATAATAATATTTCGATTATTCGCTTGCGCAGCCGGATCTATGGCAGTCGGAGAATATCCACGAGATTAAGCTGATGTCTGCACTCTATTTTCACGTACAAGCTTTGGGACGAACTCGCGCCATTTGTATCAATAACATCTAAGGATGTATAGGATAGACTATCCCCAAATTTCTCCCTTTGGAAACAAGTCAGTAATTAGCACATCCTTGATACGGCACCCAGGTATATAAGAATCTATTTGGCCGTCTTCTCTAGTTCAACACTATCTCCAGTCTGAAATTTGGGGTATAGGGGTAGCTCGGACCGGGGAGTAACATAGGCCAGGTGGCGTTAGTCTACCACTTCCGATTTCGGAGTTATGACCCCCGAGCGAATCCGGTTATCCTGCTAGTAATAGATAAAACAAACCAACGGTGAGGCTGATGTCCCCCGCCGAAATCCCAAAATAATAGATGACACAATTAATTAATTAATAGCAGATTTATTTTTTTCCAAAGTATCAAGCAATCAAACTGATTATCAACTATACACTAAGTTTCATCACTGTCTATCAGATAGAATCAATGTTATCGTGTCTCAACGCATCGACCAATGAAATGGCTTAGCTTTAGCTCGAAATGTTAATCATTGAACTCAGTCAAGACATTCAACTAATAAACATCTACATCAAGTTTATACATTCTACCTCATTTCAAAGCAGAATTGTTATATTCCAAAGTCTTGACCAATCAAATTGCTTATCGCTCATTAGTCTAAGCAAAAATTCTCATCATCGAACTTAGTCAAGGTAATGATATAATGAATCTATACTCGGAGTTTCATCACTTTCACTTCATTAAATCTAAAGTTTATCGTGCCCAAAAGCATCAACCAATCATCAAATTGCTTATCTCTGCTTACCGTAAGCGGACAATGTTCATCATCGAACCCCATCAACGCCTACACCAAGTGTGAACATTCTAGCTCAATTAGAAGGACAGTTATTGTGTTCCAAAGTCTAGACCAATCAAATTGCTTATCGTTCTGCTTACCCTCAGCAGAAAATGCTCATTATCGAACTTAGTCAAGGCATTGATGTAATGAAATTATACACAAAGTTTCACCAAGTTATCGCCATAAAACGTGTTGGACGATTGACATGGTAATAAGAAAAGCCGCCCAGCTAACGGCAAAGTTAGCTTTTACATAACGTTCAAACTGGAAAGTTACATTAACAGCGAGTGAGTGATTGTTCTAGAAATGAAATGTTATCCTAGAATGCTGTATGAATGTGAATATCGGTAATTTATATCAATTTGAATTAAAGGAATTAAATAGACACAAAGAAAAAAATAAACACCCACAATATATTTTACAATAATTGGTTATGCGAATGTTGGCATTGCAACCCAGAAAACATAATTAACCATGGTTTACAAGGAGACGTGTATGACAATTTGAAATCATAAAAAGTTGATCCTATTTTGCGATTTTAAGTTTAGTTTTGACGAAACCTTACAGGCACTATTACGGAGCACAATTTCAATATTTGATATGGTAAGTTAGTCATATCTTAGAGATACCTTCCCACATACAAATTGTGAGATTTGATGATATATTTGGACGAAAACATGCAATATTATTAATCTATCCAAAGTTAGCTTCAAATCCCTCTCAAAACATATTAATCGCCAGAAGACTACCCCGTGCCGCAAGAATCAATTTCAAGCAGTCTTGTGTGTCACATGATTTGATTGAGGGAGAATCAATTTTTAGCTTGTATTTGTCGTAGTTGTTGTTACCATAAATATCGAAGCCCAAGTAAACTCTTTGATTATAATCGGCCAACTTTCTTTTCTGTCGTTTAATCGCCGAATTGGACGTTTTATTCTCTCAATGTTCCCACAACTGCTAGCCATTAGATCAACACATACGATGTGCTCCGTATAATTCCATGCGTCGATGACATGAAGATGGGGGCAAACCACAAGTTTCCATGTATGGCTATAGCATGGCCAGAACCCACCCAAATACCGGGTATGGGTGAGAAGAAATCTGAAAAACAAAAGAATCAATCACGGCTTTATGACCTTGAGAAGAAACATGGATTGCTTTAAAAACCATTAGTAGCTCATGGGTAGAAAAAGTAACATTGAACAAAAATCGTTGAAAATCTTCCATAAAGGTAATCAACTAATGTAGAATCTAAGTTTATTTGCTTTATACATGTAGTTGATAATTTTTTGTTACTTGCAGGAATTGGCACAAAGAGCCACATTTTTGAACGAGTGTGGTATGTGACCTTTTCCCGAAGTGTACAATATAGCTGCTTATGAATGGACACTCCAGGCTTTAAAGATGGGTTCCCGCGTACAAACTCGGTGATTTAATGGTGTATATGGACCAAAAACATATTCAAACTAATTAATTTGTCATAATTATGCTTCAAATCCGTCCCAAACATTGTAATTGCGAAGGAAAGCCCTGCTATTAAAATTCGATCAAACCAGGTCATGTTTACGTCATGTCTTGGGAGTCAGAGGAGAATTCATTGCATACATAAGACGATGTTGTCTTTAATCGCTTACTATTTATTACAAATATCGAATCCTAATTAAATTCTCGGATTATCCACTACCCGCGTCTTTTTCCGTCATTTTTATCTCAAAGCATTGTACGTTTAAATCTTCATAATGTTTATCTACTTGTACATCAAGTGCTCAATGTTCGCTTGTGACCTTTGACATCACGCGTGCAGAAGTTCTTAATCGTCGGGCTGTTGATTAGGGGAACCCTTACATTTTTGTCCTGTATACGCTCCATGAGTGTTTTTCGGGGAATCCAGTATTTTTCTAGTAAGATTGGATATCTCTACTTTCCATATATACCAAAATTGCCATACTTTTATTGGAAATAACCACCCGATAAATACTATTCTGGGAATCCATCTTTAAATAAATCAACATATTACATACTATTAAGTTGAGGAATTTTCACCAAATTACCATATTTTAAAAGATAGGTTGCCAGGCAACGAAACATACGCCCACAACAACAAGAGTTGTTGCATATTTTTACTTTTTTCGGTAATGAAACATTTATAATACACTAAAATCTGATTAAGAGCAACAACTCATGAAGTAATTTCAGAAAACCATTAGAATTTATTTGTTTTTGTATACAAAACTTTTAATATCATGGATTTAGCTTTTCAAGACATAAAAATTCATTGAAAATCAATATACTTGTTCGTCTCAAGATCTTAAACTCTGTATCAATCTGTAGTCAATCGGATGATAATTTTAGCCTTTAGAGCATCACAAAGGGATCAAGGGCCATAACTTTGGCAGTAATTAATGGAAATCGTTGAAAATCAATAGGCTTCCTCATCTCATGACCGTAAACACTGTGTATAAATTTAGGTCAATCGGATATTAACTTTGGCCTCTAGAGCGTCCACTAGATTTTTAAAAGTGATCTAGGGCCATAACTCTGGCAATAATTATCAGAAATCGCTGAAAATCCACTAGAGCGTCCACTAGATTTTTAAAAGTGATCTAGGGCCATAACTCTGGCAATAATTATCAGAAATCGCTGAAAATCAATAGGCTTCTTCGTCTCAAGACCTTAAACACTGTGTATAAATTTAAAGTCAATCAGATATTAACTTTGGCCTCTAGAACGTCCACAACCAATTGTGGACACCGGAGTACCGACAGACGGACGGGGGCGACGACAATATACGACTATATTTTAATGAGGGCGTATAAAAAACCAAAACAATTATATCCTTATAATCCCTTTATTATACATAGAATGTACAGTAGTTATTGACTACAGTTTATAAAATATGTGTTTCTTCAGCAATTACAGGTTCCATTGTAGAATTTATTCTGAACCGATCCTATAATTCATAGTAACATACCTAATACATTCATCGCAAGAAAATTCTGGTATTTTTTTTTTAAAGGGAAGGTTATATATTTTGGATTACAACTGCCCAGTATTTATATCTTCCACTTGATTATATAAACACAGTATGTATCTTTTTCAATAATTGGACAAACCTATAGTTCAGTCAGAATTTGAATGTAAATGGCCACCGGATATTACGTCATAAAAACACATATCTTAGAAATAAGGAGAAACAGACATTTAACAGAAGATATTGCAGAATTAATAAATAAATTACTGATTATAAAATAAGCTAATCAATAATGAATATAAATAATATTGTCAGCACTAAAAATTATTTAACAGCACTAAAAATTATTTAACAATCTAGAAAACATAAAGTGAATGGAAAGTTTGTAATCTCCCTAAACCAAGTTCTGTTAAAGAGACAATTATTAAACTGTTAATTACAAATGGTAAATATAGTAATGTGAAAATAAGTCATTATAATTGAGTAACTATAATAAAATGAAACAAACCAACAGTGAGGCTGATGTCCCCCACCAAAATAAATAGATGACACATATTAATTAATTGTACATTTATCTTTTTGAAAAGTATCGAACAATCAAACTGATTATCTATACTTAGTCTAAGCAGAAAATGTTCAGATCAAACTCAGTCAAGGTTTTGAAGTATCTGGTAGTGAAAGTTTACACCCAGTCTCATCACTTTTCATCAGTTAGAATCAAAGTTATCTTCTTCCAAAGGAGCATCGATCAATGACATAGCTTAGCTCTGCTTATTTAGAGAAAAATGTTAATCATTGAACTCGTCAAGACATTCACCTATTGAACATCTACACCATGTTTAGAGAGAGAGTGAGAAATGAAATGAAATGAAATGTGGTTTTATGGCACCTCAGCTCCAGAGAGAGAGAGAGAGAGAGAGAGAGGAGGTTTAAATTCCACTCCACATATTCGGGACTAACATGTTTCAATTTTGTTTCAATAATTTGCTTGCACGTAGGGGTCTTTAGAAGTGGGGGGAAACCGGAGGACCCGAAGAAAACCCACGAGGTTGGACAGGCGATCCTACTCCTTGTCTCGAACAACCGGGGAATGAAAACCAGGCTAACCATTCAGCCATCCCTTCCCCACACCAAGTTTAAACATTCTACCTCAATTAAAAGCAGAGTTGTTGTCTTCCAAAGTCTTGACCAATCAAATTGTTTGTCGCTACTTAGCCTAAACAGAAAATTCTCATCATTGAATTTAGTCAATGTAGTGATGTAATGAATCTATATTCTGAGCTTCATCACTCTCATCCAATTAGAATCAAAGTTATCGTGTCCCAAAGCATCAACCAATCAAATTGCTTATCTCTGCTTAGCCTAAGCAGAAAATGCTCATCTTCAAACTCCATTAAGGCATTCATCAACTAAACACCTACACCAAGTTTAAACATTCTAGCTCAATTAGAAGGAGAGTCATCGTGTCCCAAAAAGTGTAATGACAGACAGGCGGACAGAAAGAGCGACGGACAGACATAACCATTTTAACAGTCCCCTGCTTTCTTTGAAAGGCGGGAGACTACAAATTCTTTAATTGAATGTGGTGATAATATATTTATTTATATTACTCTGCTCTGCTGATCATAAAATCAACAAAGATAGGATGCCAGGCAACGAAACATACACCCACAGCAGCTAACAAGAGATGTCACATATTTTTACTTTTGTCGGTAATGAAACATTTATAATACACTAAAATCTGATTAAGAGTAACAACTCATTAAGTAATTATCAGAAAATCATTAGTATTTGTTTGGCAAATGCTAAAGTTTAGTATACAAAACATTTAATATTAAAGTGGTCAAAGGCCATAACTCTGGCAGTAATTATCAGAAATCGGTGAAAATCAATAGGCTTCATCGTCTGATGACCTTAAACACTTTGTATAAATTTAATATCAATTGGACATTAACTTTAGCCTCTAGAGCATCCACAAGATTATTCAAAGAGATCACGGGCTATAACTCTTGCAGTAATTATCGGAAATTGGTGAAAATTAATAAGCTTCTTCGTCTCATGACCTTAAACACTGTATAAATTTAAAGTCAATCGGATATTAACTTTAGCCTCTAGTGCGTCCACAATTCCGCGTGCGTCGATAATATACAACCACATTTCAATGTGGGCGTATAAATAAAAAAGTTTAACTACATGTTGACAAAATCTCTTTTAAACAGAAGTGTGGATCTATTTTACTCCGTTGATTCACATACAAAATTTTATGCTCTTAGATTCAACTAAACTAAAAGCAAGAAAAGTTTTACATGAAACAATATGCAGTCGGTTCACCAACACTTTTGAAAATAAAAATGTCTGTCAATTTAATGGAAAGTTTTTCAATAACCGTCATTAATAGATGAACATATAACAAAATAATAGAACTAAACAAGCCAACAGTGAGGCTGATGTCCCCCGCCGAAATAGGAAAATAATTAGAGGACACATATAAATTTATCACAAATTATCTTTTACAAAGTATTGAACAATCAAACAGTATATCTTTACTTATAGTCTAACAATCAAAGTAGGAGAGTTATTGTTTTCCAAAGTCTCGACCAATCAAATTGCGTATCGCTCTGCTTACCCTGAGCAGAAAATGCTCATTATCAAACTTAGTCAAGGTATTACTGTAATGAAACTATACACCAAGTTTCATCAATCTCACTTAATTAGAACTAAAGTTATCGTGTCCCAAAGCATCAACCAATCAAATTGCTTATCTCTGCTTACCCTAAGCGGAAAATGCTCATCTTCGAACTCCATCAAGGCATTGACCTAATCAACACATACACCAAGTTTGAACATTCTAGCTCAATTAGGAAGAGAGTTATCGTGCCCCAAAGTATCAACCAATCAAATTGCTTATCTCTGCTTACCCTAAGCGGAAAATGCTCATCTTCGAACTCCATCAAGGCATTGACCTAATAAACACATACACCAAGTTTGAACATTCTAGCTCAATTAAAAGTTATCGTGTCCCAAAGCATCAACCAATCAAATTGCTTATCTCTGCTTACCCTAAGCGGAAAATGCTCATCTTCGAACTCCATCAAGGCATTGACCTAATCAACACATACACCAAGTTTGAACATTCTAGCCCAATTAGGAAGAGAGTTATCGTGTCCCAAAGCATCAACCAATCAAATTGCTTATCTCTGCTTACCCTAAGCGGAAAATGCTAAAATGCTCATCTTCGAACTCCATCAAGGCATTGACCTAATAAACACATACACCAAGTTTGAACATTCTAGCTCAATTAAAAGTTATCGTGTCCCAAAGCATCAACCAATCAAATTGCTTATCTCTGCTTACCCTAAGCGGAAAATGCTCATCTTCGAACTCCATCAAGGCATTGACCTAATCAACACATACACCAAGTTTGAACATTCTAGCCCAATTAGGAAGAGAGTTATCGTGTCCCAAAGCATCAACCAATCAAATTGCTTATCTCTGCTTACCCTAAGCGGAAAATGCTCATCTTCGAACTCCATCAAGGCATTGACCTAATAAACACATACACCAAGTTTGAACATTCTAGCTCAATTAGGAAGAGAGTTATTGTGTCCCAAAAAGTGTGACGGACAGACAGACGGACAGACAGACAGACGAACCCATTTTAATAGTCCCCTGCTTTCTTCGAAAGGCGGGGGACAATTATATGAACAATGGAAAATGGAAAACATCAAATAACTATAAATCACTAGTTTGAGCAAGGCAAAATTATAATAAGAATTTGTTAATATTACCGGGATATGTTTTACCTTTTATTTAAATCATCATACCAACATAATAGTATCTAATCTGATCATTTTAGTCAACAAATTTCCAAACACAAGCATAAAACACAGATCATATACAAGGTATGCTTTAAAAATTATTTGAAAACAATGAGTCTAGAATATTCTTAGTTTCAAATAATAAATGTTCAATTAAATAGGAAAAGCTTCTTATTTATACATGTATAAATTAAGTTAATAGTATCTTTAATTAGTTCTTGTATTATCAAATTACACACATAAAACATTTAAACATTTATACAGAAAGTAACAGAAAATAAACAAGCCAACACTGAGGTTATGTACAGAACAACAATCCAAAAATAGATGACAGTTACTAATTACTTGCACATTCATCATTTTATAAATGCTCATAATCGAACTCAGTCAATGTCCTGATGCAATGAAACACCAAGTTGTATTACCTCTGTTAACTTCAGCAACTAATGAATAGTCAAGAAATTCACCTAATGGACATCTACATAAAGTTTGAACATTCTACTGCTAACAGAAGCAGAATTATGGTTCCCAATGGTGCAATGGAATGACATAAGGACAAACCCATTTAATAGCACACTTCTCTGCGTAGCTTGGGAGAGTTAAATAGAAGCAGGAAATACTCCACTAAACAAAATCATAAATGACTAGTTAATTATTAACATGTTATTATCAACATAATGTATATGACTATATAAATGCACAAAACAATAATGACTACTTTCGATTTGCTTGTAATTCTGTCATGGAAATAAAATATTTTCACTTGTTGATTTCTCTACTTTTCGAAACTACCCATTAACACAATTTTGACACGGAATCTATCAAAAGCCTGTTAAAGAACTTTAATGCAAAAGTACAACAAAAATTGTCAGCAAAGTGATATAAATATGACTAGAGGTAAAAATGTGCAATGAAATAATGATTCTTAAGTATGAAAAGATATGTTGCCAGGCAACGAAACATACACCCACAGCAGCTAAGTCGTCCGAGCAGTCAACAAGAGTTGCCTGTAATGAAACATTTATAATACACTACAATCTGATTAAGATTAACAACTCATTAAGTAATTTTCAGAAAATCAGTAGAATTTGTTTGGTTTCTATAAAGTTCTGCCCCGTGCTAATGTTTAGTATACGAAACATTTAATAACTCTGTGTATCAATCTAAAGTCAATCTGATGACAACTTTAGCCTCTAAAGCGTCCACAAAATTTTTCAAAGTGATCAAGGACCATAATTCTGGCAGTAATTATTGGAAATTAGTGAAAATCAATAGGCTTCTTCGTCTAATGACCTGAAACACTGTGTAGAAATCTAAAGTCAATCGGATATTAAAACTTTAGCCTCTAGAGAGTCTACAAGATTTTTCAAAGTGATCAAGGGCCATAACTCTGGCAGTAAAGATCGGAAATCGGATAAAATCAATAGGCTTCTTCTTCTCATGACCTTAAACACTGTGTATTTGATATTCACATAAGATGATATACAATAATTAATAGAATACAATATCAAAAAACGGTTGTTTTATCCAACGTTTCGTTCGTAAAAATACTAAATTTTTCAGGGATGAAGAACTAAACACAAAATATTAGTATTTTTATTGACGAAACACTGGATAAAACGCTGTTTTTTTGATATTGTGTTCTATTAATTATTGTATATCACATTTCAATGTGGGCGTATAAAAATGAATTTCATGAAATATGCGAAGACCACAATGAAACAATTTTTGTTATCAAAAATAATCACAAGCTAGAGATGTTTATTATCTTAATCTATAGGTGGCAGCACCTAGTGACCTACAACAATCTAATATAGCTGTTGAATATGTATACTTGTAATATTCAAATAATACATCTTCTAATGTGGGACATTATCTTCAACGTAATAATATTCTACTAGTAATAAGATAAGTATCACTAATAATAATAATTGGATAATAAAAAAATCATTAACATAAATAACTCATATAACTATAACAAATAATTTGCATAATTAAATAAGAAAACAGACTGAAGTAATCAGTGTAACTTACTACTAGATTTCAACCCAATGCCAGTCATTAGCCAATTGTACTCAAAATTAATAACATTAAATATGAATATTAAAGTTCAGAAAAATAATGAAAATGAAATAGGATTTTAATTATGATGTCAATAATTTAAAAAATAATTTTACACACAATTAAAAATCAAATTACATGGTAGGGTGAAACATAAAATAAAGCACAAAAAAAAAAAAAAATATCATTTTGTATGATCAGCCTTAGAATGTTTTCTTAATTTGAGCTTAATGAATATCATAAGCATTTCATGCATTAATAATTTCAACAAATTAGAATAGCTTAAAGACAAATAAATAATTGTCTATTGATGATAAGACAGAAGTAGAAAATATAAATGAAATAACTACATGAAAATTCTACAAAATGGACAAGCCAACAGTGAGGCTAAAGTCTTCTGCCTCGAAGCCAAAATAAATAGATGACACTCATTAATTACTTGCACATTTATCTTTTTATAAAGTATGGTGTGATCTACTTATTTACTACTTGAAGCAGAAAATGCTGCTTATCAAACTTATTAAAGGTAATGACGTAATGAAACTGTACACCAAATTTTATCACTTCTCCACAATTAGAAATAGCCAGTCAAATATCTATGAACCTTGTTTGAATATTTTACTTAAATTAGAAGCAGAGTTTTTGAGTTCCAAAAGGTTTGACAGACAGCTGCTTGGCCAAGCAGAAAAAAGGTCATCACCGAACTCAGTCAAGATATTCACCTTACAAAAATCTACACCAAATTTTGAACATTGTACCGGTAACTCAATTAGAAGCAGAAACAGACATACGGACAGACAGACACACTAACCCATTTCGAAAGGCAGGACACAACAATATGAAACATAGTAAAAGAAGTTCATGAAAAAAATAGCCCAACCTCCTTTATCAAAACTCATATTATCAAGTAAAACCGGAGTCTATCAGAATTCCTATATTTATCAAGATGTTTTCTCAGTAACTGTGATATTTATTAAAGATAAAATTACCTACACAATAACAGTATTATTCCAAATGACATTTAGATGATCATTCCATCATCTTTATCAAATAAAAGGTACGGAATTTTCAAAATAGTCCTGGGATTTAAATGTATGCCTATCTGATAATCAATTATAATTTAACAACTGTCAGGACTTATTTATAACGTGCCATATATTATGCATACCCTTATCACATGTTAATCTTGAATCCATTTGATATTTTTTATAAAAATGTTTCTTGTAACATATTTAATTAATGCATGTAGGAATAATCATATAAAAACATTACACTAAAAGAGTTTTCTAAAATTGCTTAACCAACAATTTCTATTTTATGGCTTTTGAATTGTGCTGGTTATTTTGAAATACCGAACAAACTTGAAAACAAGACTGAGGATAAGGTTCCACACATTGCGAGCTATCTGGGACCGGGCAATTAGAACTCTCCAGAACACCACAGCAATACATGTATTAAACATGTATCGAATGTTTCTCAGTCTGAAAATAAGAACACATCTTTATTACATTCAAAATAATAAACACTGAAATATAATTCTTTATATATCCTTGTCTATAACTGAATACTATATATCAGGCTTTACCCACTACTAGCTGTTCGAGCACATACATAATTTTTACATTTCACTGGAACCTAACAATGCCAGTGAAAGTTCTATTTATAGTTGCCAATCCTACACATGAATAATGACTTATATCCATTATAGCTATTTTAGAAAAAGATGGTGTGATGTAACACGAACATGTTCTGGGCAACTTTCAGTGGTACAAATGCTGGTATAGGCCACACGATTGACGAACCATTTTAATCAACTGTTTTTGTTTAGAAATAGAAATTTTAGCAAACGCATTATAGGCCTGTACCAGAATCTGTACCACTGGGAGTTGCCCGGATGAATTTCCTATGATCGCTATATTCTAAAAAGTAATCAAGTACAATAACTCTAAATGTAATAAAGAGCAATAACTCTACATGTAATCAAGAGCAGTGACCCTAGGGGGATGCTCGAATTGACAGAATTGCAATCGAGTGACACGAGTGACACGTAATCAAACACAACAAATGCGTTTCGGCTGCATGGTTGGTTGAGATATATACTTATCCAGTCGATGCATGCATTGTAGCCCCAAATACCCCTTTTCACTCGATTCTCACTATTTTTGGGATTGAGATAATCCAATTCCGGAACTTTCAATCGAGTACCGCCTAGATGTAATCAAGAACAATAAAGAGAAATTAATGAAATTCGATAGGATTCTTCGAATCAATAACTGACCAATTGCTGATAAATTTAAAGCATTCATAAAATTCTTCAAAGAAATCAAGGGCAAGAACTCTATATATAATCAACTGAAATTGTTGACATTTGATAGGAGTCTTGGTCCCACAAGAAAAGTAGAAAAGCTCAAGAACTCTGTAAGCTATTTTCAAAAATTGCTGAAACATCTCTTTATTGTAGAAATAACATACAAATGTTAAGTCTGTAGAAGGATCTACATGGACAGGAACAAAATAAAATTAAGCCAAAATGTACTGATCTGAATCAAGATTGATGCATAAAATAGATGCACAAATCTGAATTTTGATTGCATTCCCCCTTGTGAACAGAACTGCATATTTAAAAGAAAAAATCTACACTATTCTTTCCTGCAAAGCTTTTACAAGGTTGCTGAGGCTAGGGCAATAATAATCAGCAACAATCCCAGAAAACTTTCTGAGAAAGGGGCCCACAATTCTGATAGGTAGAGTGTTTACATGTTCGCAAGGTTTCAGTGATAGAGGAAATGCATAAAATTAATTATTAAATAGACTGACTGGGTTAACAACTGACTGAAAATCTAGTGTTACATAATGTTAGTTATAAATGAAATGAAAACGGGTTTAAGAGTCTATGATTCTGTATTTAATATATCTTACTTTTTAAGATGTGCTCTAGCAGCAGGTAATCCGGATTCATCTTCATTTAAAACATAATGTTTGGCTCCATAACAAAAGTCTTCTATATAAGTTGGCCAATGTATTTGTCGAGGATCAAAGAAGAACATCTACAATAAAACAAACAGATATGGTATTTCTGTTACTTTTCAAACAAAAATATGATTAAAATGCATTCTTTCTTTTTTCAAACTCCTTTTTTGAATTTTCAAGGGAAATTCTTATGTTTTATGTTAAAAGAGCTAAATCGCTAATATTTGGAACCTTGAAATTGACACAAATGGGTCGCAACGCATATAATATTGTAATATGATGTATATAAACTGATTTAAACTCAATCGTTTCAGTTTTTACTTAATCAGTTATGTTCGGCGAAATACACCAAAAGTCTCAATCGAATGGCAATCTCTAGCATCTGGTTATTCCATTTTTTTATCAATAGTATTAATTGTGCATGCTCTCGAGATAAGAATATGGCGTCACCGTTTGACATGACTTGTGGAATACGTCTGGCCTTGTTCTTCGAGTCCCTTGTTACAATTGACGCTGAAATGCATTATGGTACACGATTTGTGTGCCAATGATAAAAAAGTTTATTTTGTCTTAAACATTGGATATCAAAAGCCCATCTTTTCCCGGTAAGATCACAGCATCAATGTTGATTTAAATTGACAAATATTCGAGTTTTCAATGTCGAAGACTTTGGATGATACAGAGTTAATTTGTAGCTTTTTTAGACATACAATTCATTTAAAAATAAAAGACATCTATGACACAAAGTACTGACAAGAGTTCAGAAGACCATTATTTGACAAGTACTAAGTTTTAAACTGTATCACTGTACAGCACAATGGATGCTTATGGCTGGAACCTGGATTGATTCACTTGATCTGATATATACGTTTGTTGTTCATTGTTTGAAATCTCTGTGTATATTGTGTCTTGTTCGTGGGTTTGTCTTGTGTAATTGTTTATTTGTTGTGCGGTCCCCCTTTACTTAGTGTTTACTTACTATTAAACAATATTAAATATCAAATGAAATGTAGCAATATATTTCAATATGTGTATTAAATCTATTAAGCATCAAATTATTAAAAAGATATTTACCTTTCTGTCCACTTCTGATAGCCGACTTTTTAATAAATCATGGTTACCATTTGTCCATTCCCACGAATGAGATGTAAAATAGGACAAACTTTCCATAGAACGATGTAATTTGTTATAAACTTTTACCATCCTGAAAGATTTATAAATATATATACAAATAAAACAATTCAAGCTATTAATTACATTAGATTTAAGTGTAAAATAAACACATATAATGAATGGAGAGAGAGAGAGAGGGGGAGAGAGAGAGAGAGGGGGAGAGAGAGAGAGAGAGAGATTTAACCCCAAATTACATAAACTAGGTCATTTCAGGACCAACACATGGTACAATTTCATATAATTAATTTGCTTTCTCAAAGAAACCAGAGAACCCAGAGAAAACCCTACTCCTTGGCACCTACAAGCTACCTGGGGACCGAAACAATGCCACTTAACTCCATGAGAGACCTTTTTCTAAACCACACATTTCAGATGACTCAACTACTTCCCCCCCCCCCCCCCAACCTAAAAGTGTAGAGTAGAACTACAGTATGGTATATTCATTTAGATTATTCCAATCCTGGATTTCCTCGGATATTGTATTTATTTGAATAATTAAAATTCTACCTTGGTTTCCTTCCAATCAACCTATAACCAACGTCTGCCACATATGCCGGTAACATGTGACTAACAAACACCCAATAGTCATGCATCATTCTGAAACAGATATCAAAGTAACAATCATGTTCATATTTTCACGAATTCTAGTTCCCGCGACACGAATCTGAGATTGTTTAGAACAGTGGTTTTCAAAAGTCACCTGTCTATGAACAATAAACAAGTGATTATTGCTCTTTCTCAAAATTTCAAAACATTCTATTTCTGGTTATTTTACATAGCTTTATAGAATATTCATTTTATAGTATAACCTTTATAAACTATATATAATGTTGTATTTTTTTTTCAGCCGTACCAGACCCTGAAATATGTATCCTCTTAAATCACAGTTAACGAATCCCACAGATTGTTTGGGTTTTTTAAATTCAAGATGAACTATGTCACAAATAAAAATCTGAACATAAAGATAACTCTTGGAAAGTTAAGATCTCAAAATTTTGAAATTAAATATAGTTCTTCCTTATGCCCACAAAACAATCTCACCAAGTTTTAAAATAACATGTTTTAAACTCTTCTTGTTCTGCATCATATTAAAAAGTTTAAAAGATAACTCTACAAAAAACATTCACAATTTCATAATGTTCTTCCTTATATCCTAATGAGCAATCCCATCAGGTTTTAAAACATTTTGTCAAGAAAATTCCCATGTATCACATTATTCACAAGCTTTCATAAATTTGAAGAAAGGGGCAGATAACTCTGCAAATTGTAAAATTCAACGACTAAATAAACAATCAATGGTAATTTGATAAAAGTAAGAGAATTTTACAAGAAATTGTGGATATACAATGGATGATTTAACATTTAAAGAATTGGATGAACTAAACAAATCTTATTATGTCAAAACTTACTCATTGCAAGTAAAAGAAGTGTTTGGTCTTCTAAAACATGCATCCAGTGGAGTTTTCTTGAAGAAATCCATGACTTTTTCCTCTGCAAAATATAAGAATTCTGTTTGTAAGTGAGTAAGCTAAGGTGGTAATTTGATTTCTAAACTAATGAACCGGCAAAGCCTTTTTATTCAATTGTTTCTGTAGTAGGTTTATGAGCTTTGGAAGTCAATAAGTAAACATAGTAACTATTTGGTTTACAAATGAAATATTCTCAATATCAAGAGGTCTGTCTTGAAACCAATTAAAGTCATTATTAAGAGGTGTTTTGTGCATAATGTTCCAAAGCCTAGGATCTAGAACAGGAGATGACTAAAAAAGATATTCAGTCAAAAAAGTTAAAAATTCTGATTGCAAGTGGTCCCTCTTTTCTTATAATAAGTTATAATAAAGAGAATAAAGAGTGTAAATTTTATAGATATATACTGTACTTACGTAAATCACCCCATGTAATTGGATTAACAGCACCTGTAGTACAGTTATATACTAAAGTTTGTTTAGGTTTAAAACAAGCTGTATACCAGGCTACTGTGATCATCATATTAACTGGTATATCTACGGGTATTATATCAGCTACAGCTTTGAAATCACCCTTCATAGAGCGTAATAATCCTTTACCAGCCTACCAATATAATAATTAATACACATTTAAAGTTATAATTTTACATAAAAATTTGAACTATTTTCTACTTGTTCAAGTTACTTGGAAATTTGATCATTTTTCAATGGAAATGTAAGTCTACATAATGGTTGATCCAAACCTAACCCTCCCTTGTATTGAGGTCCAACATGATACTTTCAAGTCAACGTTTTACTTTCAACACGAAAATGATATATTTGTTAATTTCTCAACTGACACTAGTGAATTGAAATGAAATGAAATGAAATGGGGTTTAACGTCCTACTGTTCTGCTCCTAACCTGGGCTAATGAAGACGGGCATACGCCATACAGTGTGCTATGAGGGAAATTTTGCCCGGACAGCGGCACTACGGCCTACTCTTATATCGAATTCCAACTGCCAAGGGATCTTTTACGTGCACGCCAATGTGTACACGGGACCTCGGTTTTTCGTCCCATCCAAACGACTAGACAGCTTTCCTTGTCAGCCCCTCCGTCCTGCATCACTGACAAGGGAGAACCACGCCGGAAAATCTGGATGAACTTTCTCGGCCAATGCAGGGATCGAACACCCGACCTCCAGGCTAGCGAGCTAGCGTCTTACCCACGTGATCCCCCACTAGTGAATTATTGGATTAATAGGATTATTCTTTAACAGGGTAGAACTGTGTATAGATGCCATGCATTTTAAGGCTTTATTTTAACATATCTTAAACATGACTTAAAAAAAATATAATTATCACTTTAAAACTAACTTACTGCTATACATAAACCACTAGGACCATTAGAGTTATCTATCCATCCCTGAAATACACAATCATATTGATACATGTAAAATATAAAATTATAATACAACTACTGTTTTTGAATCCTGTTTGCTATTGGTTCAAAGAAAACACTGGAACAAACCAATAAGTAAAGTTCTAATAACTTAGCTATGTTCTATGAAACCATTTTTAAGATATTTCAAAATATTGTTAAATAGTTCTGTTGTCTGCATGCTGATCCAGTGAATATATATATAAAAGAAAAGAATGAAAGATAGGTTGCCAGGTAACGAAACATACGCCCACAGCAGCTAAATCGTCCGGGGAGTCAACAAGAGTTGTCGCATATTTTTACTTTTTTCGGTAATTAAACATTTATAATACATTAAAATCTGATTAAGAGTAACAACTAATTAAGTAATTATCAGAAAACCATTAGAATTTGTTTGGTTTTTATAAAGTTCTGCCCCATGCTAATGTTTAGTATACGAAACTTTTAACATCATGGATTTAGTTGTTCAAGTCATAAAAATTCATTGAAAATCAATATACTTGTCGTCTCAAGACCTTAAACTCAGTGTATCAATCTGAAGTCAATCGGATGATAACTTTAGCCTCTAGAGCGTCACAAGATTTTTCAAAGTGATCAAGGACCATAACCTCAAACACTGTGTAGAAATTTAAAGTCAATCGGATATTAACTTTGGCTTCTAGAGCGTCCACTAGATTTTTGAATGTGATCAAGGACCATAACTCTGGCAGTAATTATCGAAAATCGCTGAAAATCAATAGGCTTCTTCGTCTCATGACCTCAAACACTGTGTATAAATTTAAAGTCAATCGGATATTAACTTTAGCCTCTAGAGCGTCCACAAGATTTTTTGAAGTGATCAAGGGCCATAACTCTGGCAGTAATTATCGGAAATCGCTGAAAATCAATAGGCTTCTTCGTCTCGTGACCTTAAACACTGTGTATAAATTTAAAGTCAATCGGATATTAACCTTAGCCTCTAGAGCGTCCACAAGAATTTTTGAAGTGATCAAGGGCTATAACTCTGGCAGTAATTATCGGAAATCGCTGAAAATCAATAGGCTTCTTCGTCTCATGACCTTAAACACTGTGTATAAATTTAAAGTCAATCGGATATTAACTTTAGCCTCTAGTGCGTCCACAAGATGTTTTGAAGTGATCAAGGGCCATAACTCTGGCAGTCATTATCGGAAACCGCTGAAAATCAATAGGCTACTTTGTCTCATGACCTTAAACACTGTGTATAAATTTAAAGTCAATCGGATATTAACTTTAGTCTCTAGAGCGTCCACAAGCAGTTGTGGACGCCGTGCGGACGGACGGACGGGGGTGACGACAATATACGACCACATTTCAATGTGGGTGTATAAAAATGATGAACTTTTTGGTACCTGAACGGGTTCCTTCCAGGCTGCTCCTACTATAGATGGTCTAACTACGGCTATAGGTAACCCTGCTCCCTCTGTTTTTAACATGGCTTCTGCCAACTGTTTAGTGAATGTGTATGTATTTGGTTTGTTTCCCAGCAACTTGGGTGTAACAGCTTCAACCATATCATTATCCATCCACCTATACAACAGTTCAACTTTTTAGAGAAAGAACATTTCTGAACCTGTATATCATTTCCAAAGTCGAGTTTAACTTTACTTGTTTTCTGGGGTGATCATGGCAAATGATATTCAATCAAAATTGTCCCATTCGTTACAAATTCATTTTCATTCACACTGGTACCATGCTACAGTCATCAATTTAAAGGGTCCTGTCATTCAAAAAAATGACACTGTTGTTACTCTGTCCTCATGCTGTTGTCAATTTTGGCTCAATTTTAAATTTAAAGTGATTCATTCAAGTGTAAATAAATGCAACCACAAATGCCAATGTTATATTGCAACAGACAGCAGTTTGTAAACACTACACACCCCAGATATAATATACAGTGGACTCTGTCAATTCCAATATCATACGGGATCGATACAATATGCCGTATTACACAGCATATCAGAATACTCAATTGCCTCAATACCAGAAGTATTTACCGGAAGTATTAGTGTGCCTTCGAATACTGGAAGTATTCTTATAATGCACCCTTGAACACCCAGAACTTAAAATATGATAACGCTATAATTTGCTGCTTGACATACGATGTCAAATCCGTAGGGGCACGCTTTGCAGGACGATCACACATTATGAACACAATATTATAATGACAGTGGTTCTTCATTTAGGCAATTTAACTCAAATCAAATACCATGTGCTCTCTAACAAGAGATTATAAAATTATCAGGGTTATCAACAAAGACCGACACATGTTCTATGTTCACAGATAATTGACTGGTGATTGCTTGTTGGCTAACACACACTGATTGAAGGCCGGATTATCCAATGTTAATTGAACGCAAATCATGAGAAGGGACCACTGATTGATGTCTTAATTCAGAATAATCAGAATTCCGAGGAAATAAATCGGGACATGATAATGATGATGGATTTCACAGAATGCTGTAGTATTCAGATGTCGGAAGTGACAGAGTTCACTGTATATCTTATCCTTTTCAATATAAAACCTTTTGTTGTTGATGAAGATTATTTGATTCCATGCAATTTATTTTATTTCCAACAATAAACACAAGTAAAGGCTTAAACCATATCTCTCAATATGGTACCCTGCTTGAATTACAGAATGTATGGAAAGGAGACCACCAAAAGTTTGTTTGGAGAAATAAAATGAGAAACTTACTGTAAAGAATCAATTAATTTCTGAGGTTGAACTTGAGGTTCATAGATGGATTCTTCTATATAAGGTCGATCACAATTTGCGTAAGCTGTAGACACATGTACTAAAACCTACAAGTAAGAAATACATTTTCATTTGTGTGGAGTACAATTTGTATAAGACAAGTACTGTAGGCAAGATAACTGTTTCATTAATAGATAATTTTATTTTGGAATTCACATTGCCCAAAATATTTTGTGGATTCTCTATAATACAGTTATAATCTAAGGAATAATAAATAACAGAATGGCTTACCATCAAACATTTAAACTGTCGACATAACTGGATAATTTTTCTAACTGGAAGGACATTTAACTCTACAGCCGTCCTGAAATGCAGAATAATACTCGGGTTACCAAGATACTATTACAGTTAAATTTATCTTTTCCCATCATAAACCAGTATTTTATACCATATAAATTTTATTACCACTACCATCAGTTGCTTATTTTTTGACCGATATAGGAAATGAAATATGGTTTAACGTCCTACTGTACTGCTATGAGGGTAATTTTACCCGGACAGCGTCATTAATGCCTACTCTTATATTGAATTCCAACTGCCAAGGGATCTTTTACGTGAACGACTACGCAGCTGTCCTTGTCAGGTCCTCTGTCATTTTGGACCCAGCAAACCCCTTCTCAAATACTGCACCCAAAGAGAATGAGATTAAAAAAATAAAACTTTGTGCAGCTCAAACTTTGGCTTCATAACCACAATAAGTTATACATAATACACATGTTACGTTATAGGCTAACTTTATACGTATTGTAACAATGTACAAAAAGGGGAGAATATGCACAAAGCCAAGGCAAAACCACGCCGGAAAATCCTGACAAAATTTCTCAGTCAACACCAGTATCGACCAGCTATCTCCAGGCTAGCGAGCCAGCATCTTACTCACTCAGCCACCGTGGCTCCCTGACCGATATACTGAAACACTATTACTGAAATTGACATTAAAATGCAACATATATGCCATCAGAATGTTTTTGAGTTTGATACAAACACAGCAGTGTAAAGCCAGTAATTGAGCCCCAAAATCTTGATTGAGGAGAGGATTTTTCTTCAAGCACCTTGCAGTTAAAAATTGCTTTCCGTAATATCAATATTTTAGTTTATATTATTCACAAAGATCAAAAGCCGCTGTGTAATTGTAGATTGAAGATTAAAAGGTCCTAATTCTAAGTTGTACTCTTCACTACCTCTGACTTGTGAATAAAAGGAATTAAGAGTGTTTTTGACTATTGCATATTAATGACAGTATTTTACAGTTCACCAGTTAAATTAAGAAAACAATGGCTGTAAAAATGACTTAACAATATGGACATGGAAAATGACCATATTGTCTTTTTTTTTCCTTCACCTTTATTCAATCTTACCCCACATCAATATCATGATAATTTCTACAGGATTGATTATTCAGGGTGAATATCATGCAAATGACGACAGTTAGAAATTTAATGTGCTAAAACGTATTAGACGTGTATCAGTGAGATTGATGTTAAAAGTATATTTACCGTAGATGTTCATCAAATCTAACTGTAGCAGCACTATGAAATACCACATTTATTTTTTCTATCAGTAATTGTTTATTTTTCTCTGATAAGCCTAATTCAGGTAAAACTATATCTCCTTCTATTGCTTGTAATTTCCTCTCAAAATTTGGCTGTTCTTTTCTTAATTTATCAAATAACTGAAAAATAAAATAAAATGAAAGAAAACATTAAGCATACATTATGCAAGAGCTAAATCTGCCAATTGCAGGTCTTTCTTTAGGCCTGAAATGTTATCTAAATTATTAATTAGACAATCATTAAGTTATCAAGACCATAATCATCTCGCTAGCCTGCGACATTTACTGGATTATGATCCCATTTGCTGCTCGACTTCCATTCATAATTTAATCATGAAATGGATGATCAAGACTATGTTTTTTATCCTACAGGCTTTAGTGATAATGATCGAGGCTAGGCCGAAATTTCAATCGCTCAATTCTCGGTTCATAGTGGATGAATTTGACTGAAATTTTCAGCAAATTGCCTTTACATTATCTAGTTTTTAACTTTTATAGTGAAAATGCCAGCTCTTTATCTGATCTCCCTTAATGTTTCTTTAATTTAGATTAAAGTATATTTGTTCAGTAATTTAGGGTGTATAACATAAGCAAGCCATTTTGGCAACTGTCCTTACTTACGATACAAGTTACAATAGCTTCCAATCCACATTTAAATTTCTTACCTTACATTTCATTAGTTCCTGCTTTCTTTCTTCTATATTTTGAGATTTTTTAGGTCTGATCAAAATGTAGATGACACCAATGTCTGGACATGAACGTAAAAGTTTTTCTATTAACACTTTGCCAACAAACCCTGTAGCTCCAGTGACAAATATTGTTTTACCACTATAAAATCCTGGTACCGAACCTCTGTCAATACCTAAACCATCGTTAGCCAAGTTATTTACATCCAAGTCCACATCCATACTTCTTGTCCATCTACCATCCATCATCAGTTCAGAAAATCATTGATCTGAAAAAGATTGAAAAACTACATTAAGACCTACGTACTGGTCAAGGATTATTCCAAAAATTGTGCCCATGTGGTGTTATTGCAATATAAAACCATAGATGGGGGCTTCACCCACACCTCCATTACAGACCTACAGTGGCGGGAAATTAGTTCATGTTTGGTATAAAACAATTTAAACAATTCAATCAATCACAATATCTGCCCATCTTTTACAGTATAGCGTTTACATACATGTACATTAAAGCTATCAACATTCCTTGATAAATTTTGGTAATTTCCAGAGTGTGATACAAACAACCGCTTGTCATACAAGATATGCCCACATTTTGTAAGAGATGGATAAAGAACAAGCTAAAAAAAATAAGTGATTTTTCGTAAAATGAGGGCCCATAATCCAGAAAGTTACAGTCCAATATGTGTGAATACTGAGAACATATGGATCTAAACACATATTTTAAGTTTCATCAAAATCAGATAAAAATTGTGACCTCTAGAGGATCCACAACATTGCTATTATACTATTTGCATACAAGGAGCGGACATTTTGTCGAGCAGTTTCGTTCAGATTTTTACGAAATTCGAACTCAACCACCACTATGGTGTAATGGTGATATATTTAAACGGTTTTTAAAATCAGATAAAAATTGTGAGCTCTAGAGGGTCCACAAGCTAAACACATGATTTGTCGTACAATCAAGGGCCATAATTCAGGAAGTTACACGGTAACTTACAGTCCGATATGCGTGAATATTGAAAGGAACCAAGATCTTTGGGATATAAACATATATTTAAGTTTCATCAAAATCAGATACAAATTGTGACCTTGGTATTACATACTTTTACACTATTTGAATACAAGGAGTGGCCATTTTGTCCGTCAGTTTCGGTCTGATTTTTACGAATTTCAAACTTAATCATCATTATGGTGTAACGGTGACATATAACGGATAAAAATTGTGACCTGTAGAGTGTCCACAAGCTAAAAACATGATTTTTCGTACAATCCATGAAGCTTTGATCCAATACATGCCAATATCGCAAGGAACCGAGATCTTTTGGAGATAAACCTATATTTCAAGTTTTGTTAAAATCGGATAAGAATTGTGACCTGTAGAGTGTCCACAAACAAATTGTGGATGGACAGTACAGGGTCTATAAACATCCACATGAAAATTTGGGTGTATAAAAATTTCCTGGGACATCATGAAGTAGGCAGAAAGGTTAACCCAGAAACTAGAAGATGTTATTTCCTATTAAGATTTACGACTGGATAATAATTGTTGCATGATAGGTCTACTTCAGGGCAAAATACTAAACACACATGATGGCAGAATAGTTCAGTGAAATATCGCATAAAGTATTTACTTTTCCTGAGCTACATCATGTTGAATATGATTTTCTTTTAATCGCCTTAATATTTCATATTTGTTCAATACACCTTCAATTGTAATTTCAGCCATTCTAGTTATACAAGTACACTTATATAAATAGGAATTTTTTATATATTCAGGGTCATTGTTATCACCTCACTTGTATTAAACTATTCTAGAAGCTTGTTTAAGTTATCATTTGGTTAATCGACCAAACATTTAATTCCTGTTAAAGACTAAAAGTAACTCACTAAATCAATCTATAATTTCAAGTAGACAACTATACATTATAATTAGTTTACCTTGTATTTGTGATTTTATGATTAGCTCGACATACAACTTTTCAACTTTTTTATTTGCATATTACATCCATTACATGTGTATTTGTTTAGGCCTATATGAATTAAAGAAACAATTTTCTATCTGACAATTTGAAATTAAGAAAAAAATTCATGAAATGAAATGGTGCTTTATGTCCTACTATTCTGCTGCAATGAAGACAGTCATACTCCATGCAGTAAGCTAAAAGGGAAATTTTGACCCTACAACAGTGCTATGGCTACTCTTATTTCAAATTTCAACTGCCAAGGGTTCTTTTATGTGCACACAGGACCTTGTGTTTCTCCCATACAAATTACTAGACACTTTTCCTGTCCCTATATCCTACATCACTGACAAGGAGAAATTCTGAAGTACTTTCTCAGCCAACACTGTGTGATAGAACCCTGGTCCTCCTGGTTAATGAGCCAATGCCATAATATCTTTTAAAGATATCATGTATGTAAGGTTTAGATAAGGAGGTGGTTGTTCTTGCTATAATATTTCCAAAATAAGTAATGAAAAATGAATATATTGAAAAGTTCAGTCAAATTACTTTAAGTCTCAATTACTATTTTATCGTTGAACTCTTTAATGTTCTAATCTACTTAAATTCAGAGTCATCCGATGTCCCAGAGAGTTGATTATAGGCTTGTTATGTTAATGTCTAAATAATAATTTACATAACATTTCAAAAGACAAAAATTACTTGCAATAATAGTCAAATTTAGCTCTTACATATTGCGTCTTTAAACTGTCAATTTTCACATTCTAAAATATATTTCTTTTAGCAGAATTAAAAAATATAAGATGAGCATCAGTTAACTTTAACTATGATATTAATAAACAAAACAACATTTATTTTTTTATGCAAATGATAATGTCTCTTTAAAATTTGATAATTCCACTGATGAAAAGATAAAACATAATTGAAGTTTCTATTTTATGACACTTAAAAACATATACAATATACACAATAGTGTTAAATAAAAAATTAGTTCAAGCAAGATATATATAATTATAATACATTTATTTCTCTAAATGAAGTAATTTAAAGTAGCTAAGTCACTAACTCAATATTATCCAAAGTCTTTGACATTGAAAACACAAATTATTTGTCCATTTAAATCAACATTGATGTTGTGATCTTACCAGGAAAAGATGGGCTTCTGATATAATCCAATATTTAAGACAAAATATAGTGCGTTTCAGTGCCATTTGTAACAAGGGACTCAAGGAACGAAGCTAGAAATATTCCACAAGTCATGTCAAATGGTGACGCCATATTCTTATCTGGAGAGCATGCACAATAAATACTATCAGTGTAGACTGGAATAACCAGACACTAGAGAATGCCATTTGTAACAAGGACTCAAAAAACGAAGCTAGACATATTCCACAAGTCATGTCAAACGGTGACGCCATTTTCTTATCTGGAGAGCATGCACAATAAATACTATCGGTGTAGACTGGAATAACCAGACACTAGAGATTGCCATTCGATTGAGACTTCTGGCTTATTTCGCTGAACATACCTGCTTTGAAATTAGAGTAAAAACTGAAACGATTGAATATAAATCAAGTTATATACAAGTACCGGTACATTCATATTACATTATTATATGCGTTGCGACCCATTTTTGTTAATTTCTAGGTCCAAATATTAGCGATTTAGCTCTTAAGTATATAGTAGTTACCTGAAACCAGTGCTTCTATCATTCAAACATACGCTTGTAACACCCTTTAAACAATATAATAATCAGCTGTAATTTATCAGATGACAGATTAATCAATGTGTAGTTGATAAGATACATGTAACAATGATGACATTATCTGCTAAATGACGTATTACTTAATGTTCAAATTAAAATGAAATAGAGTTTATCCTACTTTTGTGCACTAACGGGGCTAATGAAATGACACAACAACTCCATGTTGTGTGAAATTTTGTCAGGACTGCAGCATTACCCCTACTTCTTATCAAATTCCAGCTGTAAAGGATTCTTTAAATTGTATCTAAATGTGTTAACAGGACCTCAGTTTTCCATCCCATCTAAATGACTAAACACTGTTCCTTGCCAGGCCTTCTGTCATGCACCACTGACATGGGGAAACCTGGAAAAATTTCTCAGCAAACACCAGGACATCTTTCCTGGTTAGTTAGACCTCCTTCCTCACTAACTACATGTATATCACCATGTATACAGGTGATTGCATTCCACTTCAGGTTTTGTTAATTTCATAATATTTTCATTTTTTGCAGTTTACTCCACTGAAGTAGTCAATCAAATCTGAACAAGGTATGAAAAGTTGATGAAACAAAATTTAACTTTAAATTGGCCGAGAAGTAGTTTTGCTAAGAAAAAGACAGCAGTATGTAAAAATAATTGGCATAAAATATTAAATTGGGTGTAACATCCTACTTGTAATAGTACATTATAGCCCATCCCATAGGACTTGTTGTACTTGATATTATCTTTAAGTCTACAACAAATACATGTACATGTATGATATAAAAAATTGAAAGCTTTGGATGAAGATAACACCTTCTTTGGCAATATTACCCTCCTCTCCTCCTTTCCTTTTTAATTTCCTGTATCCACCCCTCCTGGCTTGGAGTTGAGGACCCATGACCATAAAATAACGGTTTCAAAGATGGTTACCCATTGTAATTTAAAACAATATATTATCTTTCGGGGACTGGGTTATAAACCCACTTCAATCAACATTCAAAACATTAAAAATAGTACAGCAACTAAAAACTGATTGTTCGCTTAGAATAATATAAAGCTTGTGCAGTTTGTAATGTTGTATCATGGATGTATTGCAAAATGATAGGAAATAGTAGGATTCCGGAATGGTAGATCTATTGTAAAGCTGACAAATTCACAATTGTGATAATTAATAATATTCAACAAAAAATGACATCATCAGAGACTGATTGACAAATTATATTTATACCATTTAAACTGAATATATCCTTAGATCATTGCATTTATTCGTCATAAAACCGCAGCTATTAGAGCGTCAACGTTTTGCAGCCTCCGAAAGAGTTAAGGAATAGTCCTAATCATCAAGACTCTTTTTGTTGCAGGCACCGGTGCGCACAATTTTATTGGTGGATGATGTGGAACTAATACGTCATCAATGTTAAACTTATCGGTTACCTTCTTCAATTATTTTATAACCAATTTATTTCGTATTTTTTTCAAAAAATAAAACTATATTAATATGTTCTCTCATAATTATCATCAGTATTACTTTTTTAGCAAATGTTTACCCATCATGCAATATTCATCATGTCAGCCTCCATAGTTGTTTTTGTTTAGAAATGAATTAGGCTCCTCTGACAAGGAAAGGAGCAATAATTTCCATAAGGGTATTCCCATTTGTCATTGAATATTTATAACTTATTGATAAGTCCCAATTATAGCCTAGCTTAATCCCCAATCTTTCTTTTTTTTTACCAAGTCTTTATGCTTTACCTATTATTGACAAAGTTGTCAAGAGTAAATCATAGTATAAGTATTCATATACTCATATAGTCATAGTTATTAAATAATAGAGTTCATTCATAATGAGAATAATCATATTAAAGACGTAATATTAATCTGACACTATACTTATTGAAATATTTTCCCATATGGCATATGCTTGAAATCACCTGTTGTAAAATAAAATCCATTACGATGTAGGTTATTCAAAGGGATAACAGAAGTTACCGTTTGAAAAATCAATTTGTATTATACTACAGTCACAGTGTAAGCTAATCTTTTAAGTTTTGACAGAGTTTAACAAAACCAATGGAAGATGTAATTGTGGGCTAAAGTTTGTCATATTTTGACAACATGTCTTACAATAAAAACAAACATCAATTCTTTTGTCTTTGAAGTTTGGACAACAAAATCATACAACTTAAGACTACATGTATTAATTATGCAATTTATATTGAAACAATTGTTCATCAGTCATCTAAATTATTTGTTTTGATGTATCTCTGATGGACGAGATACCAGATAAAAGAAAAGTTTTCAATCTTTAAAACTAATATTACAATCAAAATAAAGCTCACAGCAGAAGTTATGAAGTGTATTTCAAACGTGCTTTCGTTCTTAATTTCGTTCCCTCCTAATCTTTTTTATAAACATTCCAGGTGACATTATTACTCGAAAATGTCTTGCCATTGCTCAGTATTTAATTAAGATGGCTAAAACTGAGAGACTTACCTGGAATTGCCACCCCTTCTCTTTCTTTGTGGAGACTTAATTTAACATATTTTGACATTGTCTAATGTTAAGAATTGAAACATTACCACTGCACCTATTTAAATTTGGACTCTTGCATATCACTTAGGGGTAGAAAGGTGGTCCACAAATTTGGTGCATTCCATTAAAAATGTCCGGTGAAGTAGAATTTGCCCATTTGTTTTGTGACAGTAATACTTTTTTTTCTGTATTCGATTTCTGTGATTTGAGTTATGGAGAGTGATGGAAAGGATTTTAACCAGGTGCTGAGAATTACATTGCGAAGGGTTGTTAGAAATATACAAATAGCAGTACACTGGATTTCTGGCCCTGTCTTTTCAAAAAAGAAAAGTCTTTCAACAGGTCTTTTTTTTAAAATCGTCAGTTGTAAATGTACATCTTGTGTATAAAGATAACCACACAAATCATAGAAATACTCCCACACAGCATCTTTGTCTGGAAGAAAATATGGTCATAGACAGCAGGTTATCTGAAAGGAAATCTTGGATGTTGACAATTCAGCAATTTTGGCCATTCGGTTTGAATAGAAGGAGACACGCCCATTTTTGCTAAAATCGCCATATTTCGATGGGCCATATCAACTTTGTCAGCCAACAGGAGCAATGGAGCATATATATCCAATTACAGGAAGATCAAAGGGGATACAGTTTACTTTTTCAAATTTTGGGGGGTGATTTTACACAGAATAAACATTTAATGAAAAAAAAACCTTTCTGAACTAAGATTTTTATTTCAGACGTAATAATCTGTATTTGAGGAATTGTTGCATTTTAGAACAAATGATATGGAAGATGATGATGATTTTGGAGATTTTGGTGGTTTTGAGGTACGATATAAATTTCTCTTCATTATTAAGCAGATATGTTAATCCTTGAATATCCTTAAATTTAAAATTTCATTTTCAAGGTCTTGAATATCCTTGAATTTCGCGGAAATAGGAAAATATCCTTGAATTTCAGTTGAGATCCTTAATTTTGTTTCAAATGTCTTGAATTCCTTTTAAATATGAGATTATAACGATAGTTGGTAATGTTTTGGTTATTTTTATAAGATGAAAAATTGTAACTTTAGGCTAAAAAATGTCCTTGAAAATCCTTGAATTTGACGTATATTTATCCTTGAATATCCTTGAAAAAATGTTTGACGAAGCCGCGGGAACCCTTTAATAACAATATTTACTATGGTTTATGATCATTTAACTTCCAATGGCAGTATCAGGTTGGTTGATTTCTAGGCCACACAGCAGAGGGAAAACAATTCTCTATTATCTGATAAATTAATTAACTATTGTCAGTAGCTTTTATTAATGCCTTTTTATGAGTGTTTACAATAGATATTGATCAATGGTAGGCTATAAAAACATAACATAGTACATGTATGTCCAACAGGTGGTGTGAATAAATCCTATTACATGTATTTACTACTTAACAAAAGAGAGAGAGAAATGGAGTCTAATGTCCACTCAACACAAACTAGGACATTTCGGTACTAACATATGATTCAATTTTATTTCAATTACTTTCTTCCACGTAGCAGACTTTGACTGTATTAGGAAACTGAATATGGCGATACACCATACAGTGTGCTATGAGGGACATTTTGCCCGGGCAGCAACACTATGACCTATTCTTATATCGAATTCCAACTGCCAAGGGATCTTTTACGGGCACACCTATGTATACACAGGACCTCGTTTTTTCGTCCCATCCAGAGAGGTTTGGATAGAGGCCGTAATCCTTAACAGTATCACATACAAGTGTGATTACCAATGAACTTTATAACGAAGTACCATTAAAAGCTTACATATATCAAGGAAAACAACCCTGTAACTGTTAGATATATGTTTGAAAGAATATGCCTGTAGTGACATGTGTCAAGTAACAGTTTTCACTAAAAAGCAGTAATTGTTTTGAAAGATTTTCATAATATTAAGGAATAACCATAAACATGTAAGCCTACAAGTACATGTATGTGTCCAACTATAAAAAATGCCAGCTCTAACCCATATCTGATGTCATTTAGTGTTGCCTATAGTTATTACTATTGTTTCAACTTCACCTAATATACAGCTATGATTTCACACAAATTTGGTTATCCTATTGGTTCATATATCTAGTTATTAATGACTTGCATGTGAAACGCACAGATTTGAAAGTTTTCACATTTTTTATTGATTACTAAATGGATGTCAACAAAAACGATTGAAGCTTCTGTAGATTTGTTTTGATGCTTAGCACTATCTAGCTTCCTGACATTGAGCTACATGTTGACATCTTGAATATGATTAGAGGTTAAACCCCATTTTCTCTTTCTATAAATTTGTAAACAAGTTAGTTGCCTAATGTGACCCTATAGTATGAAATTCATTCTGCCCTGCTGTGTGACCTATTTTGGTCACCCCCATAATATGTAGGTTATTGAATTAGAGCTACATTTTGGATTAATTTGAAACATTTTACTACTAAGAACTTAACAAGATGTAGAAAATGAAATGTCCCCCCAAAATTTAGGGACCACCATAGCCACCGTCTCTGAGAAACTAGGGTCATAATCAGGGCTTCGACTTCCAAATTTTGAATGACGATCATTTTTGATAACCCCTGGAAACGTTGCAAATTAAATTCACATCTCATGTTTTTATTTATGGTACTGTAGCATGAATTCACATATCTATGCCACTTTGTCAGTATTGTACACAAAAAATGTATATATTCAACTAAGAAATTAGATTTTATAGAGAATCTCCTACGAGTCTTTTTTGATATCAAAAAAGACAAGTAAGCGATTTTATTTATCACACAATCCCTTCTTACATGCACAAATAAATAAATATAATTCTTTGCTATAGATTTCACTTTTACTGAACCTGATTACATTACGGCGTAGTGATACATTTTTTGACAGCAATTCAACCATTGCAAAGTCCTTTATATTGACCCAGTGTTTCCATCAAGGTCAATTCAATAAAAATATTTCTTTTTTAATAAGAAATAAGTTAATTTTAATAAAAAATGAACTGTTCTTTGAAAATAAAAAAAGTAGTTCCTTTTTGATTGACCAATCAAATTCATGTAAAACAATATGAAATATATCACACAAGCGATATCTACTGTAGAATGTATTATAGGGTGATAAAGTATAATAATTATTTATTAATGAAATATTCCTTTTTATACGCCCACATTTCCATGTGGTTAAAAACAAAGTCATGGGTATCACAAAACCATCTTTTATAGTATCTAACGTTTCGTAAGTGTAAAAACCTACTATAGATACTATAAAAGATGGTTTTGTGATATCCATAACTTTGTTTTTAACCACTCCTACTACTGGTGTCACCGTATCAAGTTTATTATGACTTAGATCCCATCTAAGTTTATGTTATTCAAATGGTTTTGGATTCCTCTCTCTTTATATATTTGGATTCACATTTTCATGTGGACGTATAGTGCCGTCGCCCCTGTCCAGCCAGATGTCCGTCCGTCAGTCCATCCATCCATCCACAATTGTTTGTGGACACTCTACAGGTCACAATTCTTATCCGATTTTGACGAAACTTGAAATATAGGTTTATCTTCAAAAGATCTCGGTTGCTTTCGATATTGGCATGTATTGGATCGAAACTTATGGATAATGGCCCCTGATTGTATGAAAAATCAAGTTTTTAGCTTGTGGGCTCTATAGAGGTCACAATTTTTATCCGATTTTGTTGAAACTTGAAATGTAAGTTTATAACCCAAAGATCTCGGTTCCTTTCGATATTCACGCATATCGGATCGTAACATCCTGAATTATGGTCCCTGATTTTACGTAAAATCGTGTTTTTAGCTTGTGGACCCTCTAGAGGTCATAATTTTTATCCGATTTAAAAAAACGTATTATTATATCACCGTTACACCCTAAGGACGGCTGAGTTCGAATTTCGTGAAAATCGGCCCAAAACTAACAGACAAAATAATGGCCATCCCTCGTTCTCAAATAGCGTAAAAATATGGTATATCAAGGTTGTGGACCCTCTAGAGGTCACAATTTTCTTCTGATTTTAATGAAACTTGAAATGTAAGTTTATAACCCAAAGATCTCGGTTCCTTTCGATATTCGCACATATCAGACCGTAACTTCCTGAATTATGGCCCCTGATTGTACGAAAAATCGAGTTTTTAGCTTTTTCTCTATCCATCTCTGGCAAAATGTGGGTGTATCCTACCTGGCAGCCACTGGTTGGTTATTCAAATACCTTATATTATCGAAATTTTTAGGGATGTAAGCATTATCGAAATTTCTAGGGGCATAAGCATGAGCTTGTTGATGCATGTATGTGGTGTCCGACATAGTAGAAATGTACTGACTATTATAATTGAGGCTTTTTGATGTGTTCTACTAAATCACCATAGATATATTCATATTTTTAGTGTAGTATATTTTTCAGCTATTTTGATATAAATGGTTAGTTATGTAAACTGACTGGTCTGCTTTCTCGTAACTATAAGTTTTAAACTACATGCAATATAGAACTGAATGGACTGTCTACATGTAATTTATCCATTATAAATTATATTTAAAGGGTGCTGATGAAAATGCTGTGCCAGCTGCTGGTGTAGAAGCAGGAGCATCACCATGGGCTGTCTTTCCTCCTGGTAAATAAATCTTATTTTTCAACTGTTGTTTAATATTTTGTTATATAGCAACTAATTTGTTTTGGTAGACACAGTCATTTCTTTATTTTAATATTATTGTTCTTTTATTGTCTTCACTTTTTATATAATTTAAAGTATGATTCATAATATTAAAATATTATTAACAAGATAAAAACTTATATTATTATGGGTTTGAGTAGGTCTATCCAGATTTCCTTCAACAATACTCATCCAGTGTTTTTGAAATATTGTATGCATCTGTGAAGGCTAGAAGCCCATGACTCTTCTTTAATTTTCTAATAATTTTCTATTGTCAGGGTATGGTCCTGACAATATGGGTGCATCTTTAGAAGTTAAATTTATTATCTGATATATAGTGAAATTGATGATTGTTAAATTTCAGTATTCTTTAGAGCTAAAATTAATATTTGTTTAATCCAAAATAGAAAATCATGTACCTTGTTCACATCCAAAGAATCAATCATTTTCATGAGCCTGTTTGGTTCTGAAAAATTTATTTCATTTCCAAAGAGTCAGTGCTAATAAATGATTCACAAATTATAAAAGTTTACCCAAACATGTTCTACTTTTACAAGCATGCAATACAGCTTTTTTTTATTGACATGCCTCAACATGGATAATCTTCTTTCATAAATGGCTATTATGTTGTTTTAATAGCAATCTTCTTAAAATTCTGATAAACTGTTTTTTACATATTCTTTGTCGACTGAATCTTTACTGGAAATCTTCCCATACTAAACTGGAGCAAATCTATAGGTTCTATTTGGGTTTTTTTTTTTTGTTTAACTTGTTTGATTTGTATTATTTGAAAAATTATCAGAAAGAACAAGTGCAATAAGTGATATTTACTGATGTACCATTGCTTCTACAAAATAAACACAATTTGAGAGAACTAAGCTTTAGATTGATGTGTTTGTAGAATTGACTGTTGTCTCTTCATTCTATTTTCCTTTTTTTTTCCAGCTGTGCCACAATCTCAACCAGATTTGCTTTGTGCACAGAATACCTTTCCAACATATCTCGATCCATCTGGTATAATTAGTGGTGTCAACAGCAACAATGTACCCAATATTGATCAGGATTCTGTTAGTAGAGATCAGATAGACAATCATGTAAGTATATTTTTACTATACTGGTTTTAAAAATGGCTCATAAAAAGAAATTTATACATCATAATATTAATGAGGTCCAACATAAATGCTGATTAAAGTTAATGCAAATGAGTGTATGACATATCACCTACGAAATGTCTTTTTATAATTTTAACAAAAGAAATGACTGCCTGCTAAGCTATCAGTCATTGCTATGGAGTTTATATTTAATTACTTTGAGGGTTGTCTTTAACATTTCAGCTGATTTACAACTCAATACAGACCATAAAGGTCTCATTTACCTTTTTGCTTGTAATAAAAAATTTAAATTCTTGATTGTACAGAAAGTATTAATTTCTTGCTTGTATAGAAAGTATTAATTTCTTGCTTGTATAAAAAGTATATTAATTATTTGTTGAGTTTAGAATGATGTGAGGCAACAAGCTGAGAATGTTTTAGATGGGACACTAGCAGCTGGTGTTCGTGGTTTAGATCTAGCAGCAGGTACAGAGAGAACAAGTAACCCAGCTGATATATGTTTAAATACAGATGAAGCAAGAGAACCTTCTATTGTATTACCTGATTTAGGTGTAGGAGGAGGATCATCTCTACTGGCTACAAGTATTGATAGGACAGACAATAATCTAGAGACAAATACAAATAGTTTAGAAGCTGTTGTAAATGATAATGTGAACAATATTGATAGTGTGAATAATGAGAGAGAATCTGCGAGTAACAACGGTGATATATCTATTTCACTACCACCAAATGGTATTACTGGTCAAAATCTAGAATCAGAGGTAAAATCTATACTAATTAAGTAATATTTGTGACTGTCTTTGATGTTCGTTTGTTCAGAGTTGATGGCTACACTAGGGCTGTCCCGAGGCTGAAATTTGGTGTATAGTGGTAGCTCGGACAGGGAATAACATAAGCTATGTGGCATTGGCTTACCGCTTCCTGTTTCTGAGTTGTGGGCACAATTCAAGCAGCGCCTGGTTATCCGCTAGTAGTACATATTGTTTTAAATAGAAAAGTTAACAATTGGGTTCATAGTTTATTTTTACCGCTCAATTGATTATAAGGCAAAGTTCACTATTTATGCATCCTTTCTAAAAATAAATGCAGTCCTCCAGTTAGAGTAAACATTTGGTACCACCATCCTTTCCCTTCCTTTGGTCTGTCATTCACATTTCTTGTTAACACAATAGAGGAAAAATCATAACTATTTTTCAAAATTTTTCAATGATGACCTCCAGAGTTAGTCCACCTTGTAATGAAATCATGTAAGCCCTACAATTATCAACCTATCTCTCTACAACTTATATTGGTGGTCTTTCATTTTAAACTTTTTTCACTGAAAACTTCCAGACTAAGGTACCAATTATCATCTGGTTTTTAAAAAATTTAAATGTGTTGTTTAAATCTTCAAAGGAAGAAGCTTATATATCGCAAGTGATTTTCAATAAAGTTTATAACTATGTCCCTTTGTTATGAAGTCTGCATCCATCAGTTCTCATTGATACACTTGAAGTTATAATAATCCATAGGCTACAATTATTATCAGATCTTTTTGAAATTTGTGTGAGTTGGTTAACTCGATCAAGTTAAGAATCCTTTTTATTTTCAGTTATTTTTTTTGTGTTAACTTCCATAGTGATGACTCATTTCTCATTAGTACACTAGAGCTATAAAAATCCATGTCTATTAATATTCACCATGTTTCAACAATCACCTCAAGGGTTATGCCTCTTTGTTACAATATTTTGAGAGAACTTTATAGGCTGCAATCATCTATCCTATTGAAAGAAAGAATCCTGTTGATTTTCAAATGATATTTGATAATAACTTTCAGAGTTAGTCAAGAAATCTCTTGAGTTTAAATTATTATCTGATCTTTTTGAAGTTGTTTAGTTCACAACAGCTTGGACAACTAAGCTGCTGGTGGGCGTATGTTTTGTTGGATGGCAACAAGTTCTGTTGTCAGTTATCTGTCATGAGTACTATTTATATTTATATCAATTAAACTCTATTGTATATCATTTCCATCTATTTTATATAATTTCACTCTAGTGTTTATAATTTCAATTAATCTATTGTATATAATTTCAATCTTTGGTATATAATTTTAATCTTTCGTATATAATTTCAATTAATCCAGTGTATATACTTTCAATCTATTGTATATACTTTCAATCTATTTTATATATTATACAGGTCACAATTCTATGGAATACAATTACTGCTTTTTACTGAGCGACGTTTCGACTAGGCTTCTCTAGTCATTATCAAGCTATGATAAAAAATGAAAATATGACAGGACAATATATACATGTACACCACAATGCTAAGTTAATGATGACAAACCAGGGATGTAACTTAATTACGTGTACCTAATGGTAATCTGGTTTAATTGTACGCTAATAAGTAATAATACCAATTAACCTAAAAAATTGACTAATTGATTAATGGATAAGTTGTTGTGGAGTATACTTATCCATTAATCAATTAGTCAATTTTTTAGGTTAATTGGTATTATTACTTATTAGCGTACAATTAAACCAGATTACCATTAGGTACACGTAATTAAGTTACATCCCTGGTTTGTCATCATTAACTTAGCATTGTGGTGTACATGTATATATTGTCCTGTCATATTTTCATTTTTTATCATAGCTTGATAATGACTAGAGAAGCCTAGTCGAAACGTCGCTCAGTAAAAAGCAGTAATTGTATTCCATAGAATTGTGACCTGTATACTCTAGTTCAATTACTAAATGCCATTGAAACAGTCTATTTTATATACTTTCAATCTATTTTATATACTTTCAATCTATTGTATATATTATTTCAATCTATTATAGGAACTTCAGACTCTTAGAAGTTTAAGTAGACGATTAGAGGAAGAGTTATCAAGAAGTAGAACAGAGTTAGAACAACAAAGACAAAGATTTATTGATATTGAGGTCTGCTACATTTAAATTCAGATTTTCGCTATTAATGTTTTGACTTTTATAAATGCAGTGCCATGCAGAGTTTTCAATGAATTTTTATTTTTTAAACTTTAGTGGTTTGTTTGATACAATATAAGTCCAAGCAATGTCTCCCTTACCAAAATTCATTTAAATGTAATAATTTTTGTGGTATTATAGAGGCGGCATTCAAGTGAATTGGAAAATATACGCAGTGCGGGTCATGATACTCTAGCTGTAGTAGTTGAACAGTATAAGGTATAAAAATATTCATCTTTAAAAACAGTTAATTTTTTTTTATGTTAAAAAAAACTGCATACAGTGTGTATCTATATAATATTAAAACTGCTAACCATTAATATTCTTATATTACCATTCTTTCTAAATTTGGTAGGAATATTTTTACCTCTGTACACTCTCTGGCTAGTTTGAGTCTCATAGCAATCTGATTAAAATTGTATCTTTATTTGGTTTTATTTTTATGATTCTGATTTTCTACTATATATTACTGGCAGATTAAATGTTTATTCAGAATAGCTGCTGTTCAGTTGCGTTATACATGATATCTTTGGTATATTTTAGCTCTGTTCAAGTTTGAAAAGCACATACTTCACATATATATATGTGATCATTATGGGATATTTTATTTTTATAAAATTGGCTTTACTGCACCATACATGTTTAAAGATAATACATATTTAATGTGATCTACTGGAGTTTAAATTATTATCCCACATTTATTAAATAAGTGAAAGATATATTTAATACTTGATATAGGAAACAACCAAAACAGCCATTCTAGAACAGCAAGAAACCTCGTCACGATATTTACAGGAAAAATTAAAAGAATTTACAGAATATTTTCATCAAATGATGAAGACTAGAAATGAAGGATTTACACAACAACTAGAATCTCAGAAAGCATCAGAAGAAACAAGGATAAAAGAAGCTATAGCTGAATATAGACAGGATCAACAGGTATTTTTATGTATTTACTATATACAGTGGACTCTGTCAAATCTGACATCGTACGGGATCGTTACAATATGTCTGATTACGCAGAGTGTCGGAATACTCAGTTTTCTCAAAACCGGTAGTATTATTGTAACTTCGAAAACCGGAAGTGTTATTATAATTTAGCTTCGAATCCCCAGAATGTTATTCCCTTTAAAAATGATAAACCTTTCAATCCATTCAAAATTTTATTACATTAATTTTTATTTCATTTAACAGCGTAGGCATTTAGAATAGGTCAAGTCTGTCGTTAATTTATCTTCTTCATCGTCTTCAGTTGATCGCACACTTGTCTTTGGTGTCACCTGTTCATTGATAGTCTGTCATTCTATGTCCAGGTCGTCGCCACACGGTTCGGGTAGATCTGTAGGGTGAAAAACTTAGGTATTCAGGATCAATCGGCATGCGCAACGAATGTTTCCAACAGGTGCTAGTAATATTTTTACGACTGTGAATAATTCGTGGGAAAATTCGTGGGTATTCTTGAGTATTTGTCACAATTGTCTTACAAGAGATTATAAAATTATCAAAGTAATCAACAAAGACCTACGCCAGTGAGTTTCAATCTCATCGATAATTGATTGGTGATTGCTTGTTAATCTTTTGTGGCTTCACACCCACCTATTGAAGGCCGGATTATACAGTGTTGATTCAATGGAAATAATGTGACGGGACGGCTGATTGATGTCGTAATTCAGAATATTCAAAGTACGGATTACTCAAAGATTTTTTGGCTGAAATAATAAGGAAATAAATCGAGACATGATAATGATGTCAGATTTCACAGAGTGCCAGAGTATTCAGAGGTCGGATGTGACAGCGTCCACTGTACACAGTTTAACAAGATGGTTTTGGAAACCACAAATGCCAAAACGTATGGGTTTTTTGTGTTGAGCATTGTATTTAGTTTGAGATGACTAATGGATCTGGGAAGAGAAACATAAGTTACATTTCTTGTATCCCCAGATATAGACCTGCACAGTTTATTTCAATGAATAAGAATAGTATTGATATATTTAATTTTGAAATCACTACATTACCCAGCCAGAAATCCATGTTGTCTAAACAAGGTAGGGAGTTTGGGTGACTAAATGGTCTAATGCATAAGCTTTAGATCATAAGGTCTGTCATTGAGTCAAGTGGCATAGTTTCAATCCCACGCTTGTACGTGACAAGGAGTAGGGTCGCCTGCCTGCCTCATGATTTTTCTCTGGGTCATCTAATTTTGTCCCACTGCAAATACAAACCTACGCTCAAGCGAATAATTGAAATATAGTTCACTGAAACATATGTTGGTCCGGAAATGATCTAGTTTGTGTTGAGTAGACTTTAAATCCCATTTCTCTATCTCTAATTAAAATATGAAATATATCGAAACAGTCTGTCAAAATATGCATGAGGTTTATTGGATAACATAGAGAACAATATAATCAAATTTATGAAGGTGATTGAGTGAGATTTTCTTTTACAGAAAAAATTTGAGGAGGCATTAGCTGAAGAAAGAGAAAACCATAGGGAGGAAATCAGGAAAACATTAGAGGTATAATTTGCATAATTTTATGAATTCATATGTAAAATCTGAAAAAGGAGAAAGCATTTAAACATGCATTATGCAAGAGCAAAATCTGCTTATTACAAGTCTTTCTTTAGGCCTGAAATGTTATCTAAATTATCAATCAGACATTAATTAACTTATCTAGACCATAATAAACTCTCGATGTCAAGGCTAGCCTTCGATGTTGGCTGGATTAGATTCCTATATGCCGCTAACGGCTATTGATAATTAAATCAATAAAAGCGGATAATCGAGACTATGCTGTTTATATTAATGATTTTAGTAATGATGACCGAGACTATGCAAAAATTTCACCCGCTTCTTTCTCGGCTCATAGTGGATCAATTTGACTGAAATTTTCAGCAAATTACCTTTACACTATGTAGTTTTTATACGCCCACATTTTCATGTGGACGTATATTGTCGTCGCCCCTGTCCGTCCGGACATCCGTCCGTCCACAATTTGTTTGTGGACTCTCTACAGGTCACAATTCTTGTCCGATTTTGACGAAACTTGAAATATAGCTTTATCCCAAAAAAATCTCGGCTGCTTTCGATATTGGCATGTATCGGATCGAAAATTGACAGACAAAATGGCTGCCGTTCGTTCTCAAATAGCGTAAAAATATGGTATATCAAGGTTGTGCACCCTATAGAGGTCACAATTTTGATCCGATTTTGATGAAACTTGAAATACATATTTATAACCCAAAGATCTTGGTTCCTTTCGATATTCGCACATATTTGATCATAACTTCCTGAATTATGGCCCTTGATTGTACGAAAAAATCACTTCTTTTTTTGAGCTTGTTCTCTGTCCATCTCTTGCAAAATGTGGGCGTATCTTGCATGGCAACCGCTTGTTAACTATTATAGCGAGAACTGCCATCTCTTTATCTTATCTCCCATAATGTATCTTTAAGTATGCAGTTTACTTAAAAAGGCTTGTAAGAAAAATAAAATAAAAAAAGTGTTAACAAACCTTTCAAGAGCACAAAATATGACCATATAAAAGTGATATGTACTTGAAACAAGTGTGATTATATATACCTTACACAAATTTCACACCAATCTGATTCCAATTATTTGATATATGACCATAATATGTGTTGCTTCTGTATGATTTAGATCATAAGATCTGTTATTGAGTCAAGTGGCACTGCTAAAGACCCCTAAGTGCAGGAGAATTATCGAAATAAAATAGAACCAGTCGATTTGTCACAAAGAGTGTGAATTATATAAATAGTGTGATATATAGTGAATATTTTGCAAATGTATGGTATGGTCTGCAGCAAAATTAACTTCTATTCCCACAATACGTAGGTAAAATATTTACCTGTTACCATCCAATTATCAAAATATATTAATAAAATCACATAACACTCTTTATTAGCATCTAGCCAGCTTCATTGTCATACCATACATAATACAGCTTGAACTATAGCAATCATTTATACAGCAGCTCCAGTCATATTACTAGTGTTATTTCAGATTGAAAGACAAGCTAGTAAAGAGAAATTAGATTTGGCGTTACAAGAAACTCAAAATGTTGCTGCAGCCAAGCTAGAAGATGAGCACATACAGTTTAAAAAACAATTAGAAGAACAACAAGCAGAGTGTAGCAAACAAATACAAACTGCTTTAGAAGAAGAGCAAGAGAAAATGGAGGTACAGTACAGTAAATTAAATAATTCTTAAGACTGAATATGCTCTGAAGCTAAAGCAATGAAAATTACATTCTCAATGAAGATAAATGTTTCCAATAGGCCTTAACACCCAAACATTTGTCTGTGATAGTAAACCACAGAATAATCTCCATAATTAATTTTTTTTTAGTATAGTACAATTATGATGTAATCCAATTTTTAAGAGTTGGTCAGGAAAATTGTTATTGACTTTAAGAGCTAGAGTGGTCGACCTTGTTGCTGTTGGGTACATATCTATGTTTTATTAAGAATGCTTGTGAATGTGACTTAAACCTCTATATTTTACAGAAAGAGTTCAAAGAAAGAATGAGTAGGGAACAAGAAAGTAGTCGAGTTGCCATGGCAAATGTTATGCAGGAAGCTCGTCAAAATTCGATTGAATTTATCAGGGAACAAAGACAGGTATATTTTATATGCATATTATTCAATGCCAGGCAAGATACACCTACATTTTACAAGAGATAGATAGAGAACAAGCTAAAAACAAAAGTGATTTTTCGTAGAATCAGGGGTCATAATCCAAAAAGTTATGATCTGAAATGCGCAAATATCGAAAAGAAACTGAGATCTTTGGGATATACAGATGTATTTTAAGTTTCATCAAAATCGGATAAAAGTTGTGACCTATAGAGGGTCCACAACCTTCGTATTACATACCTTTACACAATTTTCGTACAACCTTTGTATTACATAAATTTTGTGTAGAAAGACCGGCCACTTTGTCCGACAGTTGCATTTTGATTTTCCCGAAATTCTAATTCAACCTTCATTATGGTGGAATGGTGATATATTTAAATGATTTTTAAAAATCGGATAAAAACTAGAACTCCGAAGGAGTACTAATAATAATAAAAACTCTTCTGAAAACAATACGTGTTTCGACCAGAGGTCCGAAACATGTAGTTATGACCTATAGAGAATCCACAAACTAAAAAATATATTTTTCGTACAATCAGGTGCCATAATTCTGGAAGTTACAATCTGATATGGACGAATATTGAAAGGAACCAAGATCTTTGGGTTAATAACATGCATTTCAAGTTGAATCAAGATCAGATGAAAATTGTAACCTCTGGAGGGTCCACAACGTTGTTGTACCATGTTTTTACAGTAATTTGCGTACGAGGGAGGGCCATTTTGTCCAGCAGTTTTGGTCCGATTTTCACTCAACCTACTTTATGGTGTAACAGTGATATATTTAAATGTTTTTTAAAATTGGATAAAAACTGTAACCTCTAGAGGGACCACAAGCTAAAAATGCGCTTTTCCGTACAATCAAGGGCCATAATTCAGGAAGATACAATCCGCTATACGCGAATATCAAAAGGAACTAAGATCTTTGGGTTATATACATGTATTTCAAGTTTCACCAAAATCGGATCAAAATTAGAACTGCCATTTTGTCTGGCAGTTTTGGTCTGATTTTCATATAATTCGAACTCAACCGACATTACGTTGTAACGGTGATATATTTAAAAGTTTTTTTTTAAATCAAATAATAATTGTAACCTCTAGAGGGACCACAAGCTAAAAACGTGATTTTTCGTACAATCAGGGGCCATAATTCAGGAAGTTATGATCCTCCGATATGCATATCAAGTTTCATCAAAATCAGATGAAAATTGTTACCTAGAGTGTCCACAAGCTAAAAACATGATGTTATGGTCCGATACATGCCAATAATGAAAGGAACCGAGATCTTTGGGAGATAGACCTATATTTCAAGTTTTGTTACAATCGGATAAAAATTGTGACCTGTAGACTGTCCACAAACAAACTTAAGCTCAATGAAGGTATACATCTCTCTATGGAGGCGAATGAATCACTATGCTTTATGATGTTATATAGTTTAATAAACAAATAATACTTCCATGAAATTAAACTTGCGCGACTCAAATTAATTTTCAGAGACAACAAAATTCCTTATAATTTGACTACTGTTTGCATAGCGCAAATATTGAAATAATGCGTAATATTTAGACTTACATAAATTCAGATATAACATACGAGACAAAAAATATCTGCTCATAGAAGTAGCAACCATTTGAAATTCTTTCCTAAAATCATATGCTAAACAAAAATAGATTCTTCCTAATTATTCTACACTTATCTTTCATCGACACCCACCATCTTGGAACTACTCCGACATGCCACAATAGCATGGTTCAGTATTTTCGGACTATGATCCAGGTTAAATGAGTCAGTTCGACCAGTCAAGAAATCACGATAACCAAAGGTCGCCCTGTATGCATGACCAGCGGCTGCAAGGCAGGATACACCCACATTTTGCAAGAGATGGGTAGAGAACAAGCTAAAAACAAACAGGATTTTTTGTGCAATCAGGGGCAATAATCCAGAAAGTTATGGCCTGAAATGTGCAAATATCAAAAGGGACAGAGTTCTTTGGGATATAAAGATATATTTTAAGTTTCATCAAAATCAGATAAAAATTGTGACCTCTAGAGGGTCCACAACCTTCATATTACACACTTCTACACAATTTGTGTACAAAGAGCGGCCATTTTGTCGGGCATTTTCATTTCGATTTTCCAGAAATACGAATTCAACCTTCATTATGGCAGAATGGTGATGTATTTAAAGGGTTTTTAAAATCGGAAAAAAATTGCGACCTCTAGAGAATCTGCAAGCTAAAAATGCGATTTTTCAAACAATCAGGGGCCATAATTCAGGAAGTTAAGTTCAGTTATCCGCGATTATCGAAAGGAAGCAAGATCTTTGTGTGTAATGGTGATATATTCAAACGATTTTTTAAATCGGATAAAAAATGTGACCTCTATGGGGTCCACAAGCTAAAACCGTGATTTTTCGTACAATCAGGGGCCATAATTCAGGAAGTTATGGTCCGATATGCGCAAATATCTACAGGAACCAAGATCTGTGGGTTATAAACATGCATTTCAAGTTTCATCAAAATCAGATGAAAATTGTGACCCCCAGAGGGTACGCAACCCTGATACACCATATTTTGACACTATTTGCGAACAAGGGGCGGCCATTTTGTCTGTTAGTTTCGGTACGATTTTTACGAAATTCGAATTCAACCATCCTTAGGGTGTAACGGTGATATATTGTAACGGTTTTTTAAATCGGATAAAAATTGTGACCTCTACGGGGTCCACAAGCTAAAAAACACGATTTTTCGTACAATCAGGGGCCATAATTCAGGAAGTTATGGTCCGATATACGCGAATATCAAAAGGAACCAAGATCTGTGGTTTATAAACATACATGTCAAGTTTAAACCAAATCGGATAAAAATTGTGACCTCTACAGTGTTCACAAGCTAAAAACGTAATTTTTCGTACAATCAGGGGCCATAATCCATGAAGTTACAGTCCGATACATGCCAATATCGAAAGGAACCCAGATCTTAGGGTGATAAACCTATATTTCAAGTTTCATTGAAATCGGATAAAAATTGTGATCTGTAGACTGTTCGCAAATAATTGTCGACGGACGGACAGGGGTGACGACAATATACGTCCACATGAAAATGTGGGCGTATAAAAACAAACAAGGGGCATATTGTGAAAACATTTTCTGATGTTTCCTATTTTTACATATGACTCATCTGTATTCCACCTTACTATTTGCCATGATCAGACAGTAGTACATGATTAATAAATTATATAATCTCATGATAAAATTAATCATTTTTAAGAATATTTTTTTCAGGTTCATTCAGGAGTTCGCCAAAGGCACCTTGCCAGCTTAGATTTATTTTTGGAAAGTGCTCGCAATCAAATCCAACTTTTACAAGAATCTGATTCTCCACATTCCAGTGCTCATGAAACAAATGAACTGAACAATAGTAGTGATGAACAGTCGTGATGTATAGAAATGTTTTTAAATCTTTGCAATGTGTCTTAGTTATTAATTGGGTATGTCATGGTAATTATAACTATAGAGAGCCACAGAGGCTTATTTTCAGAATGATTTAAATAATATATATGGTGATGGACGTATGAGATTCAATCAGCTTTTAACTCAGTGGTGTGATAAAGAACTTTTGGGGATTCTTTAACATTTCATATCTGTGTAGAATTTAGTGTATTTTGTTTTAAGGTTTATAACCGAACATAATTGATTGTACAGACGTTTTTTTTTTTAGCTTTATTATTTAAGGAGTAGAGTAATATTAACACATCCAATATTAACATTTTTGATGCATTGCTTTTAAACTGTTCTAGTTCCTGAACTATCTGCAGTACGCCAGCAATTTGTGACTGAATACAGCTTCATTAGACAATAACTTTGCCTATCTATATAAAGAAAACAATATGCATTTGAAGATATTATTCTCCAGTATTTTTCTACTCATTTTGTCCATGGTACACCTTTTAGTCAACTCTTGTAAAAGTTTGTTATTCTGCAGCTATGTTTTGAAAACAAATAAATATACGGCTTCAATAGATAATGAAGTTTTAAAATATTTTTATTTAAAAAAACTTGTTAAACTACATTAATAAAAAACAGTATTTGCTCTTTAATTTGTTATGTTTTCTACTTGTTCTGAATCAGCATTTCAGTACACATATTTCCATGTAATTGTCACAATAATAAACCACTTCAAATTCAATGCCTTGGAAAAGGAAACTAATTTTGGCATTGAAATTAAGAGGTGCATGTAACCTGAAATGAGCCAGTATTGCTATATGGTTATATTAGCCTCTTCCATAAGTTCTCATAATTTTAATGCAGTTCATTAATTATTTGCTGTCCAGTAGCATAGTTGATTAGTATCTGTAAATCTTTAATATGAATATGACTTGAGACACATTCCTACGAAAGTATTTATAGGGTACTTATTTCCAATAAAAATATATGTAGAGACACCCAATCTTACTAGTAAAATACTGGGAGAGAAATGGTGTTTAATGCCCGCTCGACACAAACTAGGTCATTTCGGGACTAATATATGGTTCAATTTTATTTTAATAATTGCTTGCACATAAGGGTCTTTAGCAGTGGGAGGAAACCGGAGGACACAGAGAAAACCCACGAGGTTGGACAGGCGACCCTACTCCTTGTCACGTTCAACCAGAGAAAAATACTGGATTCCCTGAAAAAAAAAACTGATGGGAGTGCAAACAGGACAAAAACATAATGGGATCACTAACAGACAGCCTGTTCGTTTGTTGTCTGCTTGAATAACATAGGGAACATTTGGTTCTGTTGTTCGCATGGCTAGAAATGTTGAGAACAGTGAGAAACTAAAAAAACGTACTGTAGACTTTGAGATTAAACATAGGAAATGAAATTAGTGTTTAAGAATTTATTAGACTTTGATATTTATGGTAAATGGATAGTGAGTAATGATAAAGTGTACAAGCTGAAAATGGACCCTTCCCTCAATCAAGGCTGCTTAAAATAGGTTGGAGTTGTTTTCTTTCAATTAAAATGTTTTGAATTTGAAGCAAACTTTAGAATATATTTTTAGTCTAATTATATCATCAAATCAAACAGTTTGTAAGTGGGAAGGCTCTTCATTCTTCATTTTAGCCCATGGGCGATTATGACTTCTTGTCCAATTTTAAAGGAGCTAAATCGCTAATATTTGGGACCTAGAAATTGACCCAAATGGGTCACAACGCATATAATAAAGTAAACTGATTGTATATAAACTTATTTACATTCAATTGTTTCCATTTTGACTCTTATTTCAAATCAGTTATGTCCAGCGAAATATGGCATAAGTCTAGCGTCTGGTTATTCCAGTCTATTGCGCATGCTCTCCAGATAAGATATGGCGTCACCATTTGACATGAGTTGTTGAATATGTCTAGCCTCATTCTTTTTGGTCACTTGTTACAAATGACGCTGAAACGCATTATGGTACACGATTCGTGTACCAATGGTAAAATGTTTATTTTGTCTTAAATATCGAATATCGGAAGCCTGACAAATAATTCGTGGCTTCAACGTGTAAGTCTTTGGATGATATTGAGTTAGAGACTTAGCTACTTTAAATAGAATATATGTAGTATTCAGTTAGATATGTTGTTTTCAGAAACAAATAATGTTTTCCCTGCATATATGTTGCAATAAACGGTTATGCAAGTAGGACATTAAAAGATTTGTTAGAAGAAGGGGGAGAAATTAAATGGAACTGTTTTATATATAAAAAATTACCTTTAATTGCAAGATTTAGATAAGAGTTCAACGTACAAATAATTTACATCAAACATTACAAATAAAAAAACATATGATGTAAAGAAGAATGGTGTGAATGAATAGTAGCTCATATGTTGGACTTCAAGTTTAACAAAGCAAGGTTACATAAATATAATTTAATTATTTTAATGTACAATTCTTGATAATGTCGTCAGAGGAAGACTTGTAATAATGTAAGTAGTACATTAAATGACCTTCAATACAAACAATTTTTGTATACAAATGCTTGAGAACCACTGTCTATAAGTAAATATTATTTAGCGAGAAACAGTCTGTAAAATTATGTACTGTTATTACACAGGATTTATCTATATTTCAAATCATTTAAAACATCTATTACCAGGATAAATATACCTTAATTACACAAGCACAATGAGGAGTTTTAACAGTAAAGTATGAATGCACCAGAAAAACCTGATTTTAAGACTCGTAGTTCGTAAAGAACTATTTAATTAACCAAACGATCTAAATATATAAAACAAGATAGTATAACTGTGGAAAAAACTGAGCAGAAGATTTGTTTTCACATTTCCATTCTTTCAGATCCATATTGGTCCATAATGGATATTAACACATACACATGGTCTACGATACCTTTTTTTCCCTGGTATTCATAATAGCTATAACCTTCATACCATTAAAGAAACAGTCCAGCATTTACTGCGTAATGTATAGATATTTCTGGCTGTTCTAATGTATGTGCTATGCTAAATATTAGCATATTCTGTTATCTGGAAATAATTTTTACTCAAATTTCAGATATAGCTGAGTCGATTCGAGCTTCATTGGATTCTGAATTATGTCCCTTTGTTCACCAAAAGATAGATTGCCAGGCAACGAAACATACGCCCACAGCAGCTAAATCGTCAGAGCAGTCGACAAGGGTTGTTGCATATTTTATTCTTTCGTAAGTAATTGGGGGCATTTACAATACAATTTCATACAGATCGGCTGATAACGTTTGATGTTAGAGCGTTCACAAGGTGCAACAAAGTGGAACAAGAGCCATAACTCTAGAAGTAATAAACGGAAATTGCTGAAATTCAATAGGCTTCTTCGTTTCCCTAATTTAAATATTGCATATAAATTTCACAAAGATCGGAGGTTAACTTTTGGCAAGTGAAACAAGGGCCTTAACTCTAGACGTAATACATGTAAATGGAAATTATTGAAATTAAATAGGCTTCTTCATCTCATTAATGTTAACAACATATATCAATTTTAAAACAATTGGATGACAACTTTTGACGTTAGAGCGTTCACAAGAAATTGTGGACCAGGATCGGAAAGACCGACGGATGGACAGGACGGCAATATATGTCCACATTTCCATGTGGCCGTATCAAAATCAATGAAAATGATATTTTCCTTAAGTACTTTAGTTTAATATTCAGTTATTTGATTGAAGGTTGGTACAATACTATATATTGCAGAGTTACAGATCAAATATGTGTTTCATGTGGTTTCATTTTCTTTTACCGTATTGACTATAAAAAACCAAGGGACAGCTCTGTTTAAGGTTTAACTTTGAGGTATTTGATAGAAATTTAGTGCACTCGCTACACAGACCAATTTAGTGAAAATTCAGGTTTACAGAATTTATTCCATCAATACGTATTTGGATTATATATTCACAGAAATATATTTGTGGTATCAATCTTGTATAGATGCATGCATTGTGAAATTTTATAGTGGTCGGTAGGGGACATGTATTTCTTCAGCAGTACTCTCAAAATGCTTGTTCCCTTAAATATATCTAGGACTACCAGTAATCCATTAAAGTGAAGAAACTCTTAACAATTAGGAGCCACATTTTTTTAAGAATAAATGATGTGAATACGACAACCAGTAGTTGAAATGAATATTCCATAATGATTAGATGATTCATTTTTACACGTTTTAGATTTCACCCCAAAATGTTCTAATCAACATATTGCAGACATCATAATCTAATTGTTTGTCAATAATTATCAAGTAATCTATCACAAAATAATAATATCAAGTATATAATATTTCTATGAAATGAGATTCACTTATAAATTTACATATACATACAAAAAACATGTACCAAATGTAAAGATAAAATTTCTATCAAGTATCAATAATTGTCATTGAGCTTTCTGGACCCTCCTCTGAAAGAAATATTAGTAGACATATTAGTGTAGACTATTCCACTTTAAAAACAATATACATACATGTACCAGTACAGGATAAAACTGTAATTTGGTGATTTTGGTTCTTAATTACATGTAGATGTTAATTTTATCAGTGGGCAGTTAAAATTGACTAGACGCTATAATGAAATGAGTGTTGGACGGGGATGCTAACACAGACAACAAGCTTTTGTCCCCAAACCATAGGTGTTCCATTACTGTATTTATATACTGCGAAAAGCAAGCACAGCATGCTACATATACTTTCTGGTAGAAGAAGTTCTCCAAAATAGAAGCATGTCTGGCTACATTGATAATGAACACGTATTTGTTTATATGAAATTAAAATAAAGAAGTAATGGTGAATTACACAATGGGTAGATTGTTTGTTGTTTCAGTATGTTCTGGGATAGAGGATAAAACACGCCGACTACTTTTTGATCCAGCACTATCTTCTGACTCAAAAACATCATCTGCATATTCATTTAAGAGTCTCCTCTTAGGACGATAAGGTCGCACAAGGCGTTGTTGGTGTAATAACTGATACGTTGTATTATTTAGACAACCATCCCCATTTGTTTCTGTTGTTACAGGGTAAGGAGCTTGTCTTATTGAACGTATAACTACATATCCATTATCAGCATCATCTGTAATTACAATGTTTAAGTTAAAATATTTCTGCAACAATAGAATGAATTTGTCTTCTACACATGTACATGTTAGGATGCTTCACCATAAATACATGTAGGTAGTTCCAAATATCTCCAAACATTTTGACCATCACACCACAATATTTACATATAGCAAAATAAACGTCAGGTTGGTATGTTACTCTAAATAGACGCATTGCATAAAACTAGCCAAATGTTTTTATTGTATATTTGTGACATTTCCAACTTTACCTGAGCAATAAGGCCCAAACACAGAATTGAACCCAGGAAATGTTCTCAAAAACGCAACCTGACTTCTGAGATGGTAATGTGTTCTCCATGATTTTCATGTAACTCATGCTGCACGTGCTGTTCACCGGGACCAGCCCTATAAAATGCACCCCCATATCTGGTTGAATCATTCACATTACAATGTCGGCAGCATGCCACAACTCACGACAGCTCAGAGGAACTAGGCACTTGGAACACTACAGATTATCGCTTCCAAACTGGTAGACCAAGGCTTACCACAAGGTGACAAGTCCACCATGTTGTGCGAGAGCACATGCAGAATCCCTTCACACAGGCATCTGAGCCGTTACAGGCATGTTACACCATGACAACTTGTGTACATAAAAAATGACAGTTTGAAAATTTAAAATACATTACCACATTCCACACATACCTGAATCTTCATCGTCTGCTCTCTTCCTCTGAACTGATGTATGTAGTTTACGGCAAGCATACCATACCACCATAGTAGCAACTATAATCAACACACATAACACACCAATTAAAGCAAAAGCTAATTTCTTCCAGTAATGATCCTCTGAACTCTTTGTTGGTATTCCTTCAACTTCTATTCCTGGTTCTTCATCTAAAAAAACACCAACTTGTGTTCGATCTCCATGTTTAAAATGGATAAATTCTTCAAACGGACCACAAACAGTATCCGAAATGTTGGTACAAGGGACTCGGAAGATTTGGTTATCAGGACAAATAGAACAATTGAGGCATTTGTTAAGTATTGCATTTAGGAATTCACCATGTGGACAATAGGAAGCTTTGACTTCATGTTTAGCACTGAGCCATATCAGCAATACTGTTAAATATATTGTACAATTTTCCATACTCCAATGCTAAGTTAATCTGCAATGTAAAAATTTCAAATATAGGATTACCAAATTATCAATAAAAGAAACTGGGACATTTGTTATCATGATCAGACAATATCAAAATTCAGCCTGGAGTGCCCATTATAAGTGTGCGAATTAACCAGAAATCTTTCATTTCTAGAAGCCAGAAGATGCGTTTTCTGCCATTTTGTGATTGTTTCACAAGTCTTAACTGCCAGCGCTTATCAGGCAAGATACGCCCACATTTTGCAAGAGATGGATAGAGAACATGCTAAAATGAAAATCGATTTTTCATACAATCTGGGGCCATAATCCAGAAAGTTATGGTCTTAAGTGCTCAAATATTGAAAGGGAGTACAAAGAGTAGCCATTTTGTTAGGCAGTTTCGTTTTGATTTTTCCGAAGTTCGAATTCAACCTTCATTATGGTGGAATGGTGATATATTTAAACATTTTTTAAAATCAGATAAAAATTTGTGACCTCTAATCCACAAGCTAAAAAAACATGATTTTTCGTACAATCAGGGGCCATAATCCAGGAAGTTACGGTCTTATATGCTCAAATACCGAAAGGAACCAAGATCTTTGGGACAACGCATATTTTAAGTTTCATCAAAATCTGATAACAATTGTGACTTCTAGAGGGTCCACAACCTTGGTATGACATACTTTTAACTTTTACACTATTTGCTTACGAGGAGCTGCCATTTTTTCATGCAGTTTTGGTCCGATTTTCACGAAATTCGAACTTAACCATCATTTTGGTGGAATGGTGACATATTGACATGTTTTTTTAAATCTGATAAAAATTGTGACCTCTAGAGGGAACACAAGCTAAAAAGTGATTTTTCATACAATCAAGGGCCATAATTCAGGAAGTTACAATCCAAGATCTTTGGGTTATTATAAACATGTATTTCAAATTTCATCAAAATCGGATCAAAATTGTGACCTCTAGAGGGTCCACAATCTTGATATACCATATGATTACACTATTTGCATACAAGGGACGTCCATTTTGTCCGGCAGTTTTGGTCCGATTTTGATTAAAATTCGAACTCAACCAACATTACGGTGTAAGGGTAATATATTCGAACGTTGGTTTTTTTTTAAATCAGATAATAATTGTGACCTCTAGAGGCACCACAATCCGATATTCCAGTTTTAGGCCTGTAGAATTATGTACTGAACTTTTTTTTGGGATCAGATGTTTTATAATGAAGCATGAGTCACATACAGTATACATGTACATTAAGCACTAGTTTATGTGTTTTGTTTTGTGTTATTATTTTCAATTGAAAAACAGCGGATTTAAAAACCGGGACATTTAGGCACGAGGGGGGGGGGGCATCATGACAGGACGGTAGCAAGGACCCCCCAAACCGTATGTATGTAACACTAAACTTTAATAATAAAAGAAGTAGAGTAGTCATTCTCTGTTAATATGTTAAAAAGTTAATATTCGTCTGATAATAGAGAGTCAATTACTGACCATTTTTCTAATTTTTTTGAGGTATAATGAGCTATAGCAGATTGGTACCCAAAATAAGATAGCAGTGAGGATAGGTTCAAAGTTTGGCTTTTCTTTGCTGAAACATATATATGAAATTTAGATAGAAGTATTATTAAATTCAGGGCGTCTTTATATTTGTAAGTGTGTAATCCAAAAAGAATAGTTTTAGGTTCAAAAGTAACTTCAATATTAAGATTATTTTTAATTAATAGTTTTAGACTTTCCCATAGTTCTTGGACTATTTTACAGGATGTAAAAAAATGAATTAAGTCTTCCGTTGAATCTTGACAAAACGAACATAGGTCTGTATCTTTTATTTTAGTTTTTTTTAGGTAAGAGTTGAGAGGTAAAATTCGATGCAATAGTCTGTACTGAAACCACTGTAAATTTGTATCATTTGTTAGTAAAAAGACATTGCTAAATGTCGTTTGCCAATCGTTTGGTTCCAAATCTAAAAGTTCCTGCCATTTTATTGTTGAAGTAGGAATAACATTTGTATTTAGTAAAAGTTTATAGAAATAGTTGCATCCTTTTAGGTTTGTTTGTAATTTTTGAACAATTGTTTGAACATACGGCCTTTCTAATTTTATACCTAAAGTGTCTATTTCATTTTTATTTAAAAATTCTTTTAAGCAAGAATGTAGGCTTTGAAATTTCAAAAAACAAATTTGAGGTAATTTAAATTTGTTTTCCAATTCAATTTTTGATAGTATTGTACCATTGTCATTGAACAGATCGCCTAAAACTGTAATTCCGTTATTGTACCATGATTTGAAATATATAGGTTTGTTATCAATTTCAATATTTGAGTTATACCAAAGAGGAGATTTGGGTAAGTCAGTGTTAATTATATTTTGAGATATATGTGACCAGGAAGTAAAAACGTCTTTCCAAAATGGATTAGTTGTGTTTATTTTCGAATCTAAAAATTGGTCACCGAATCTATTAACTGTTTAGTAAAGTTATTTCCGTAGCATGCATGGATAATATCAAGCCACGGAGTATCAAAATTAAGTAAGATTCGTCTTATCCATGTGCATTTTAGAGCCATAATAAATAAATTTAGATTCGTCATTTTTAAACCTCCGTACTGATATGGCGTCACAAGTACATCTCTTTTAACCCTATCGACATTAGAACCCCATAAAAATTTAAAGAAGTCAGTGTTTATTGCCTTAATGATATTAATAGGAAGATTTGGTAGTGAGATAAATATATGTATTAACTTTGGTAGTAGTAAAGTTTTTATAACAGTGATTCGACCTATCGGACTCAAAATTCGCCGGTTCCATTGTGTTATTGAGCTTTTAATTTTAATTAGCTGTTTGTCAAGATTCAACGTTGTGATATTGTTAAGTTCAATAGAAAAGTCTATGCCTAATAGAGAGAAGGAAGTAGAACTCCAATATAATTTCCATTTATCATGATGATAGACTTGATTACTGTATTTTTTAGAACCTATCCACACAATCTTAGTTTTGAAGCTATTTATTTTTAAGCCAGATATGCTTGTAAACTGGTCTAGGGTATCTAATGCTGAGCGAAATGATTGTTTTGATCCATCTAGAAAAAGAGTGGTATCATCGGCATACTGCGAAATGACATGTTCTGTTTTTCCTATAACTATTCCTCCAATGAGCTTATTATTTTTAACTAAAATGGACAAAATTTCAGCACACAATATGAAAATGTAAGGGGCAATGGGATCACCTTGTCGACAACCGCGCTCAACATTGAAGGATTCAGACAGATGTCCACATTGTGTAAGAGGATATGATATTATTGTTAAAAATCTTAATCCAATTTTTAATTGTATCGCCAAAATTAAAGAAGTCTAGGACTTTATAAACAAAGGACCAAGCAACTGAATCGAAAGCTTTTTCAATGTCAATAAGAATTAGTAGTCCCGGTATGTCATTATTTTCGGTGTAGTGAAGTAAATCAAACAAAAGCCTAGTATTTTCCCCAATGTATCTCCCTCTTAAGAAACCAGTCTGAGAATTGGATATTAAAATATTTAAAACCGATTTTATTCTATTTGTTATGACACCAGATAATAGTTTATAAAATACATTTAGTAAGGTTATGGGTCGCCAGTTGGTAAGAAGATGTCTTGGCTTATCACCTTTAGGGATGCAAGTTATTACTCCAAATCGCTGATCAATAGGAAGTATTCCTTTGTCATAAATGTCATTTGCAGCTCTGAGGATAAAGGGTTTCAACTGACCCCAAAAATGCTTGTAAAAGTCAGCCGGGAATCCGCTAGACCCAGGTGATTTGTTTAATTTCATTTTGTTCAAAACTATAAGTAATTCCTCTTCAGAGATTAGTCCTTCTAAACTGTTCGATTGTGTATCGTCCAAAATAGTATAATTAAAATTTTTCAGCAGTTCGTTAAGGTCATAATTATCTAGCACTAATTCACGATCATTATAAAGTGAGGCATAAAAGTGCCTGACTTGTTTTAGAATTTCTTTCTGGTCTGTAATAATATTCCCATTTCCACCCTTTGAATTGTTTTATTCGTATAATTGTTTAGTTCTAAATTGCAGAAATATTTTGAAGGTTTTTCACCATCCTCAATCCATTGAGCTTTAGATCGAATTACAACGCCTTTCATATAGTCATTCCGAATATTTTCAAGATCATTTTTATGTTCATTTAGTTTCATTAGTTCTTCTGATTTTAGTTTGTTTTGGTCTGAAAGAGATTCTAATTTACAGATTTTATCAATCAAATTTTTTTCTCTAGTTTTTGTTTCACCTTTTTTGTGTATAGAATACGACATAGAATTTGATCGTAATTCCATAATTAGAATTGACAAAAGATCTGAATCCGAGATACTATATTGTAAGTCGTGTTCGTCAATATTAGGTATCATGTCTCTGTCATAAATAATAATGGCGTATTGTTGTTTAACCTGGTTAATTGTATTTTTGATAATATTTGAATAGTTTTCATCTTTTAAAAGAGTATTATTAAATTTCCACAACCCTCTGCCTTTATCAAATTTACTTACTGAAAGTTCTAAAACTACAGTTGAATGATCCAATCGATACCCCGCGTTAATCTTAATATTTTCTATGAAATTAGTAAGATTCTCTGAAGTTAAGAAAAAGTCTAATCTGGCTTGTTTCTTTGGACTCTTTTTTCGCCAAGTGTATCTTCTTAAGTCAGGGTATAAAATTCTATAGTAGTCAAGTAAATTAAATTCCGTCATTACGCTTAAAATACAGGACCTTGCTTTAGGATTGTTAATATGTAAGTAATTGTCAGTATCTATTTCCGGTTTTAAAACCAGATTAAAGTCGCCACAAATTATATTAGAGTTATTTCCGAATTCTAGTATAATACTTCTTACCACGTCATAGAAATCAGGGCGGTCTTGATTAGGGCCGTAAATATTTAAAAGGCTCAGTCGTATTCCTTCAATATTAAGGTCAATTGCCAATAAGTTACCATTTTCATCTTTTTTGGATCGATGTATTGTAAATTCAAAATTATTTCTGAAAAGTACCGCAACACCCCTCGAATTAGTGGAATAAGAATTAAATAGACATTTATAACCCCAAAGTAATTCAATTTGAGTTTCATCTTGTGTGCTGAAATGAGTGTCTTGTAAGCAGATTATATTATAATTGTGTTGTTTATAAAAATTAAAAACATCGTTTCTTTTACTTTTTGATCCTAGACCTTGAGTATTAATTGTTATTATTTTTATGTGATTACTCATTAAAATATTTCTTAAATTTTAAATTAATATGTAATATAAGAGAATGACTTGTTAATAACAGACAATAACCTTGAAAGAACCATGTTTTCTTAGGTACCAAAGACATTTTGTTAAGTAAATGTAGAGGGAAAAAATAATTAAAAATGTATGTTAAAAATATAAGAAATTCTATATTTAGTTTTACCATTTTTTGTAGAAAGACTTTATCTACAACATTAAAAGAATTGGTTTTTGAGTGAGTGAGCATATTTTTTATCAGAAAGTATACATGCTAGTGTATTGTGCCAATTAAAAGACTTGAGTGTCATTTACTTTAAAGACCAGCACAACACTCGAAACTAAACACAGTAACTTAGGATGAATTAGTTTGAAATTGTGCTTAATGCACCTTAATACTTTTAGAGGTTTGAATTAATAAGTTTAGTCAATTTTAGTGACACATTCACTCGATGCAAAATATTTTACAAAGTAATAGTTAATCAACTTTGACAAAATAGTCGAGTTGAAACAGTAACCAATACACATGTATGCAGTACATATACAAAAAATATAAATATTTGATTAATGGAAATATACTAAGACGCTGAGTTGAAACAGTGACTAACATTGTGGGAACAAGCAAACAAAAATTAAACAGTAGGGGAGGGGGAGGGGGAGGGGGAGGGGGGAGTTCAACTGAATTTGAATTTATAAATTTAATCATTTTCAGTGACGTGACATAGTCATGTGATATAAATTTACTAATTAAATAACTGAAACTAAATAGCCAAGTTGTATAGTAACTAATAGCATATCTTAAATATCTACAGTCAGGCGCTTTATATAAATTTTTAAGTAATAAAAATATTATTATATATCACAACTTACTGAAAAAAACAAAAAAACAAACGGAACTTGATTCAGAGAACTGTGCTAAAGACAAGGATAATGAGGTTTCCTGAATCGGAAGTGATGAACGCCAAAGGAAAACACGAGTCATACCTCTATATAACTGACTGATGTGACGAGTGATAAAAGATACACGGCCGAATTTCTGCTCACTAATAATTCCTTCCAAGACCAAAAGTTGTTTGTGAGACTGTGAGAGGATATCTGACAATTCATAAAAAGAATTGACTGCCTCTAGATAAGAGAACACGAAAGAAAAGCAGAAAAGTCTGTGCATTACCATGTTTTTATAAGGTATAGAATGAATATAAACAAGGGAATGTACAGACTATTTCCATTTTTCTTGTGTTCTCTTATCTAATGACATTCAATTTCTTTATTGAATTGTCAGGTATCCTCTTACAGTCCCATATAACAACTTTTGGTCTTCGAAGGAATTATTAGTGAGCAGAAATTCAGCCGTGTATCTGTTATCACTCGTCACATCAGTCAGTTATATAGAGGTATGACTCGTGTTTTCCTTTGGCGTTTGTCACTTCCGATTCAGGAAACCTGTATTACTCAGCTATCGTAGCAATGATCTCTGTGTTTAAATTATATTTAGAATGTGTTTAACCAGCTCTATCACAAATGGGATAATGACTGCCACCAATATTGTCCTTTGGCTTTAATAAGAACTAGGCACAACCTGAACAATAACGGTAGTGACATTTATTTCCTTCATGAACTGATACAAAAGCCTAACTAGAATAATAATGATTCTTTCAAGGAGTTGTACCATACCATTCTGGAACGTTATAATAATAATAGGCATCAACAATTGAACAAACTTTTTTTTAAGCCGGCCCAAACTATACTATAACTCGCTAGAAACTCACCCGTATTAAGTATAATAATAGACATCACATAATTTAACTTTTCCAAACAAAAACGACCATAAGAAATTTTCTTCTACTGTACTTCACACTGTCCACCATTGGCACTCGAAATAATTATATGTCGGTGCTGTGCCACAGGGAGATGAGATGATGGAAGTTCTACTAGTAACTTATTCGCTCGTACTAGTAGGCTAGATTCTATATCAAAAAACAAAAACAAAAAAATCACAATCAATCGTAGGAATATCAGCCAAAGTTTGCCTTATATGCCCTTTTAGTTTCCGAGAACATTACAGGACTACAAAATATCAATTACTGCAAAAAGTCAACCAAAAGATACCAAATTGTACGTACAAAATAGTAAACTTCCAGGCAGTGGGTGCCAGTAGTGTCTACCCACAAGCCCATCCTTGTCACGTGGTGTGAGAGGAAATCCGGCCGACTAAAAATACAGTGTCGATTAGCCACTGATCTCTATATATAGAGATCAGTGCGATTAGCTAGTTCAGTCTTATTTTCATACAGATCTGCACAATAATAACTACCCAATAACTCCAAACTAACACCCAATAACTCAAAATGCTGACTTTGGAAACACAAATTAACAACTGAAGACACGTCTGTTTAGCGTGAAGGGAGATAACTCGTGTATGTGATTTGGATGCAGACCACCATTAATTTCCCCATTGACTTCAATGTTAATTCTGGCCTCTGCCCACCTCCAACTTTTCCCCAAATTTTCATTGGGCTGAATGCTTTTCACTACAGACAGAGGAAAAAATGGTCATGTCTTTGCACTAACATTTGTATGAGGTTCACCACCAAAATTTTGAGACACACAAACTTGAAGAAGCATGTAGTTGCCGTCATATCACCTGATAACTCTGTTATCCTTCCGCCTCAAAATGTACCAAAACCAGGCAGAAAATGTTAATTCAAACCCTCTTTGTCCATTCTAAGCCAAAAAATCAACAAAAATTAGCGTGCAAAAGGGGAGAAAAGAGACAGAGAGAGAATTGCTATAAATAGACGAACTACAATTGGTGAAATTTTGAGACAGTGAAATTTTGGTCTGCCTCCATTTGACCACAGATCACTAACGATTTCCCCATTATATTGACTTTAATGTTAATTCTCGTCTCTTAGACCGGCACTAACCTTTTCCCAAATTTTCGTTGGGTATAACTCTTTCTGCCACAGATGGAGCAACATGTGGCCTAAACATGCAATTTTCCGACCCAAATTTCAAACTGACTATCCTCTCAACTCTTGTATCCTTCTGCCTCAAAATCATAATAGAAAATGTATTTTCAAACCCTTTTCTTCGATTCTACACCAATAAGTCAACAAAAATCGCCATGCAAAAGTGCCGGGGGGGGGGGGGGAGAAAGACTCAAAATAACTTTTGCCCTTCATTCGTGGATGACGGTGTAGGAATATTTGGTGAGCTGTGTTGATTAGTGTTAATAGGAACTGTATGCTTTCGTTGTATTTTGGAGCAGATTCTCGCATAACGCCTCGATCGTGCGAAAGCCCATAAGGCTCATTCCAAATTCCAAATTTCAAATGCGAAATTCCAAATTCCAAATGCGAAATTCCAAATTCATGTCTTACCGATAAAATAGCAAATTGGCAGCCCCCCTCATTTAAACAAATTAGAATTTCTATAAATTGTAATTTTACACAACTAATTACTTCTAGTTTACCTATCTGGGCCGGATAAATAACCGTTTCAAATTACTAGATTCCAAGAGTACTCACAAGCAGGGGCGCCGGAACCGGGTACCAGGGTATACAAATGGTACCCTGCCCTTTTCTGGGGTTTTCTGGGGTATACATGTATACCCATGCCATAATGATGAAAGTTTTCAACTTTTACTAGTCTATTCATTTTTAACTGATAGATATGTAATTGCTGTCTGGTCGGTCGCGAACTCTCATTATCAGCTATGAACGCCTTGGCCAGATGCGACATCTAAAAAACCTGGGACCTGTTTCACGAAATTTTAACTAAGATAAAATCCAGATTTTAGTAATTTGATTGGATAATATTAGACTGATTTTAGTGCTTAGCCAATCAAAATTATCTACTAAAATATGGATTTTATCTTTAGTTAAGATTTCGAGAAACAGGGCCCTGGACTAGGTCCACAATATCTCAGAATTCTCTGAACAATCGACTATTTGCCAAAATTCACAAGTTGAGAATGGAAGAAATAGACATTGTGAAAATATTATCTGAATTTATTGTGAAATCTGATCAGCGCATCCAAACGCGGATCCAGAGGGGGGGGGGGGCGCCCCCCCCCCCCGCTCAGGCTTCAAAATTTAAAGGGTCCGAGAAACTTAAATCTAAAAGCCTAAATCTGATCCAAAAATTGCGAGTTTGTATACATTGAGTTGAGTCATGACTTTCATTCCATTGTGGGCAAAAACAAATAGTCACATACAGCTCTGGCAATTAGCCAAAAACGTGTACAGCATAAATTGCCGTCGGGATTAATTGACCCCACGGCAAATCGCCTATTGACGACGGCAATTTTTAAATACCGTACTGTATGAAAATATACGTTTATTGAAATTTAAAGACCACGTGTGTTTAAAATCGGGTAATTAGAGATTAACAATAAACTAAATTCATCATCAATCGATTTATTTTATTAGCCTTATTGTCAAGGATCCTAACCGTCGAATTCCCTTCCTTTCGTTTCTCCTTTTTCTCGTACACAAAGCAACTATTGAAAGCTATATTATTTATTTTTATGCGCTGAAAGTAAAAACAGTAAACCAAGTCTATAGACTTTTCGTCTGTGAAAGTTTGTGCTCTGGAAAACCCCGACCAACTTTCCTATACTTAAATGGACTGGTTACTCTAATAGTAAATTGATACTGCTAATAAAGCTTGTTAAAGGAGCTAAATCGCTAATATTTTGGACCAAGTAATTGGCACAAATGGTTCGCAACACATATAATAATGTAATATGAATTTATATAAACTGTTTTACATTCAATCGTGTCCGTTTTACTGTGAATTGTCATCAGTTATGTTCGGCGTAATACGCCAGAAGTCTCAACCGCAAGTCAGTTTCTAGCGTCTGGTTATTCCAGTCAACATCGATATTATTTATTGCGCATGCTCTCCAAATAAGAACATGATATCACCGTTTGACATGACTTGTGGAATATGTCTAGCCCCATTCTTTGAGCACCTTGTTACAAATGGCGCTGAAACGCATTATGGTACACGATTCGTGTACCAATGGTAAAATGTTTATTTTATCTTAAATATTGGATATCAGAAGCCCATCTTTTCCAGGTAAGATCACAACACCAATGCTGATTTAAATTGCAAAAAAATTCGTGTTTTCAATGTCGAAGATTTTGGATGATACTGAGTTACGGACTTAGCTACTTTAAGAACAACGATAATATGGTATCTGAAGATATTTTGTTCCTCACCTGTGAAGGGAGCATTCCCCATTCTTTATTTTAAGGAGATTTTATGCGATTTTATTGGCGATTTTTAGACCTGTAATTTTGGAATTTACCTTCCGGAAATACGCCAGAATGCATCAAATTGAATCTAATTTACCAAATTTTTCTGGGGGAGGTCCCCCCCAACCCCCCGTTAGAACGTTTAGCGCCTTCGGCAAAACATCCTGGATCCGCGCCTGGCATCATGGGCGCAGATCCCGGTGGGGACACCGGGACGGTCCCCACCACTTATTTCCGATGTTTTGCTTACTGTTTATTTTTTTAAATTGAAATCATTCCAGAGCTTTTATTGACATTTCAGAAAGTGTAGAGTTGGTCCCAGGCACTTGAGGACAGGGTCCTTGAAGTTGTACAGCTGCACCCGGTGACCGATTTTTATTTAACAGGGAATAAGTGATAATTCGTATTATAACAGTAAATAATTAAAATATTCCATAGGGATTATAATATGTATATCATGTAGGTGTGCATATCTGATACGCTGGGTATTAAAGGGTTAAGGAATAACTGAGAAGTACAGTAAGTTGAGCCAAGAATCGTGTACTTATTATTACAAGTAAGTGAAATGTTTTTGCTGTTATGAAGATGGATTAGAAATTTAGGAAATTTATCGGAAAAGACATTTTTTAAAACCTGTCATGGGCCGTCGAGAAAGAAGACAAAGCGAAAAGAACCGGACAGAGTGGATATAAGTGTAGGCCTACTGTTCTTTAGTTTTAAATATATTAAACACTTTTTTGAATGTTTTTTTCTATTAAAAAATTGCTCTCTGAACTATTTTGTTATTGGTAAAAACTCCTCAGAATCGCTGATAATGCATATTTAGACACCATTTTGCAACAAAAATTCAAAAAATTGTAAGCCCCCCCCCCACCCCACCTCTAGCACTGGCGTTTGGTTATATAGTCGGTCCTTTTATTTCACAAACGAACCCGCTCACCTTGCTTCCAGCCTACGGGCCCGACTCTATATGAACGCTTATAAATTTCTAGAGAAAATATTCTTTAAGTTATTATTGGGATCGAACACTACTGGTAATGGATGCGGAGCTGGAATCTCAGTAGTGTAAATACATGTATTTCTAGTTCTTGTAGTGTACATGAGAGAATAAATCGTGAACGGTGGCTTGAAGATTTGTCTTTAGATTAGATTTCGTATCATTTGCTGCCTGAGGGATTAGAATTGTTTGCCAGAAAATGATGCTGAAAATACCCACGCGTCTAGTTTTCAAAAAATTTCGGGGGAGGACCCCCGAACCCCACTCTCTGCCAATAGTCGCCCGCGCATGGACTGTCCCCACCACTAATTTTTACCGATCTGCGCCCCTGCCTGGCATCAATTATTTCGGTCGATTATAGTCTCATTGTATTGTCTCGTCAACACTAGCTCCAGAATATGAGCTCTTGCAAGAATCATGTCTTTAAATATACTAGCTGTCTCGTTCAAAAAGCTTATTCTATTTTCTTGATGAACATTGGTGTATTGAATGTCAAATTTGCTCATGATACGAAAATTGTGAATAATCCGGCTTTTGTCTCTTTTATTATCATGTATTTTAAAGGGTTTTATGTTGGAATGCTAGATGCGCTCTAAACAGCGTTCTCAGAATTGACAAATTTCAAAATTTTCTAGAGGCCGGGGGGAGACTCCCGGACCCCCCTACCTTTTGGTACCCTGGCCCTCGCGCCGTTCCGCGCCCCTGCTCACAAGCATTTTACAAGTTTCATTGTAGATAACAAACCTCATCTCTCAACCTTCCGTGTTTCGAGATAAGAGATGGTCCTATCCATACATGTAGTTTCACGTAGCAAACAGTGGCGGCGCCAGCCGTCGGTGGTTTGAGGGGCAAAGCTGGAAGTTAAGGGGGCAAAGCTGGAGGTTAAGGGGGCAAGTCCAAGGTTAAGGGGGCAAAGGGACGAGCTTCAACTAGGTATAGGGGGCTCCCCTAGAAAATTTTGAAAAACAAGTTGCCGGAAATGCAGCCTGGCAGTATTTCAGGCACTGATCGTTGAGGTAAAGTGTCAGACGAATGGACTTGCGAACCTCGACGAAGCCCACTCACGGCGTTAAAGTAGAGAGTCCTTACGGAGGGTATGAGGGGGGGGGGGCTCCCGCAGAAAATTTTGAAAAATAGACTGATGGAAATGCTGTCTGACAGTATTCAGTCAGGTACCGATCGTTGAGATAAATAGATCTGACCAGATACCGCCCGTCGCCTGATCACTAGTTTATCCGACCAGAGAAAATGTCAAACGAACGGACTTCCGAACCTCAATGAATTCCCCTTGTGAGCGCCAAAGTAGCAGGTCCTTGTGGGGGTCTATTTTGAAAAATAGACTGTCGGAAATACTCTACAAGATGCAAGTCTATGACGGAGTGGGGATGTGGGATTCATTCACCGTAGAAGGTATTGATTACTGAAACATATCACAAATACTTTTTTTTATTTTCTAAAATTATTGGGGGGGGGGGGGGCAAACAGAGGGCAGACCAGATTTATATGACGGTGTATGTCGGATAAAAACAACGCTTCATTAATTTAAACGCGAATATTTGGAGTTAGGCGATAGTTGTGCCTCTGTAAGTTTAATTCGTTATAATAGTATAAAATTACCTTTTTTTTTAAGATGTTACGTGCATGCATTAATAAAGAAACTGAGTTTGTCACTTGGAACTAAAGGCATCCAATCGTAGCTAAAAACAAACACATCAGTATATCTCAACGTTTTTAGCTACGTTCTTGTAGCTAGTTTCAATGTTAATGAAGTTTCTTATCCGGCCAATTTTGAAAATTTGTTGATTTACAGATAGACCATATATGGTTGCCCATGTCAAATTTACTGTCAAAACAAGCCAACAGTGATGCTGATGTTCCCCGCCGAAATCCCAAAATAAATTGATGACACATATTTATATTTCTGTAAAGTATCAAGCAATCAAACTGATAATCAACCATACAGTAAGTTTCATTACTCTCTATCAGATTAAATCAAAGTTGTCTTGTCCCAAGGCATCGACCAATGAAATTGCTTAGCTTTGTCTAGCTTTAGGTCGAAATGTTTATCACTGAACTCAGTCAAGCCATTAACCTAATGAACATTACATCAAGTTTAAACTTTCTACCTCAATTAAAAGAGGAGTTATGTTCCAAAGTCTTGACCAATCAAATTGCTTATCGCTCCTTAGCCTAAGCAGAAAAAAATTCTCATCATCGAACTTAGTCAAGGTAATGATATAATGAACCTAACTGGGAGTCTCACTTAATTAAAACTATAAAGGTATCGTGCCCCAAAGCATCAACCAATCGGATTGCTTATCATTCTCTGCTTATCATCGAACTCCATCAAGGCATTCACCCAATGAACGCCCACACCAAGTTTGATCATTTTACCTCAGTTAGAAGGAGAGTTATGGTGTTTCAAAGTCTCGAGCAATCAAATTGCTTACCGCTCTGCTTACCCTGAACAGAAGATGCTTATTATCGAAATTAGTCAAGTTATTGATGTGATAAAACTATACACCAAGTGTCATCACTGTCACATAATTTGAACTAAAGTTATCGTGTCAAGCATCAACCAATAAAATTGCTTATCTCTGCTTACCCTAAGCAGAAAATTCTCATCTTCGAACTTCATCAAGGCATTCACCTAATAAACACCTATGCCAAGTGTGAACATTCTAGCTAAATTAGAATCAGAGTTATGGTGTTCCAAAGTCTCTACCAATCAAATTGCTTATCACTCTGCTTACCCTGAGCAGAAAATACTCATTAAGGAACTTAGTCAAGGTATTGATGTAATAAAAATATATACCAGGTTTGATCACTCTCACTTAATTAGAACTAAAGTTATCGTGTGTAACACTCTCTTACAGATAACAGAATATCAGCATAATTAGAAGACCTTTATTGAGAACATGAAATAGACATAAATCGAGAGGAGCTCTATTCCAAGTCTGACTTGCTGTCAGTAAACGTCTGCTTATAAAGCCTCTAACAATTAGCTGAGGTGGACAAGAGTGATAATCATATATGGTATTGTTTATTATCAATTATGGTGTTTGTAATTAAACTGCATATTTCTTTGAAAGTCATTGTCAGGTCATGGTATAATGAAATCACCACTAATACATTCTCTTTGAAATTCAGTCTAGTGTTACACGCGGATCATGTGTAGCTTGTTAAAGAACATCTTGAATAAACGAGATGATTATTAAGAAGTTGTCGAGAGTTTAAACGTCAACTTCAGTTATAGATCAGTTTTGTCACACCAGGTTACTTATTAAAAACAAGCCAACAGTGAGGATGATGTCCCCCGCCGAAATAGAAAAATAATTAGAGGACACATATAAATTTATCACAAATTATCTTTTACAAAGTATTGAACAATCAAACAGTATATCTTTACTTCCAAAGTCTCGACCAATCAAATTGCGTATCGCTCTGCTTACCCTGAGCAGAAAATGCTCATTATCAAACTTAGTCAAGGTATTACTGTAATGAAACTATACACCAAGTTTCATCAATCTCACTTAATTAGAACTAAAGTTATCGTGTCCCAAAGCATCAACCAATCAAATTGCTTATCTCTGCTTACCCTAAGCGGAAAATGCTCATCTTCGAACTCCATCAAGGCATTGACCTAATCAACACATACACCAAGTTTGAACATTCTAGCTCAATTAGGAAGAGAGTTATCGTGCACCAAAGTATCAACCAATCAAATTGCTTATCTCTGCTTACCCTAAGCGGAAAATGCTCATCTTCGAACTCCATCAAGGCATTGACCTAATAAACACATACACCAAGTTTGAACATTCTAGCTCAATTAAAAGTTATCGTGTCCCAAAGCATCAACCAATCAAATTGCTTATCTCTGCTTACCCTAAGCGGAAAATGCTCATCTTCGAACTCCATCAAGGCATTGACCTAATCAACACATACACCAAGTTTGAACATTCTAGCCCAATTAGGAAGAGAGTTATCGTGTCCCAAAGCATCAACCAATCAAATTGCTTATCTCTGCTTACCCTAAGCGGAAAATGCTCATCTTCGAACTCCATCAAGGCATTGACCTAATAAACACATACACCAAGTTTGAACATTCTAGCTCAATTAGGAAGAGAGTTATTGTGTCCCAAAAAGTGTGACGGACAGACGGACAGACAGACAGACGGACAGACAGACGGACGAACCCATTTTAATAGTCCCCTGCTTTCTTCGAAAGGCGGGGGACAATAAATAATGAACATAATATAAACGTCAACTTCAGGTATAAATCACTCTGTTACACGTGTCCCAAAGCATCAACCAATCAAATTGCTTATCTCTGTTTACCATAAGCAGAAAATGCTCATCTTCGAACTCCATCAAGTGATTGACCTAATAAATACCTACACCAAGTTTGAACATTCTAGCTCAATTAGAAGGAGAGTTATTGTGTCCCGAAAGTGTGAGGGACTGACGGACAGACAGACAGACAGGCGGACGTACCCATTTTCATAGTCCCCTGCTTTCTTCGAAAGGCGGAGGACAAATATGGCTGTATGTGGAGAAGGAGAAGGCTTTCGTCAAATTTTTATACCCAGAACAGTTTTATTTTGAAACATTGTCTAAATAACAAGGAAAATCATTTCTTGAGTTTTCTTTAACTTTATTTATCAGAACTAATTTATTTGAAATGATCAATTCTTTTATTTATAAAAATAACCCGTGACCGCGTAAGAAAATGCCGACATTGCAAAGACAGGGGTAGCTTAAAATAAACAAACTATCGTGAGGAAAACTTTACCACAAAAAGTTTTATATAACAAGCCGTAACAAATGTCACCATATGAAGGAAACACACATGAACTGTTCAAACAACAAGTTTTAATTGATTACTGGCTCAAACTAGGTACAGTTTTTTGTTTTTTAAAACCTTACGTAGCAATATTAGATGGTCGACCGTGTCGAGATTCAGATTTAATCTTTTGATGGTAACTATATTTCCCGCGGCAGAAAACACTCTCCGAAGGTACCAAGGTGACTGGAATACTAAAATAAGATTTAGCCAGTCATGGCTATCTAAATTTAGCAGACGAAATAAACAAAGACCATATGTATACCTCATTAACGCACAGAATAACTAACTGTACAGCTCTATTCATCGGCAATGTGCATGACTGGGAGCTCGCCATGGGCCATGCCATTCGTCTAATATATGAACTGTGCTGCTTACGACTATTTAAAAATAATAAAACAGTTGTATAGGGTAGAAAGACTAAAAGTAAAAGCTTCAGATCTGTTGATAAGTTTCAAGCCTTATTTGCAGGAAATTATTTCTCATTTAACCCTTTATAAGAAAGCAGCGACAAGAGGGGCCGTTCCAAAATATCACAAACAGTTATGAAAAAAGCATCAAATAACCCAAATAGTTTAAGTATCTGAATATCCGCGATATTCGAATAGAAGTTTCAACACTAGCAGGCAACCCTACTCCTTGTCAATTACAAGTGTGAGATCAATACCACAGCAATGACAAAATATGACCAGTGTGGGAATAAAAACTAGAAGCATGTAATCTGACAATTAGTATTCATCAGCAAACATTTCTCCCATAACAGATAATTTCATATGATATGGTAAAGCTGGACAGTGAAGTAACTTTGGTAAATATGTATAATTTAAAGAATAGTTTCTCATTTTCTTATATAATTTATGTATATCAGGTGGATCCAGGTTGGTTGTGTCATCTTTTGATTTTTTAGTAAAAAGATTTATTATTTGTTGGGCTAAACTAATTGTTTGCTTTCTCCTTGTTTTTTGCATCTTTAATTCTTCCGACACTGGTTTATTTAACACTTCACCAATATTTGATATATTTTCATGAATATCTGACTCATCTTTAGTTGAGTTTTTCACATTAAATAATACCCCATTTTTATATTTTTCAAACAATTTCTCTACTTCCTCAGGCTCCATTCCTGATGGTGCAACTATTTTTAGAAATTCTGAGAAAGTTTTATTATTAAGAATAGAATTGTCAGTATTTTCTACTTTCTCTGTTTTTGCTTCTTCTGTCTGCCTTATATCTTCTTTACTAATGGATTTCTGACTGCCTAAATTCATATCAGATTCCACATTTTCTTTCTTGTCTTTATCTGACAAAAGTTTTTTATTATTCCTCATCTTTTTACCCTGAATCAAATTCCCATTGACCTCTGTAATTTCTAAGAGTTCTAGTAAGTTTATGTTATTGTGAAATTCTTGTAAAATCCGATCTTCTTCATTTTTTTGAGCACTACAACAGTGAACAGCCGCCATATCAATGGGATGAGCTTCGGTATTAAATATATAGGCACCAGTATCTATAAGACATTCACCAGTAGGTGTTTGTATAATGGTACCTTTACCACCAGTATTATGTATAAAATTGTCTGTATCAAACAGAAGGTAAAGATATTTGGTTGTTTCAGCAAGGAAGAAAGATTCCATTCTGTTTTCTAATCTATGGTCTCTTACATCTTTAATCTGAAATATAATCAATACAAGTTTAAACAGAAATAAAATATGGCAGACTAGTTCACATAAACAAGTATAAATAGGTCAAAGATAGGTTGCCAGGCAACGAAACATACGCCCACAGCAGCTAAATCGTCCGGGGAGTCAACAAGAGTTGTCGCATATTTTTACTTTTTTCGTTAATTAAACATTTATAATACATTAAAATCTGATAAAGAGTAACAACTAATTAAGTAATTATCAGAAAACCATTAGAATTTGTTTGGTTTTTATAAAGTTCTGCCCCATGCTAATGTTTAGTATAGAAAACTTTTAACATCATGGATTTAGTTGTTCAAGTCATAAAAATTCATTGAAAATCAATATACTTGCTCGTCTCAAGACCTTAAACTCTGTGTATCAATCTGAAGTCAATCGGATATTAACTTTAGCCTCTAGAGCGTCCACAAGATTTTTTGAAGTGATCAAGGGCCATAACTCTGGCAGTAATTATCGGAAATCGCTGAAAATCAATAGGCTTCTTCGTCTCATGACCTTAAACACCGTGTATAAGTTTAAAGTCAATCGGATATTAACTTTAGCCTCTAGAGCGTCCACAAGCAATTGTGGACGCCGGACCGACGGACGGACGGGGGTGACGACATTTACAAGTGGGAGTATATAAATGATAACTGTTTCATAATACAATACTGATAGGGAAATTAATATATATAAACAAAATTTTACTGGTAATAAAACATTGATTTTAAAATATTAAAGAGAAAAATTTTGAAAATTCATCTCAAATCTTACCGTAGCATATCCACAGTTTGTCCGAGAGCTATGTTCTATAGCTTCAAGAAGATCGATACCAATTTCAAGCAAATATGGATCTTTGGTTGCTTGATACAGATAAACAGCACTCTCTACTAATTCTATAAAACAAAATAAAACTATGGTTATAGATAACTCAGAACCAATTTTTAAGATGTTTGGACTCATTTAATTTATTATACATAATTGAGTTAATGTTCCAGGACTGGCTGAAAAGTTCTAAGCCTATCTGTGAAAGACCTGTACAAAGTCGATGGTTTCCATTTATTTTTCTACATAGTCCCTTTCAATGTGTAGACACCATGACTAGGAAAATAACGACCGGCTAGTTTATTTTTCATTCTCGAATCCAGATCTCATACATGGTTACAAATCTGGCCAAAAATCTTATCCGTTTCTGATCCGTAGTCAAAGACTTTGGCACCAATCTTGCAGAAACTTTTGTCATTCCTAACTCGTTGGCCATAATGTACTCAACCCTCTCCTGAGAGATGCCTACAGCACCGGCAATATGTTGAGTGGTCAATTGTCGATCAGCCGTCACCATGTCATGCACCCGGGTAATGTTTTCGTGAAATGCATGGTTGCTGATGATGACCTTCCAGGGCGCGGGTCATCGTCAAGTTTCTCTCTGCCACGCTTAATGCAGTACTATGGGTTCACATACATGTATTGTAGAAAAGTCATATCAAATGAATGAGTAATGGGTTGACACATAAAAAGATTTATAAAACCAAAACATAGCTGGTTCTGAAAACAAAATATCACCAGATCACTTGTGATAGAAAAATTACTATTGCATCATTTGGCTTAGTAATCAATCATTATAATTAATAACGTCATATTTGACCAATTAGATAACTAAAAGCCGAAACCCAAGGGTCGGTAGACAGCCGCTAGATTCTTAGAGGGGAAGATGTAGCAAGTTCTGTCAGCAGACTTGCTCTTGCGAGTTTGGATGGGAGTGGGATTGAGAGAATGACTTTATTGTAATCTATGTTTGTAACCTATGTATCCAGTGCTGGACATAAAATGTAGCAACAAACTGTAGCCTTGTTATTCCTGGTAGATAAATGTCTTGACTGCTGAGATGGTAAGAAGAAAATACACAAGTGAGTCCAAGAAGAGAATAAGAAACAAATATTAAAATATGTAGCAGAAGAGAGTATGTTTCACATGTCGCCTGTGGGGTGTTTTCCTGTGTATTTTCCACATCTAACCAGCACTGCATGGTACTACATAAAATTCTACAGTCCACTTATTTACTGTGGAAAAGGAAGGGGCATCATCCCCTAAAGTGGACACCTTGTGGGCATGTATCTGTGTTGGGGTTATTCCATTGGTTCCATGTTGGTCCTATCTGCCGGTCAAGACCGAGGGCTATGGAAAATGACTGTTACTAGATCTGACCCATTTTTCTTCAAAACCCAAATTCCAACGTGGCTACGATGACCTCCACTATGTAACTATAAAATTGTACGGCCAGTACAGAATAATGCACACGTATAGAAGCCACATAATTTCATGATTGGTATTATAGAGTTGTACACATAGTCGTCCACAGATTATACTGAGTGTTGTGTTGATAATTAATGTTGAGTGTTTGGTAGTAGAACAATAAAAGTTAATTGATATTCTGGGAATCTTATCAATTTGAACACCCACATATTGTCCATGTGTCATAAGAATTTTCTAGAACAAAGCCGCTTTACCGCTAGTACAGTCGCGCACGATGTAAACAAGATTATTACAATCTTAGAAAAAATAGAAATCAGATATGAAGTACTGCTCTTTGAATCCAAACAGGATAGAAACTACGTAAATCCTCAACAACGACATGTTGAGAGAAAAATCAATTATAATTTTTTTTACAGCGGTATTACGGCCTTGTGGGATTTGCAGAAATAAAATCTAGAGATTAGTTAACCAGCTTACCGAAAAATTAAGAAAATTACGTATTCCAGTGCTACTGATAATTCCACATGTTGCAAAAATGTTGTGTATATATGGTTACTCTTATTATACATTATGCTTGTGTCGCTAGCAGCGAAGTTAGTTATCCATTAGTTATTTAGTTATATATTATTAGGATTACGTCACAATTCCGCTGTCCGTAGTGCCGTAAAGATATGCTCTAAAACCGATAAAAGTGATAAATGTATCTTCATTTAAAAGTTATTGTTAGTCCTTTCCGTTGCAGGTAATAATAACACTACAGTTGCAGTTCAATCTTATGTCTATGATTTATTCAATGATTTTACTTAATTGTGGCAAAATTGATCTATTCTTTTCTGGTTTAGAACTTTTCAGCCTTTGCTCTTATGCAAAGAAGAGACAAAACAGGAATGATAAATCGTCTACTCAGTAGGTTTTTTAAGTCAAGGGCCAAACAATACACTGGAGTTCACATAGCTAATATGTTATGATCCAATAACATAAACTTAAAAGCTGTGAACTCTAGACCTAATTCAGTTAAGTGAGAGACTGAGGTTTAGGAGTGACAGACTCAATAAATGCATGGAAATTTTGATTTGGTCCCACTGATAAATATCCAAACATCGGCCAGTCTCAGGATGGTAGTGTGATGGCATCCAAACCTTTCCTTATTATCAGATGTTCAGTATTGCAAGATTAAAGTGCATCATATCCATTTACATATTGTGTGTTATTCACACACGCATGTAGATCATGCAGTTTTTAGCACCAAATTTAACATTTTTACTGCGTCTTTCGTAGTATGCATTGCCTTTTATGGTATGGGCTTTATATATTAACAGAGATCAATGCGTGGGAGAATGACATTGTTACTGAAAAAAATTAAATAGTGTATATTAATAACTAATAATGTAGTTTCTTGTCTTTAAGTTACCTGGTCGAAGAGGATAGCCAGCACGTTGCTGATGTACTTCTGCTTTTGGTATATTGTAAAATTCAGGTGTAAAACCATATTGTTTGGCAACCTGATGAAAATTGTGTATTGTCTTCATTCCTTTTTCAACATCTCCCAACATACACTAGAAGGAACAAACGTGAATTTTACAATGATCTGAGATGCTACAGGACATAGTAATTTATTAGGTACAATGGTGGATTGAACATGAGCATTTAAAGTTGTGCCCAGATACAGATTTGCTTCCACTCACGAACCTCTGGCCATATCTCTTGGCAAGAACAGTGACAATGAAGTCCAACTGAGGGATTTCTGATTTGTTCACAAACCAATACACAATATGCAGAATTGAAACGAGTGATTGGAGGGTTTTAGTAATAAATCGTTCAGCATAAGATTTGATACAGCTAGGATCCTTGCTCCATAAGCTATAATTAAAGAGTTTCACCCAGAATCTAATTAAACTTAAAGATTAATTACCTGTATTCCTGGCCAATATGCATCTAGAGAAGTAAAAACAGGTATGGTTATACCACCTTTCTTCATATTAGCCCACATATACCAATCGTCACGTTTAACCTGATTTACTATCACATTCTCATATTCTATAAATAATAACAAAACTTCATCTTTAATAAATGTAGGTTGCCAGGCAATTAAACATACGCCAACCAGCAACTAAGTCATTCAAACAGTTACAAGCTTAACAACTCATAACAATTTCAAAAGGATCAGATCATATTAAAGCCTCTAATGGGTTAACATGATTTGTAACAAAGGGGAATAACTCTGGATCTTATTAAAATTCATTGAGCATCAAATGAGTTCTTTCAATAAGATAGATAATAAATTTAATATCCTCTACCAAATGGGAATAACTCTGAAAGTCATTATCAAAAATCAATGAAAATCAATCAGCATTTCCATTTCAATGCGACTGACAATTCATGTCAATTTAAAAAAAGATACATAGCTTCTATTGTGCTTTTAAGTCCAAGTAGTTAACCTTGGAAGTTGTGCACAAAACAATAAACACTTAATCTTTTATCAGACCACTATCCTGCAGCTGTGACTAGGCAAAAAACTATTACCAATCTGATTAAAACACAGATCCTATTTCATTTCATTTTTTTAATTCAAAATTTCGTTTTACTCGTCTTTACTACACTAAGATCTGGAAGAGTTGTTATATAACCCTTGTTCTGGATGATGTGAACGATTAGCCAATGAAATGGTCTGTTACGGCGAGTTGACGTGAGGTGCATGGAACTGTGGGTTATCCACTAGAAACATCAACGCTGATTGGTTAATCAAATGTCTGATGACATGGGGTCAAAAGCCGATCGTATGACCATTGACATGACCTTCCACTAAAACCGGTCAGATCTTCATTTGGTAGAGGCCATCCAAAGTATAAAAAAAATAGAAATATAGATCTACATTTTAATCAGATTGAATTATTACCTAACTTACTTACATTTCTACTAGATTTATTTAAATTCCTTCATGCATAAATTGAATGCAAGAAAGAAATACAGGGTTTGATTTCCACTTTTATCACATTTAATTAGGGGTTAATGTATAGTTAGCAAGAATCGGTACCATGCATATTTTATTGGGAATGTCTGAATATAATTCCTGTCCTTTCATAGTGATCATGTCACTGGCATACAATAGAAGTTATCCAACGAAAATCTCAATTCAATATGAAGGATTTGTGAAAGAATTCATAAAAGAATTTAAAGATATAACCACCTCTAAACATTTCCAATAGTTCTGGAATATTGAACATAATAGATCCTTTAACTAGATATTCAAAGTAAGAATCCACACCACCTCCAATACCAGAATCTAAGGCTGTCCATTTTCCTGTAGCTACATCAATATGATTACCAATCTAAAATATACATATAATTTCATCATAGCAAACTAAATGGATCATCTGTAATAATATCAAGATGTTTAATTTACTAATTTCATGTTGCTGGTGCGGTACAACTGCTTAATAAAACATAGATTAACAATACAGAACAGATGGCCATCTGTAGGCCTGAATAACCCACCAATATCAATATATTAAACATGCATTATGCAAGAGCAAAATCTGCTTATTACAAGTCTTTCTTTAGGCCTGAAATGTTATCTAAATTATCAATTAGACATTAATTAACTTATCCAGACCATAATAAACTCTCGATGTCAAGGCTAGCCTTCGATGTTGGCTGGATTAGATTCCTATATGCCGCTTAACGGCCATTGATAATTAAATCAAAACAGTGGATAATTGAGACTATTCTGTTTATATTAATGATTTTAGTAATGATGACCGAGACTATGCGAAAATTTCACCCGCTTCATTCTCGGCTCATAATAGATCAGTTTGACTGAAATTTTCAGCAAATTACCTTTACACTATCTAGTTTTTAACTATTATAGCGAGAACTGCCATCTTTTTATCTTATCTTCCATAATGTATCTTTAATAATTTCTCACATCAGAGAAAATTTCTAGATTTCTCTGTGCAAGATGCCCCTATTTATACACAAACTTTTAAGTCAGCATTCAAACACAACTTTTCCCCATACAGGTACCCCTCATCTGCCCAACTCCATTGGGCTGTTTTCCAGAAAATATACAACCTAGCTCTCATTCATTAGTAACAATTTTTCTTGAGCAAAATCCTGTGTACAATTAAAAAAACAGTTACCATTCCAATAGATGATTTCTGTTCCCATAATGCCCTCAGTGCCCTCATCGCAACTTTTTCAAATATAGGATCTCCAATTAAACGGCTCAATGTTCCAAACTCAATTAAAAAAGTTCCTACTCCAGCAGTACATGTAATGGTCGTTTCATCTTGTGGAACACCATGTCGTAAGTTGACAGTACCATATGGCATACCAGTAGGTGTATCAAATGCTGCAATATTAATGTGGAATAAGTCAATGGAAATAAATATAATAAGAGCCAAGTGGGTATTGGTTAAGTTCTATCAATATATTAACAAATTTCTTTATCAGAAAATGTTCATTTGTTCATTTAATTAACCCTTTATGCATACTGCAAAACTAATATTGCAACCAAATGTTGTCTAACTCTGCACTTTCAAGGTTGCAAGGCAACGAAACAGCCCACAAAAACTACAACAAGCGGTTGCCATGCAAGATACACTCACATTTTGCAAGAGATGGACTGAGAACAAGCTCAAAAAAAGAAGTGATTGTTCATACAATCAAGGGTCATAATTCAGGAAGTTACGATCCAATATGCATGAATATTGAAAGGAACCAAGATCTTTGGGTTATAAACATGTATTTCAAGTTTCAAGAAAATCAGATAAAAATTGTGACCTCTATAGTGTCCACAACCTTGATATACCATATTTTTACGCTATTTGAGAACGAACAGAGGCCATTTTGTCTGTCAATTTTGGGCCGTTTTTCACGAAATTCGAACTCAGCCGTCCTTAGGGTGTAACGGTATAATAATTATACGTTTTTTTAAATCGGATAAAAATTATGACAAGGGGCAGTCATTTTGTCCGGCAGCTTTGGTCCGATTTTTACGAGATTCAAACTCAACCATCCTTAGGGTATAACGGTGATATATTCAACCATCATAAGGGTGTAACAGTGATATATTCAAACGTTTTTTTAAATCGGATAAAAATTGTGACATCTAGAGGGATCACTTCCTAAAAACGCGACTTTGGGTTATAAATATGTATTTCAAGTTTCATCAAAATCGGATCAAAATTGTGGCCTGATATTCACAAGAACCTAACTATGAAATAACAGAAATTTTTAAAATTTAACATGCTTGTTTATTTTTACTAATTTTAACAATACATACAAATTTAAAGTAGATCGGACTGTCACTCTGTCACTTGAGTATTCACAAGATATTAATGGAATATGTTCAAACTCAATATAGGGCTGTTATATTGTATTCTATTGGGAATGTCTGCATATAATTCCTGTTAGGGCTGTACGATATTCTCGATATAGTCATTTATCGCGATATGGTATTTTCAGATCCAACTACGATATTATGTGGCCAAAAATCGTCGAAAAAAATGATCATAAAAATAGATAATAAATACACTATACAGCAGTGGAAATTAGCCAACGGAAATAAACTATAAAAAAACAAATGTTTCGAGAATCGTTGAAAACACTTGCGCAGTGTCCGCAACCGTTTTTCACTGCATCATGTATGCGTTACTTTTACTTTGTTTTTAGTTGACAATAAATTGTCAGTTGTTACTACATGTAAAGCTTAGGCCTACTAAAGGCCTGAAATTTCTGCGGCTAATTACCAGGCTATAAATAGGTTGTCATATTTTTAAAAAACAAATATTTTTAGAAAACTCTACGAAACTTAATTTCTGAAAGCAAGAATAAAACAATCTATAAATAGATTACTGTCACTGTTAGGCCAAGAATACCGCAGCCAATCGAATGCTTGAATGGAAGATAGTCCAAATCATTTAGTATTTGTTAAACTTACAATACAAGACTTGAAGACCGCATCTACTTACTTCCGCTGCACGTGATATTTGGTCATTTTCTTACACAAGGTCATAAGCAGACCTTTGTAAACATCAGCGGTTGTATTAAATTTATTTATGGAAATATTCCTGCAACTAGTGTGCCTTCTGAAAGGCTTTTCAGCACCGCAGGAAACATTGTAACCTGTAAACGTACATGTTTAAAACCCGATAAGGTGAATATGCTGGTATTTCTCGGCAGTAACTTGAAATACCAGTCATAATGACAGATGAACTGGCCTTTTATTTATCACCAAGTTTGGTAAAAAAATTGGTATGTTCTAATGTTCTAATGTGAAGACCGCATCTACTTACTTCCGCTGCACGTGATATTTGGTCATTTTCTTACACAAGGTCATAAGCAGACCTTTGTAAACATCAGCGGTTGTATTAAATTTATTTATGGAAATATTCCTGCAACTAGTGTGCCTTCTGAAAGGCTTTTCAGCACCGCAGGAAACATTGTAACCTGTAAACGTACATGTTTAAAACCCGATAAGGTGAATATGCTGGTATTTCTCGGCAGTAACTTGAAATACCAGTCATAATGATAGATGAACTGGCCTTTTATTTATCACCAAGTTTGGTAAAAAAATTGGTATGTTCTAATGTGTAGAAGGAATGTACAGGCATAAGTAATGTCTCCTGTTATTGTGTTAAAAAGCATTGAAACGTTTTTATCCAATCAGCGGCTGCCAGGCAGGATACGCCCACATTTTCGAGAGATGGATAGAGAACAAGCTAACAAGAAAGTGATTTTTCCTACAATCAAGGGCCATAATTCAGGAAATTACAATTCGATATGCGTGAATATCGAAAGGAACCGAGATCTTTGGGTTATAAACTTACATTTCAAGTTTCAAGAAAATCAGATAAAAATTGTGACCTCTATAGTGTCCACAACCTTGATATACCATATTTTTACGCTATTTGAGAACGAACAGAGGCCATTTTGTCTGTCAATTTTGGGCCGTTTTTCACGAAATTCGAACTCAGCCGTCCTTAGGGTGTAACGGTATAATAATTATACGTTTTTTTAAATCGGATAAAAATTATGACCTATATAGGGTCCACAAGCTAAAAACGTGATTTTTCGTACAATCAGGGGCCATAATTCAGGACGTTATGGTCCGATATGCGTGAATATCGAAAGGAACCAAGATCTTTGGATTATAAACTTACATTTTAAGTTTCAAGAAAATCGGATAAAAATTGTGACCTCTATAGTGTCCACAACCTTGATATACCATATTTTTACGCTATTTGAGAATGAACGGCGGCCATTTTGTCTGTCAATTTTGGGCCGATTTTCACGAAATTCGAACTCAGCCGTCGTTAGGGTGTAACGGTATAATAATTATACGTTTTTTTAAATCGGATAAAAATTATGACCTCTATAGGGTCAACAAGCTAAAAACGCGATTTTTGGTACAATCAGGGGCCATAATTCAGGAAGTTACGGTCCGATATGCGCGAATATCGAAAGGAACCGAGATCTTTGGATTATCAACTTAGATTTCAAGTTTCAACAAAATCGGATAAAAATTGTGACCTCTATAGTGTCCACAAGCTAAAAACGTGATTTTTCGTACAAACAGGGGCCATAATCCATGAAGTTTCGATCCGATACATGCCAATATCAAAAGGAACCGAGATCTTTTGGAGATAAACCTATATTTCAAGTTTCGTCAAAATCGGATAAGAATTGTGACCTGTAGAGTGTATGAATAAAGCAATTCTTACCCACAATTCTTACTCACACTGTAGTCAGCTTTAATGCATTTATATTTAATTCATTTAATAGCAAAGTGACATTATTATTAAATATCGCGATATTTAACTATATCGTTGGAAAAAAAGCCAATATCGATATCGTCCCTTTTTGCAATATCGTACAGTTCTAACTCAATATACTTCTTCGTATCACTAATTTCAACAAAGTATATAAATTTCAATTGCAGTTAACTTGTTGCTAGATAGTTCACAAGATTTACAAAGTGACTAAGTAACTAAACTCTTGAAGTAATTAAAAGAAATTGTTGAGATTTGAAAATCAAATCATCACTATAGTCTGTAGAACGTTCACAATAAAAATTCTTAGAGGAAAAAAACAAACTTGTCCTTTTGTCCTTGAATGAAGTGACAATAATATATGACCACATTTGCTTGTGGGTGAATGAAAATAAGTATTTATACCTGGTAATAACTTTCTGGCAACTGTTTCTGCCATACGAAGTAATGGTCCAGAACAAGGCCAACCAGCCTCTAATATCATTCCAGATCTCTTTGATAAGAGATGAGCAGATATCAGACCTCCAACAACTATAAAACAAAAAAAATTGTGTTCCTTAAACATGCAAAATGTAAATCTGCCTATTGCAGGCCTTTCTTTAGGCCTGAAATGTTACATAAACTATTAATTAGACATTTATTGACATAACTAGCGGCTGTCATGCAGATACGCCCACATTTTGCAAGAGATGGATAGAGAACAACTAAACAAAAAGAGATTTTTCCTACAATCAAGGGCCATAATTCAGGAAGTTACGATCCTATATGTGCGAATATCGACAGGAAACATGATCTTTGGGTTATAAAGATATATTTCACAACCTTAATATACCATATATTTACAATATTTGCGCACAAGGGGCTGCCATTTATCCGTCAGTTTTGGTCCCATTCAGCCGTTATTAGGGTGTAACGGTGATATTCAAACTTTTTTTTCAATCAGATTAAAATTGTGATCTCTAGAGGAACCCCAAGCTAAAAACCTGATTTTTCGTACAATCAAGGGCAATAATTCAGGCAGTTAACATCCGATATGCACGAATATCGAAAGGAACCAAGATCTTTTGGTTATAAACTTGCATTTCAAAATCAAAATCAAATGAAAATTGTGACCTGTAGAGTGTCCACAAGTTAAAATCGCGATGTATCGTACAATCGGGGGCCATAATCCACGAAGTTATGGCCCGATTTATGACAATATCGAAAGGAACCGAGATTTTTGGGTGATAGACCTTTATTTTAAGTTTCATCAAACTCGAATAAAAAGGGAGTATAAAAAGACCATAATCAACTCTCGATGCCATCTTATATGTTTGATTTTTATTGGAGTTGAATCCGATCTGCTGTTCAACGCCCATTAATGATTAACCACAAAAACGGATAATCAGGACTTTGTTAACTATCATGACAGCAGTAACAATGACAATCGAGGCTACAGTGATTATAAAATAAGGTTCTCTCAGCTCAGAGTAAAGCAATTTGACTGAAATTATCAGCATATTCCCTTTACATTAGCTATTATAGTGAAAACTGCCAGCTCTTTATCTAATCTTCCATAATTATCTTTAAATATCCAAATTTTGCATTATTTCTCCATGCAAATACAGTGTAAATAAAGGTAAAATCTATTAGTAGTTTTTTGTATAATAATACTAATATATAATGTAATTACAAACTTTTGGTGGAGTGTTGACATGAATTCCTGAAGTGATCAAGGCCAATCACTTGAAAAGAAATTCAATGGATTTATTTGTCTTAAATGCATCCTTTTGTTAATAATTAGTGTATTACCTCTAATGTTTGTTTCAAATACAGATGCATTGATGTCAATATCAAAGAAGTCTTGAGACTTTTCAATCAGTAACTCTGCAATTCTTCTGAACTCTGTATGATTTCCCATTACAATTAGAGTGTCCAATGCATCCACCAGTGTTAAAGAATAACTAGATCATAAAAAAAAAAATAAAAGATAGGATGCATATGTCAGATACAGCTTTTGTTATTTTTGAAAGAGATTTTCTGTGATCAGATTGGCTCAATTTAACTCTTTATTCCCACATAAATTAAGAGTTCAGCTCATTCAACACACTAAGAAAACTTGCCTCTTTGTTACACCAATATTGATACAGGAAAGGCTTAAAAAACAAGCCAACAGTGAGGCTGATGTCACCCGCCGAAATCACGAAATCAATATATAGATGACACATTAATTAATTAATTCCAAGTTTATCATTTTCAAAAGTATCTAGCAATCAAACTGATTATCAACTATACACTAAGTTTCACTCTCTATCAGATAGAATCAAAGTCAAAGAAATTTCTTAGCTCTCCTTAGCTTTAGCGGGAAATGTTAATCATTGAACTCGGTCAAGACATTCACCTAATGAACATCAATATCAAGTTTCAACATTCTTCCTCAATTAAAAGCAGAGTTGTTATGTTCCAAAGTCTTGACCAATCAAATTGCTTATTGCTTCTTAGTCTAAGCAGAAAATTCTCATCAAACTTAGTCAAGGTAATGATATAATGAATCTATAATGTACGTGGAGTTTCATAGCTCTCACCTAATTATAACCAAAGTTTTCGTCCCCAAAAGCATCAACCAATCAAATTGCTTATCTCCGCTTACCATCACCAGACAATTTTCATCATCGAACTCCATCAAGGCATTCGCCTAATTAACACCTACAGCAAGCTTGAACATTCTACCTCAATTGGAAGGAGAGTTATTGTGTTTTAAAGTCTCGACCAATCAAATTGCTTATCGCTCTGCTTACCCTCAGCAGAAAATATTCATTATCGGACTTAATCAAGGTATTGATGTAATGAATAAATACACAAAGTTTGATCACTCTAACTTTATCATAACTAAAGTTATCGTGTCCCAAAGCATCAACCAAATTGCTTATCTCTGCTTATCCTAAGCAGTAAATGCTCATCTTCGAACTCCATCAAGGCAGTGACCTAATAAACACCTACACCAAGTTTGAACATTCTAGCTCACTTAGAAGGAGAGTTATTGTGTCCCAAAAAGTGTGACGGACAGACAGATAGGCAGATAGAAGGACGTCCTGACAGACGGACAAACCCATTTTAGAGCAGAGTATAGCATTATGTGCCTTTAAAGAGCAGGAATTTTCATAGGGGCTACCTAAATTTTGAGATCTACCTTTGCAAATATTGTCCTGATGATTATTATTGGGAATATTAAGGAAAATATGGTAATTAACAACCAATAAATATACTTTCATCCTACCTTCCCCATGTATCATGTCCATCACAAGTCAATGGCCGAAGTTCATCATATGGGTATGCATATTTGAGATAAGCATCATAAGCATGATGAAACATTGCTGCCACTCTATCTCTACAAAAGGAATAGATAACAATCAGGTTAATAAGTGAATACAAATTGATGAATTTTGCAACATATGACCAATTTAGTAAACAAAAGACTTATTAGTAAACAAAAGAGTACTGTATTGATTAGAAATGATTCCAGTTTGTGGAAATACCCAGTTATCTCATGATACTGTACTAACTGAAATATTTCAAACATGTCACTTCTGAATATTACTTAGCGGATATGTCTTCCTGTACATGAAATGAAATGGGGTTTAACGTCCTACTGTTCTGCTCCAAACTGGGCTAATGAAGACAGGGGGTCTTCCTGTTCAAGCAATGCTCACATTTGTACAAAATTGCATAAGAAAATCCAAACTAACCTGTAAGATTTCCGCTCATTTTCTGATATTATTCTGCCTTGTACAGGTAAAAAGGCCTGTGTTACAACCAACAATGACATTAACATGGCAAAATGCCTGTTTGCTTGGTTGTGTTTTTGTGTTGGTTTCATCATTCCTCATCCAGTATGTTCTTCATAAAGTATCTTCTTCCTGTAAGTATTTAATCTTATCTAATGTTAAACAATCCTAATAATTAAAGATACATTATGGGAGATTAGATAAAGAGCTGGCAGTTCTTACTATAATAGTTAAAAACTAGATAATGTAAAGGGTATTTGTCAGTCAAATTGATCCACTCTGAACCGAGAATTTGGCAATTGAATTTTCGGCCTAGTCTCGATCATCATTACTAAAGTCTGTACGATAAAAAACATAGTCTTGATTATCCATTTCATGATTGAATCATGAATGAAAGTTGAGTAGCAAATCGGATCCTAATCCAGTAAATATCGCAGGCTAGCGATGACATCGAGAGTTGATTATGGTCTGGATAATTAATGTCTAATTAATAATTTAGATAACATTTCAGGCCTAAAGAAAGACCTGCAATAGGCTGATTTAGCTCAAGATTGCATAATGTATTGTTTAAATATTCTTAACATAATGTCAAATCATACTTTTCTGTATGGCATTAGTTATTTGATAAGTTATTAAAGATGCCTTCCCACTTATAACCTGTGTGATTTGATGATATATTTGGACTAAAATCATATTCAAACAATTTATCTATGAAAAGTTTGCTTCAAATCCCTCTCAAAACATTTTAATTTCAAGAAAAGGTCATTTTAAGCAGCAGTTTTATTTGTCATGTGACTCGATTGAGGGAGAATACATTTTTAGCTTGATTTTTTGTTAAAATATCAAAGCCTTTAGAAGTAAACTTTTGTATTATTACCCACTGCCAACTTCATTTTCTGTCATTTAAATGCAGAGTATGCCTGCTGAACTGAAAGTTTAAGTATTTCTATGTTCTCACAACCACTAGCCATTCGATCAACAAATACGAAGTGCTCTTTACATCCCTCTAGTGTCCCTTGGTGCTCCATGGATGTTTTTCGGGAAATCCAATAGCCATAAATGGCGAACTTCATTGAAATGGAAACGCACAAATTTACGAATTTCGGTTCGTCTTATATGACTGAGTTCGTAAATTTGTGCGTTACCCTTTTAATGAAGTCTGCCAAGTCGGTTAGAAGACGGGGACATATTTTTTAACAGCGTGTTGTGTCTCTCATACAGGTTCTAGCGAGGTCAGTAAGGTCTTATTTTCTCACTGAGATGTTCATATATATTGTTCAGGCGTTCACAGGGACTGACACGCGACCGTTTAGCAGGAAAAAGTTGCCCAGTAAAATTGACTGGAAAGCGATTAGATTTTCGACAAGAATTCAATAGGACAGTTCCTAAACGTACAGGGCGAGTGTATTGAGACCTACGTTCAGAGCTGAGCTGAACTAAGCCTACGACAGTGACATTGAATGAACTGAGCCATTTGTGCCGTGGTCCAATGACGAGACGTCATTGCCGTGGTCTACATAGAAATGGTTCCTCCACTTCTGTCTTCCGCCTTACTCCAGCCACAGTTTAACGTTACAAGTATAATATGGTCTACACTGTCACTGGTCTATATGAATTTTAACCTCACCTACAGTTACACACTATAATGCCTTATAACATCTGAGAACAAGCGTATATAAGGGTTATCTACTAGACTAATGGCAAAGAAGTCGATGTTTTTGTACCGACTTCCACTTTATACAGAAACAGTTGTTTGATCCAGGTCGTCAATGAATGTGTAACTTTATGGCTGCACCGGATATATACAACGAGATTTGGCGAGATTCGTTCTTTTCCGGTTTGGCCATACTGCTAGAACCAAGTGAGTGAAATGAAGTTGTGGAATCGATAGATTATCAAATCAAATACAGCACAATCAATAAAATAAAAATAAAAAAAGTAAACCGTGAACCTTATTGAATAATTCGGAGACGTGTCTGAGTCGGCCTATCCTCTCGATTTTCCATTTTTATTACCGTATGATATCAACAGTCAATGTTTACCTAATACCTCAACCTGGCTGTAGGCCGAGAGTTTTTTTCTTTTGCTCATGCTAATAGTAAAAGGCTATCAAAGGCAAAACCACAATATATTCAAGAAATGATTTGAAGGAATAGTATTTCCTAAAGAAAAGGATGGGACCTGTAGCCTAGAGATTTGAAATAAAATTACTGCTGATATCGCGATAGGCTGATGATAGGCTATCAGAATCTGTTTTCACCAGCCAGACCAGGAGGGATATCGCCTATGCAGTGTGTCGCGCAAAATTCCGCGTTTTTCACGCAATCGTGTCAAAAACTAACTGTCGCTGCCTAATAATGATATACATGCAGAAAATTTCCTGACGTGAGAATAATTAGATCATGTTTAGATAACCGGTAAAATTATTCTATTAATATCTTTGTTGTCATCCTCAATCTATGTGCTTCACACAGAATTTACACAGTAGGGACGGTCATTCCATATCAAATCACCCAATGGGTCTTACCCCACCTCCTTGGATTGTCATGAGGTGGGGTGGTAAAGCTGATTTCCCAAATTTTAACGAAAGCGGATGAACGGTTAGGTTGCTACGGGCAAAATGGGTTAAAATGAACGATTCTTCTAATTTTTAAAGGCCCATATGTCAGCTACTAATGGACCAATCTCAATGACATTGGTACCAATTCACAGAGAATTACACAGGGATTCCAAAATGGATTTGTTTTGTATATAGGAGTATATTTAAGTATCATGACCTGACCTTTAACCTTTCATCTGACCTTGTTGCCCTCCGATGTCAGAGGTCAAGGTCATCTACACGGCAACAGACTAGAACGTAATACAATTGAAAATCATTTATGTTTGAGAATATTTAAAGATACATTATGTAAGATACAGAGCTAACCATTCTAAGATTGCTATAATTAATAGCCCAAAAATAGATAATGTAAAATGAAAATATTGAAAATTTCATTCAAATTACTTTATTCTGAGCCACGTTATCACTGTTTGTAGTTTTGACAAGATGTGTGCAGCAGGGGTTGATATGTTTGTAAAATTTTACTTGTCCCGGGTGACAAGTAGAAATATTTTTTGCTTGTCACTTGGTCATTTTAAGTTGCCACCATTGATTTTTGTTAATTAAAAAGAATTAGAAAGAACTTATTATATTTCAATTTCATTTGTAAGAAGATGCTTACATGTACATTCAGACTTAGTGTTCACTTTAACACATTTTGGCAGAGGTAATGATCTAAATGACAGACCGTTTTCTCACTTGGGAATCTTCACTATTCGACTCGTTTGTGGGGGATCATGTGGGTAAGGCGCTGGCTTGCTAGCCTGGAGGTCGGGTGTTCGATCCCTGCATTGGCCGAGAAAGTTCATCTCGATTTTCCGGCGTGGTTTCCCCTTGTCAGTGATGCAGAACGGAGGGCCTGACAAGGACAGCTGCCTAGTCGTTCGGATGGGACGAAAAACCGAGGTCCCGTGTACACATTGGCGTGCACGTAAAAGATCCCTTGGCAGTTGGAATTCGATATAAGAGTAGGCCGTAGCGCCGCTGCCCGGGCTAAAATTTCCCTCACAGCACACTGTATGGCGTATGCCCGTCTTCAATTAGCCCAGGTTAGGTGCAGAAGAGTAGGAAGTTAAACCCCATTTCATTTCATTTCGACTCGTTTGTTCTTCCGTTTCCGACCCATGGTGATATTATAATTTAACATGATATACAATTAGGCATGCTTGTATATTCCATGCCAAAAGAAGCCACAGTAAATGGAATTCAACTATCAAAATATTTAATTCTCTTCGGAAATATTGTCAGCCATATTTCTTTTTATTTTTAAAGACAAAATGAAACCTCAAATAATAGGCTTTATATAGATCATTGGCAATTATCAATCAACTATAATCATTAATCGAAGACAAATGATCAGTATAGTATTACTCAATGACAAGATCCGGATTATCAGCTAGTTAGTAAAAGTTGTTAGTTGATGTATGCCGCCTGTTCGACACGTGGTACTGGTTGTGATTGACATTTAAATTTCACGGTAATAGTCAATCAAGGATATATACGATTAGAATTTTAAGCTTTTTTTACCGCCAAGTACGCTAAAATTAGGGTGACCCACCATAAATAAATATCTCCAAATATCTCGACAATTACGCCACAATATTTATATATATGCCAAGCCTCAAATCAGTTTCACACAATTATAGTCACTAAATAAACGATCATGTTGTACTTAATAAGCTATGACCATTAATCATCTATAAATATTAGACTGAAAACTGGCTCCAAGTGTCGTCCATAACATCCAGACACTTTTGAGTAAAAGATAGGTTACGTGCCCTTGTTTTGAAATTAGTCTCGCTTAACCAGTCTATCGACTATTCTACGTCTGATTGACAGGTCGGGATAATCAAGACTACTTTTTTATGAAACATAACAGAAAGCTAGAACAAGAAATTGAATTTAGAAATAAGCACTTTAGACAACTCAACAATTGTTTTAAGAAACTTGTAAAAGTGAAATGAAACTACTGCTAGTATCATGTTCCTGCTAAAGAAAGTGATTCAGAGATAGTATTTGTACTAAACCAAAAGATTCCGCTCTTAACGGTACAGTTAATGATAAAGCAATTTAAAAAATAAAACAAACGTAATTACTAAAGCTGCTGTAATAACCAAGAAGCTAAATTTTACTGCTATTCAAAATCGTCAACAATAGATTTTTTACGGCTGTAATAGTTGATATATTTGTAGAGAATTGCACGTGCCATGGCTATTTATCGACTCAAAGCGAGTGCGGGGTAGTCAGAAATCAGTTTGAGACATGCAACTCAAGCGTGCACATTTAGCCGTGTCGAGACCAACTTTCTGTAGAGTGCACGGGTCACCCTACTAAAATCAAATTTTAATCACCACTTCCATTTTTTGTTTTTTATCGCAAATTGCCACTTTGGCGACCGACAGCCTGAGCCCAGATTGCCATGGAGTTATGTAATATTGACTGTGATTGGGTGATTAAGAACGAACAATCAATGACATTACATCTTTCACAGAACCAGTAGTGTTACTATTTTAATGCAAAGAAACCTTTTCTAGGCGTATAGAACGAACTTAAAATGACCATATAAGTTTCAGTCATGTTAATCGGGGACATGGACAGCTATGTCACGTGCTGTTAAATAGTAATACTAATTTGTTTTAAAATGAAAGAGTTCCCTTTTCCAACTTTATTGGAATGGATAAATTAGACAAGACATTTTTAGCCAGAATTTATATAGACCTTATTCTAGTTGTCGGCCAAGTCTTGAGAGTGAGAGGGGGAAGAGTTGTAAGTTGATTTAAAAACTCATATCTTCACTTCAAATCTGATGTTCAAAGACGGGTAGATCAGGCTCTGGCATCTTATTTAATCTTTGTTTATTTCAGGATGTTGATGCCGAAGAAGAACCGTGTTATGATCTATGAATACCTCTTTAAAGAGGGAGTTATGGTAGCTAAAAAAGACTTTTTTGCACCAAGGCATCCTAACATCAATGTACCTAATCTTCATGTAATTAAAGCTCTCACTGTAAGTCAAGGACCATAATAAATAAATAAATATAATTATATTACAAGTATAACCCTAAAAGTGGGCATACATATGTATATGTAGTGTTACCTTGTCCATTCTCCAATATGGTGTTTTTAGAACAAGGTTTGTGATTGAGTCAAGTGGCCTGTCAAAAGTTGAATTCACCACAGCGAATGTTCGTGTTAAAATGACAACTTCCCAAGTGATTACAGGGTAGATATGCAGCACGTGCATATTCCGGAGTAAGTTGTATTAGCCCATAAATAGCCATCTCACATGAAATTTTTCTGCACATCTATCAACTATAAAAGCCATAAAAAATCTGTTAATGATTCTGAATAACAGTTAAATTTAGCCTTTTGGTTGTTACAGCAGCTTTGGAAAATTACATCAGTTTTGTTTTTTTAATTACGTGTTTCAAACCTTCGGTTGAAATGCGTATTGTTTCTGTAAGTGTTTTTATACGCCCACATTTTCATGTGGACGTATATTGCCCTTGCCCCAGTCTGTCCGTCCACAATTTGTTTGTGGACATTGTAGAGGTCAAAATTTTTATCAGATTTTGACGAAACTTGAAATATAGGTCTCTCCCAAAGATCTCATTTCCTTTCGATGTTGGCATGTATCGGACCCTAACTTCATGGATTATGGCCCCTGATTGTACTAAAAATCACGTTTTTAGCTTGTGGACATACTAGAGATCACAATTTTCCTCCGATTTTGATGAAACATGACAAGCAGAGAGATTAATTATATTTACCAAGAACAGCTCTTTTGGCATTTACAATAAATTAAGCTTTCCAAATTCCATTGTTTAAAAGTTTTAACAGTGTAATTGTGAGCTCAGTTTTCATGATTAGATACTTAGATATATAGTGCCCTGTTACACTCTTCAGTGTGTTAATAAAGCGGGTTTTTTGGTCATTTTTTATGTCACACCCACTTTTTGTTGATATTTAGTCTTTTAATTAGGCAAAACAAACCTCAACCCTAGCTGTTTTTGCTTCATGTCATATTACAGTCATTGCAGCCATTTCATTTCATATTTCATGCTTTTCATTTTAAAAAGTACCATATCAATCAAAGCAGGAATGTGGACGTATATTGCAGCGGTAGCGATGCTCTTGTTTTTAAAGACAAAACATGAAATAATCACCTTTGGATTAATCATTAGGAGTAAATAATAACTTGAGTTAGGCTTTATATCATTGGCAATTATCAATCAACTAATCATTAATCCAAGACAACTGATTAGTATTACTCATTGACACAATCCGGATTATCGGCCAATTGATTAATTTATAGTATGCCACCATGTGATTGACACTTGATTATAATTTTAAGATTTTTTTCCCGACAGTTCTCAAAAAGAATCGCCTGTACCACAAAACATTATTGCAAAATTCAACTACTAATCGCCACGTTCAGATTTTTGTTCGCAAATTGCGACTTTGACCGCGACTGTAAGCCCCGACTATAGCGTTAGGGGCGGCATCTTTTGGTTTAGTACAATTGATATTTCTGATCTAGCGTCTTGGGCAAGAATAGAATGGGTTGTATAAATGATTATTATATTTTGTTTGGTTACATTATACTTATATACTATTCAAAAAAAGTAGGGGATATTTGATTTTTAAGTGTTATTAAAGTCACCTAATGAAACGGACGAAGAAACAAATGACAAAATGAAATGAAGTTCACATTCATCGATTTATTCCAAATGATCGTTAGACTAAGTAAGGCACAGACTGACCATTATAAGGGTAAAATGATACCCGGGGTCAAACAGCAAAGTTACCACAGCATCACAACCAAGTCAGTAACGGGTAAATCCTCCTCTGTTTGCCAAACAAGCATTGATCCGACGTGGCATACTCCTAATGAGACGTCTAAGGTCATTTTGGTCCAGATTGTCCCATTCCTGTTGTAACGCAGCAGCAAGTTCTTGGACATTGGCAGGACGTTGTTGACGTTGACGTAACCTCTGTCCAAGCATGTCCCAGACATGCTCGATGGGGGAGAGGTCGGGACTCAGTACTGGCCAAGGTAATGTGGTGATGTTCTGTTGTTGGAGGTAACCTGTAACGATCCTGGCCCTGTGACATCTTGCGTTGTCATCCTGGAAGATGAAACGGCGGCCATGACGTCGTGCGAACGGCACAACATGGACTGCCAAGATGTTGTCCCGGTAGTACTGGCCTGTAACACGCCCTGCAACAACATGTAAAGCCGTTCTTCCAGCAACAGTGATGCCTCCCCACACCATAACAGAACCACCCCCAAATCGATCATGTCTGATGACGTTAACGTCTTGGAAGCGCTCGTTTCAACGACGCCACACCCTCCTACGTCTGTCCAAAAAATCAACAGTGAACCTTGACTCATCTGAAAACATCACATTGCTCCAGCGTCGATTATCCCAGTGTTGACGATCCCTACACCAACGACGTCTTGCCTGAATGTGATGATCTCTCAAACAAGGGATTACGCGAGGACGTCGGGCGCGAAGGTGACCCCTATGCAGTCGATTCCGAATCGTCTGGCCACTCACTCTCACACCAGTGTCTGTTTGAAGACGAGCGCTGATCTGATTTGCTGTGATGACACAATTTCTCAAGGCCAAGGTACGGATAAATCGATCCTGGGCTTGAGTTGTCGCCCTGGGTCGACCTGAGCGTGGTCTGTCCTGTACAGATTGTGTATCACGGTATCTGGACCATAGCCTGCTTATGACAGACTGAGAAACATTCATCGTCCGCGCCACAACCGCCTGGGTTGTGCCGATCTGTAGCATGCCAAGGGCACGTAACCTTTCATTTTGGGTAAGCCGACGCATATCAGAATTTGTTTTCTGGTCACTAAAACAATTAAACTGATGTTTCCACCCTGGAATTCAATGCCACAATGACTGTAACATTCAAAGTCAGAGTCGTGCAAATCTTGGGTTGGACCCCCATGATGATCCCAAGCATCACCTGCATTCCAAGCGGTAGCTATTGGTGCGTTTGGGCGTCACATGTAACTGGAAATGTTTCTTCTGTTAGGTTCTATAGTGACTTTTTTCGTAGTCATTTGCATATTTTAGTATTATGCCCCCAAAATCAAATATCCCCTACTTTTTTTGAATAGTATATATACATTGGCTTCATATATACATTGACATCATATATTGAATATTATTTTGGATTGTTCTGTATCATCCTATGCACATTTGGATACCACAATATAAGCATTAAATCATTTTGAAGCCTCTCCTTTAAATCCCATTCCACTAATTTCTTTATTTATTTTCAGAGTTTAAAATCTCGTGGATTAGTAAGAGAACAGTTTGCCTGGCGTCATTATTACTGGTATTTGACAAATGAAGGAATCCAATTTTTACGTGATTTTCTTCATTTGCCACCTGAAATTGTTCCAGCTACTTTGAAACGACAACAAAGACCAGATACTGCTAGGCCACGAGTATCTACTAAACCTAGTAAGTATCTTTATACAATAGCTAGCATTGTTAGTCTGCCACATAAGTTGTTTTATGTCTTTGGCAAACTAACACAAGAAAGGAACATAAACTTGGTCTTAGTGAAATACATGATAGGAGAGAAGTCAATATTTTTTCTTGACAGAAAACTTTATAATTAAAGTTTATGACAAATTTCTGATTTTGTTTAGTAAAATGAACATGATTAATATTTGAAGCAGGTGATGGAGCTGGACGTGGAGGTGGAGCACATGCTGATAGAGGCGAATATAGAAAGATGACAGGACCACGTAAGTTAAAATATTTGAGTTATTTTTAACCAATCATTCTGCAACTGGATATCTGGGTCTTGAGTTTAGATTCAAGAAGCTATTTCCTTTTACATCAACTACGCTGACTAAACATCTTACAATATAAATCTTACAACAATCTACAAACAATTTTAAATGTTTCTAATTGTTGAGTATGGCTATATGTATAGACCGACCTCGAAATATTAAAAGAAAAAGCTAGGTAACTTTTTTTTTCATATTTCTCGCCTCAGTAACTGGCATGCTCACTCAGTTATCAAAGACCAACCATGCTACAGGGGGGCCTACCATCGAGTCAAGTGGCATGGTTTCCTCCCACTGCTAAAGACCCCTACGCTCAAGTGAATTAATGAAATAAAATTGAACCAAATGTTAGTTTCAAAATGACCTAGTTTGTGTCCAGTGGATGTAGGGTCACATGTCAACCTTGTGGGTTTTCTCTGAGTACTCTGGTTTCCTCCCACTGCTAAAGACCCCCATGCTCAAGTGAATCAATGACATAAAATTGAACCAAATGTTAGTCCCAAAATGACCCAATTTGTGTCCAGTGGATGTTAGCTCTCCCCCTCTCTCCCTCCCACCATGTTACCAAATTACCAACTGATTGAGATCCTGTGTGCATATATCTATGCGCCTTCAATTTGCCAAAGTATATAAACTGCAACAACTTTTCACATAGGCATGCTAGGACTCTGGTGTCTATACATTCACACAATCCTGCAATCTGAATCCAATTGTATTCCAATATTGTCATGGCGACCAGGCCATTAAGAAATTCTAAAATTTATGCAATAAACTGAAAATCAAATCACGACTTCTCACCTTTACCATTCTATTATTGAGTTCTTTTTTCACTTCACAACAATATTTACGCCAACAATAATTAGACCACAAAATTCGGAACCTTGTTATAGATATAACTTTCAAAATGTTGAATTTTGATTAAATTTATTTCAGCTGGAGCAGATAAAAAAGCAGATGTTGGTGCTGGTGCTAATCCAGAATTTAAATTCGTAAGTTGAAAGGTTTATTAATATATTTAAACTTAAGTCAAATTGTCATATTTTTGTGACTAGAACCCATAATTAAGTCATGTCAGGAAAACATGATATATTTCATATTTTTATCGCAAATTGCGACTTTGGCGACCGACAATGTGAGCCCTTGTTGGATGGCCGAATTGTTAGCTCGTGAGCATTGTTTCATAAAGTCTGTCATTGAGTCAACTGACCCAGTTTTACACGACAAGGAGTAGGGTTGCCTGTCCAACCTCGTAGGGTTTCTCCATGTCTTCTGATTTCTTCTCACTGCTAAAGACCCCTACTCTCAAGCAAATTATTGAAATAAAATTGAACCATGTTTGTCCCGAAATGACTTAGTTTGTGTCAGTGGAGGTTGAACCCCATCTCTCTCTCTTTATTTTTCTCTCTCTCTCTTTTTTTTCTCTCTCTCTCTCTCCTTTTGAGACTCTGTTTATGAAGTTCAAGGTTAATAAAATACTGTAAAACAATGTGTCGATCAGTTGAGGCTATCTCATGTTTGGCAGCGAGTAATAATCAAATCGGAATTTAAAGATGTTAACTTCCTATGATTTATTACAAATGACAATATCAAGTACATAATTAATATGTGGTCTTTAGTGAAAGAAAACATTGTTGTGACTACCATTCCTGGGTTTGAAGGTCAGACATGATATGAAAACAAATATGGAGCAGTCAGTAATTTTTTGAACCGGTTCGCTAGAGCAACCGTAACCAGTTAACCGAGTAGCCATTTGTTTCCGGAGCATATCTAATAAACTGCTAATATATCTTTTTGAAACATTGCACACACATCAACCTATTACAGTAGTTGTACCTTTTGTTAATTTGGAATTTCTTGGATTTATAACTTCTTGTGTTTTCATGGAAACAAATTTGACTTAAGTTTTTTGTGTACAATGTTATTTCACAAGCATATCTCATAAACCAAGATATCTTCATGAAACTTTGTACAAATATTAACCTATTATAGTAGTTGTACCTTTTGCCAATTTATAATTTCCCAGATTTAATAATTTGTTTCCATGGAAACAAATTTCTCTGATTTTTACTACACATTTGACTTTTTGGTATATAATTATTATTCTAGTGCATATCTCAGAAACTGTTCAAGTTTTTGATATATAATTATTATTCTAGAGCATATATCTCAAACTTTTCAAGATACCTTTTATAACAATTCTACATTCATCAACTTCTCATTTTATTTTCTGATGACTGTCCTTCTGTCCCGATTAGTTTCCAGAGCATATTTCATTATCCGTTCAAGAAATCCTTTTGAAACTTTGTACAAACATCAACCCATTATAGTATTTTATTTTCTGATGTAGCCCTATAAGTTTATTGTTTAACATACAGTAGCTGATTGAGATAAGCAAAATAGGGAATAGATACCCTGCCTTGCCCAGCTACTGTGATCAGAGCATGAATCTTCTGACTAGTCCCATTGATATTCCAAGAAGTTGTTTCTATACGCCCACATTTAAATGTGGTCGTATATTGTCGTTGCCCCCGTCCGGCCGGCTCTAGAGGCTAAAGTTAATATCCGATTGACTTTAAATTTATACACAGTGTTTAAGATCATGAGACGAAGAAGCCTATTGATTTTCAGCGATTTCCAATAATTACTGCCAGAGTTATGGACCTTGATCACTTCAAAAAATCTTGTGGGCGCTCTAGAGGCCAAAGTTAATATCCGATTGATCTTAAATTTATACACAGTGTTTAAGGTCATGAGACGAAGAAGCCTATTGATTTTCAGCGATTTACGATAATTAATGCCAGAGTTATGGCCCTTGGTCACTTTGAAAAATCTTGTGGACGCTCTAAAGGCCAAAGTTAATATCCGATTGACTTTAAATTTATACACAGTGTTTAAGGTCATGAGATGATAATTACTGCCAGAGTTATGGCCCTTGATCACTTTGAAAAATCTTGTGGACGCTCTAAAGGCTAAAGTTATCATCCGATTGACTTCAGATTGATACAGAGTTTAAGATCTTGAGAGGAACAAGTATGTTGATTTTCAATGAATTTTTATGACTTGGAACAGCTTAATCCATGATATTGAAAGTTTTGTATACAAAACGTTAGCATGGGATAGAACTTTATAAAAACCAAACAAATTCTAATAGTTTTCTCAGTTGTTGCTCTTAATCAGATTTTAGTATATTATAAATGTTTCATTACCGAAAAAAGTAAAAATATGCGACAACTCTTGTTGACTGCCCGGACGATTTAGCTGCTGTGGGCGTATGTTTCGTTGCCTTGCAACCTATCTTTCCATATGCCTGCCAAACAAGTGCAAGGGTGCGGGATGGTGATAACTAGTCATCTTTTAGTGATATTGGTTTTGCGGGAAGGTAAACTGATGGGTGATCAAGCGCACTTTTTTTCTTGTTTACAACTTTATGTAATAATTATAACTTTTTCTTTTTCTTCAGAGAGGTGGATTTGGGCGTGGTGCTCCTCCGTCTCAACAGCAGTAAGAAAATTGTAAAAAGAAAAAAATGAAAAAAAAAGCAATAAAAAAAAATTAAATAACATAGAATGAGTTTATCTTAGACAATTATAGTTTTGCCATAACTCAAGGCTGTGTACTACAGAATCGATTTCCATTAATCATATTTGTATATAATCTAGAGGTTATGAATATTCGCTTTAGTTCACAGCTTTGACATGACGTGGAGTATGGTCACCTGTCCAACCTTGTGAGTTTTCTTCGGATCTTCTGTTTTTCTCATACTGCTGAAGACCTCTATGTGGACCTTTAATTCCATTTCTCTCTAGAAGATGTTGGGGGTGTCGAAAAATGGTGTTATTACAATATCAGATGTTATGAAATGCATATCACAATAGTAATACAAAGGATAGCATAAAAGTTGACTTGGTTCAAGCTGATTGAAACTTAATAACTAGCTAACCATAGTACTTTTGATTGTCTTTGAAGTAAGATACCTTTCATAAGTATGCCCCTTGTTTATGTCATTGACAGCGTTTGTACACAAGGGGCCACCAGTGCCATATTATGCCAAAGGCTGAATAGACTGAAACCTAGGTGCCCATGCAACCTTTTTTTTTCTGCTAAATGTATTAACTCTTTGGATACAGCAAATACAATCTGCGCCAAAATAGGCCTACATTAGTTTCTTTATTTGTGAACTGACCGTTCCTGCAATACAGAAATACTACTCTACCGTCTAAAAAATTGTCAGTCGTGCAATATCGGACACAAATTTATAATTATCCAACACGATTTCCAAGTAGAATTTTTAGATTCAGATCTATATTTGATTTAATATATCGTTCAAATATGTTCATTACACAACAATCACGGATGTGTTCAAACTGGTCCGTGTCGAAAGGAAATAGGATAAACTTGAAAGAAAAACAGCTTCAGACTTTGAAATCTTTGTATGGTAAAACATTCTTTAAATGCGTCGTCATGGGCAACGGCGTTGGTAATCAGGAACTTGAAAGTAGTCCCAATGGCGCACTTCGTCATACAGCCGAGGCTAGATGTAGGGTACTGGTATCTGCTGAGGTTTGGCCGAGTGGGCGCGAGATATGAATGGGGTCGGACTAACCCCGCTTTCCCCTACCTTATAAAAACATGGTAATGCACGGACTTTTCTTTCGTGTTCTCTTATCTACTGGCAGTCAATTCTTTTTATAAATTGTTAGATATCCTCTCACACAACAACTTTTAGTCTTCGAAGGAATTATTAGTGAGCAGAAATTCGCCCATGTATCTGTTATCAGCCGGCACTTCAGCCAGTTATATAGAGGTATGCCTCATGTTTTCCTTTGGCGTTCGTCACTTCCGATTCAGGAATCCTGTATAACTCAGCTATCGTAGCAATGATCTCTGAGTTAAAATTATATTTGGAATGTGTTTAATTAGTTCTATCACATATGTGATAATGACTGGCACCAATATTGTCCTTTAAGATCAACTATACTCAGCCAAATTAAAAACTTGACACTCAGGATTTTTGGGACTAGATTTTTAATATTTGGTTTAAGGCAACTATTTTAGTGTTATGTTGTGCACAGACGACTTTGACATCAACAGAAAGCAAGAATACGTCTCGCCGAAAGTCCTTGACATTGATAAAGTTCGTAATATCACAGTACCCCCCAATATGAAAATTACAGACTTGGAGAACAATCGGAATAAAGTGTTTAGTAATGGTTGTGGCCTCCTCGAGCGTCTCGTACTGCCACACAACGTCTTCTCATGGATCTCAGAACATTAGTAAACACTACCCGAGGAAGACGTCGCCACGGCTCAGCAAGATCATGTTGAAGGTCCTGCAACGTCACGTCAGTGGTGGATTCACTTGCTGACGAACACGTCGACCTAGTTCGTCCCAGATGTGTTCAATAGGATTAAGGTCGGGGCTAAGCGACGGCCAATCCAGGACTTGGACACCGGCATTTCTTAAAAAATTCTGGGTAGCAATTGCTGTATGGGGTCGAGCATTGTCTTGTTGAAACGTTAGTCCAGGCCCATGTCTCTGCATAAACGGAAGAAGAACAGGTTGCAAAATCTGATCCCTGTACTGGACAGCATTTAAGTTCCCGTGGACAACAACAGGAGGAGAACGTCCATGTGCACAAAAAGAACCCCAAACCATCGGTCAACTTCTCTGACGCATGCTTGAGCGTAACGTTCACGATCGTCTGCGGTACACTCGGACCCTGCCATCGGCAAATCTCAAAGTGAATCGAGATTCGTCACTAAAGACAACCGAATTCCACTGTCTTTGAGTAAATCTTATGTGTCTTGTGGCCCACACAAGTCGGTTACGGCGATGAAGAGGTGTCAATATTGGTCCATTATAGGGCCTCCGAGCTCGAAGACCAGCAGTCTGCAAGCGATTTCGAACAGTTTGTGCAGTTACCCTTCCACCAAGGGTTGCAGTGACAAATCTGTTTCTAAGATGACGTAATCGTGTTGCTTGATCTTCCTGGATGGACGTCACACGTGGCGCTCCCGCCCTTGGGCGGTCGGCAATAGTTCCAGTTTGAAGCACTCTCATTCTAAGATTAATTATTGTCTGGCGTGAACAATTAAAGGCTCTTGCAACAGTGACCACAGACTGACCAGCATAGAGCCTACCTATAGCACGTAGACATTCTACATTTGAAAGGCGCGCATTTTCTAACAAAGATGAAAATAACAATTTTAATTTGTTTTTCCTGTTCAAGTTACGTGTGCGTGTTCAGTTTAAGCAAACTTGCATCGATTGACCTCACGAGTTTGTGTTTGCACGTGTTTTTCAGGTTTTTCATCTTTATATGCTCAAAAGTCACGTGATCCACGTGACTTTACAATTTTATGAAATTAAAGGCTTCTTACTACTTACTATCGTTAGAAACACTTTAAAATTTATTTGACTTACCAGAAAAAATTTTTTGTTGAAATTCATCAGTGTCAAGTTTTTAATTTGGCTGAGTATATATTATCAAATGACCCAGTTTGTACATGGGATGGCATCTTTAATGGGTTTTTATACGCCCATATTGAAATGTGGTCGTATATTGTCGTCGCCCCCGTCCGTCGGTCCGGCATCCACAATTTTCAGCGATTTCCGATAATTACTGCCAGAGTTACGGCCCTTGATCACTTCAAAAAGTCTTGTGGACGCTCTAGAGGCTAAAGTTAATATCCGATTGACTTTAAATTTATACACAGTGTTTAAGGTCATGAGACGAAGAAGTCTATTCATTTTCAGCGATTTCCGATAATTACTGCCAGAGTTACGGCCCTTGATCACTTCAAAAAGTCTTGTGGACGCTCTAGAGGCTAAAGTTAATATCCGATTGACTTTAAATTTATACACAGTGTTTAAGGTCATGAGACGAAGAAGTCTATTCATTTTCAGCGATTTTCGATAATTACTGCCAGAGTTATGGCCCTTGATAACTTTAAAAATTTTGAGGACGCTCTAAAGGTCAAAGTTAATATCCGATTGACTTTAAATTTATACACAGTATTTAAGGTCATGAGACGAAGAAGCCTATTGATTTTCAATAATTTTCGATAATTACTGCCAGAGTTATAGCCCTTGATCACTTCAAAAAATCTTGTGGACTCCAGAGGTCATAGTTAATATCCAATTGACTTTAAATTTATGCACAGTGTTTAAGGTCATGAGACGAAAAAGCCTATTGATTTTCAATGCTTTCCGATAATTACAGCTAAGTTATGGCCCTTGATCACTTCGAAAAATCTTGTGGACGCTCTAGAGGGTAAAGTTAATATCCGATTGACTTTAAATTTATACACAGTGTTTAAGGTCATGACACGAATCCTATTGATTTTCAGCGATTTCCGATAATTACAGCTAGAGTTATGGCCCTTGATCACTTCGAAAAATCTTGTGGACGCTCTAGAGGTTAAAGTTAATATCCGATTGACTTTAAATTTATACACAGTGTTTAAGGTCATGAGACGTAGAATCCTATTGATTTTCAGCGATTTCTGATAATTTTTGCCAAAAATCTTGAGGACGCTCTAGAGACTAAAGTTAATATCCGATTGATTTTAAATTCATACACAGTGTTTAAGGTCTTGAGACGAACAAGTATATTGATTTTCAATGAATCTTTATGACTTAAACAGCTAAATCCATGATTAAAAGTTTCGTATACTAAACGTTAGCATTCGTCAGAACTTTATGGTTTTCTGATAATTACTTAATGAGTTGTTACTCTTAATCAGATTTTAATGTATTATAAATGTTTCATTACAGAAAAAAGTAAAAATATGCGACAACTCTTGTTGACTGCCCGGACGATATAGCTGCTGTGGGCGTATGTTTCGTTGCCTGGCAACCTATCTTTTTTTTATTTTTGATCAGTTTTTAGTGTTTTATAAATGTTCCCATTTACCTACAACAGAGTAAATATGAGACAACCCTTATCTGCATACGTTATGTTTTTATGTGTCCAGTTTTGTTAGAGACAAAAGTTAATTAGCATGAACTATTTGCTGCTGAAGTTGTTGCAAAAGGAAGAAGCAATTCAGAATTCAAAACTTAAGTGATAACCTTGCTTCTATTAAACCATCATGAAACATTGTCTCTTACGGTAATTGAACAAGAAGTTGAACACTGTTGTTGGTTTTCAACTTTTTATTGAGTAAAGTGAATAAAATTTGATAGACTGGTAATTCTATAGTTTATATCATATAAATAAGATAGATTGTTGTGATATACCTAGTAACTATAGTTTATATCATAAATTACTAAAAGGAACACTGAGTTTAAAGACAACTCTAAATTAAATAAAAGATAAATATTTTATATAAACAAGGGTACTAAATACTGTAGTGTAAATTAACAAAAATTTGACTAATATATGATTATAGGCTTCAATTTTTCATGTGGTCATACCTAAATCTGCTATAAAAATGTCCTAAGACACAAACCTAATTGCCACAGTGATAAAAAAAAAATGTTATAGCCTACCCATGTCCATCTCACATGCTTCAATCAAAAGATACAATAATACTTTGAATAAATGTAAATTAGTAATATCTTAATTACTGGTAGGACTTTCATGAAAACATTTTTAAACTAACTACTGTATCTAGATGTATACTAGCCGAAAATATAAACTTACTCTTTCAAAACAGAAATAAAGGTCCCTTTGAATTCATTTTACATATCAAACAAAAAAATATGCAAAGAAGATGTCTGTAGCCAAATAAATAGATGCTTCTGTTATGGAAGAGTAAATAAAACTGATCTGCATTAGGTCTACTCACTACTGTTCATTCCCAAATTTAATGGCCTCAAAAATGTCCCATGTGAAATTGGAAAAATAAAATTATTTTCTTCATTTTCCACAACTGGACAAACAAATAAATTTCTATATTATCGGGATATTTGGCCTTTCTGCTTATTTACCATTATTGACATGTTAATTCGATAATATATAACAATAAAATCAATATACTTGAATAAATAGATTCTAAATAATTCTAAGTAAAAGTAGGATTCTAGTATATCAAACAAGCCAACAGTGAGGCTGATGTCCCACGATGAAATACCGAAATAAATAGATGACACATATTAATTAATTGTAAGTTTATCCTTTTCAAAAGTATCTAGCAATCAAACTGATTATCAACTATTCACTAAAAGTTTCATCACTCTCCATCAAAGAAATTGCTTAGCTCTCTTTAGCTTTAGCGGGAAATGCTAATCATTGAACTCGGTAAAGACATTCTCCTAATGAACATCAAGTTAACATTCTACCTCAATTAAAAGCAGAGTTGTTATGTTCTAAAGTCTTCACCAATCAAATTGCTTATTACTTCTTAGTCTAAACAGAAAATTCTCATCAAACTTAGTCAAGGTATAATGACAGGGCCGTATGTAGGATTTTAAAAGTGGGGGTGCAGCAAAGTTACCCATTGGAATGTGGGCACCCTTAAAAAAAAGACCCACTGATCAGTGCCTTAAGAGCATCACTGTGTGACCATAATCATTCAAATTACTTATCTCTGCTTACCAATGTTCATCATCGAACTCCGCCAAGGCTTTCACACAATGAAATGAAATGAAATGGAGTTTAACTTTCTACTGTTCTGCTCCGAACTGGGCTAATGAAGACGGGCATGAGGGAAATTTTGCCCGGACAGCGGCACTATGGCCTACTCTTATATCGAATTCCAACTATCAAGGGATCTTTTACGCGCATGCCAATGTGTACATGGGACTTCGGTTTTTCATACCATCCGAACGACTAGACAGCTGTCCTTGTCAGGCCCTCCGTCCTGCATCACTGACAAGGGGGAACCACGTTGCAATTCTCACAATATACGCCTAACCAAGTTGGAATATTCCACCTCAATTAAAAGAGAGTTATTGATGTCAAGGTATTAATGTAATGAAACTATACACCAAGTTTGATCACTCACTTAATCAGAACTAAAGTTATTGTGCCCGAAATCATCAACCAACCAAATTGCTTGTCTCTGCTTACCCTAAACAGAAAATGCTCATCTTCGAACTCCATCAAGGCATCGACCTAATAAACACTGACGCTAAGTTTGAAAATTCTACTAATTCTAGCTCAATTAGGAGAGTTATTGTGTCCCAAAAAGTGTGAATGACAGACAGACGAACCCATTTTAATAGTCCCCTGCATTGTTCCAAAGGCGGGAGACAAAAAGTTCTTGCTAACCTACCAAAAAGTAATTCAACAGTACATGATGATCTGGATGGAGAATACAGAATTAAAGACATATACAGGTTCAGTGTTACCATAATACTGTCAAACTCATTTCAAGTCTGCTCTCCAAACTTAAACATGTAGGGTAATCACAAGGTTCTGGCTCGCATCATCTATGAGGAAACGTTCAATTTTCGCATAATAAGCCCCAGACAACTAACAACAGGGTTTTACGGTTAAATAAAAGTAACTTTCACAGTCTTGCAGTGTCGGTACGTTGCCGCAAGAGTGAGTTTAAAAGTTAGTAAAAGGCGAAACTACATGAGTTGACACCGAACCAAGAACCGTTGCAATATATATGTCATTGGTTACAATCAACAAACTTAGAAATTAAATCGCTGAGTTTTAGCCAAAATTTTAATCTAGTTCGTAAATACTTATTTTTAAAAGTCCCAACGATAAACAAATAATTTTTTTTCATGGCTTCATTGATAAATAAGTGAATGAATCATTGTCACGTGTATGTCTATTTTGGGCGATTGTTTGCTGCCTACAGTGCACGAGTGAGCCCATGAGAGCACTTTTCTCATAAACGCTGTTTTGATCCACGTGACAAGATGCTGTAGTGTTAAAACAGTCTGTGGGTCACTCTAGCATTGGACTCGTATTTAACTAACCAGACCCTGGTAAATCTCTATTTAGGATTGAAATAAGAGGAACCACTGTCTTTAAAGCAATTTAGGATAATGAACAAAACGTAAAAGTAAATATCCCAAAAGACGAAACAAAGCGGCAAAAAATAGTAATGGTAAGAAATATTCAATGTAAGACAAGTGAATATCGAGATTGGAGAGAATATCTTCTGGTGGAATATGGGTAGCATTAACATCTTTACAAATCATAAAATTGGACTCATTTTTTGCCTGTAAACATCTGAAAAAGTAATTATATAAGAATTATGAACATGGTGAACTGTTTCAGATTAAAAGTGTTGAACTTGTTACTTTATGACATAGATTTCCTTTATATTTAAATGAAAAAGCAAGGTTTTGTTCTGCATGGCTTTAATCTAATATGACCACGTCTGTTTGTTTCCTATCGTTGCCCCACACGTCCAAACACTAAAATAAAACACAAGATATCTATGAAACAAAGTGAGATCAATAGCCTTGGCAGCACCTGGTTCATCCAATTAACAAAATCTTGTGAAATGCCTACTTTTTAAAATCTTTCATGCATTATTTATGGCTCACAAAGTTAGACCTTTTCAGCCTGGACCAGAGTGATAAACCCAGCCAGATACACATGATAAAGGCTGGTCTGTTACATGGGATAAACCCAGCCTGATACGTGATAAGTGCAGTCTAATACATGTGATAAGCCCAGTCTGACACTTGGATAAGCTCAGTCTGACACTCGGATAAGCCCAGTCTGACACATGTGATAAGCCCAGTTGGAATCACGTAATTTAGCCCAGTCTGCACCCATGTGATGAATTAATATACTTACTGTACACCCTCTCCATCGTAGAATTCCAGCACTAAGGAACAATGAAAGGAATAGTGAATAAAGGAGAAATATTTCACCCAATCCAACCAAAAAGGCAAATTTCTGGTGAAAAAACCACCTATAATATAATAAAACAAAGATTTGTCAAACATCCAGATTGCCATATCTAACATAGCGTGTTAAATAAAATTTTATTTAATTAACTGAAATGTGTTGAACAACTGGGATGTCACACTGATCAGCAGTGAATATTTGCTAGGCTGCGACAATCACTTACAAGGAAGACATCGATGCGACTTAATGAGCCACAAATATTACCTTTTTTCCTCCGACAAATTAAATTCTAAAACATTTTTTTTATGTATTAGAAAAATAAATAAAGACGTTTGAAGTATTTGTAGGTAAAAATTATATCCTATTTTAGTGTAAATTGGTATTAAAATGAGTAAAAGGCGCCATTCTGCTCGAATCAGTAATGTCTTATGTAAACAAGGCAGTCATCTTTTACAGAGATATTAGAAGACTTTCATAATACTCTGTGAAACAGATTGCTGGGATGTAAGTTCTTTCTATGTCATTCAATAAATAATATAAAGTTTAAGGTGACAGAATATTTTAAAGTTCATTCTTTCAGTTATATATGAATAATGAAATGGGGTTTAATGTCCTATATTTCTGCACCTACCTGGCTAATGAGAACAGAAATATGCTAAACATTGTGCTACGAGGAAAATTTTGACCGGACTGCAATTGAATTCCTACTTTCATGGATCATTTTATGTGCACACCAATATGTACACTTAAAATACAGATGTGACATCATCCTTTGATGTTGGCGTACATTATTTATACTTGTTGAAATATTGGACCTGCGGGACGTATTTCATTGAAATGCATGTGCTGGATAATGTCTGTATTATAAGTTGTTTAATAGTCTTGTGCAAGACATTGCATAATATATAGATATAGCCCTCGTGCTAATCGCATTCGTGCAATATCAATATATTACTTAATGTCTCGCACTCGACCATTAAACTACACAGAACATTGTTTTTCAGTCCCATCTGCATGACTAGACACTGTTCCTTTTCAGATCTCCTGTCCTGCACTCCTGTACCTTGACATGCATGGGGAACCCCCCGCCAAAAATCCTGAGAACTTTCTTGGCCAACAGCTGGATGAGATCCAGGACCTCCATGTTAGTGCCTCACACACTGAGCCACCAAGTTGTACATACCTAATAGCATAATAGCTGTCATTGCTATAACAGACACCGAAACACCAGTCTTAACATTGGTAAAAGCAATACCAACAAACAAACCCAGGCTCTGAAAATATAAACACATACAATGACAATGTACATTTTTAAAATTCACATGTTTAATTGACATAAAAAAAACCAAGAGTTTCATAGTCGAAGTATTCAAATATGTTTAAATTTTCCCCTCTGTGGTGCCTTCATGTCCTGCTCCAGACACATGGGGTCCAGGTCTTTCATTATAACCAACTATATAGCTGTAACATCTTTATTATTTGTTCATTTGAACAAATTCAAATAAGAGAGGCTAAGGAACGTTATCCATACATATATCTTCATCAAAGTCCTTCAAGAGCTTTCAGAGAAGCAGTCAAATAAGTTTATATTTGACCATCTGAGGTGTTCCTTTCCTTCCCAGCCCCCTATTAAGCACAGCCCTTTCATCTAAGGAAAATTCCTACCAAATGTTTAAAATATCTATTCACAAGATTTGATTAAGATAACCGAAACTTGCAGATGTTGCTTTTTTTTTTTAAATATAATATAGTTTATTTGCAAATACATACATATATATGCGTATAATACAAACAAATTGTACAATTTACGAATCTTCTCCCAGAATGTGCTGCCCATTTACTTGGGAGCCAAAAAACTTAATTTCAACAAATCGGAATAAACATCATTCTGGCAATATACACACCAAATTTTGTGCTATAAGAGAGTTGAAAATGACTAAATATCGACACTGTATGAAATAAGCCCTTCGAGTTGGTAACTCTGGTCTCATAATAGTATTTCTATAAGGTGAGTAAATGGAATGGGGTTTAACAACCTACTTTTCTGCGCTGACTGGCCTAATGAAGACAGGCATGCCATGCAGTGTACGATGAGGGAAATTGTTGCCCAGACAGTGGCGCTATGGCCTATACACTTATTTCGAATTCAAACTGTCAAGGGTTATTTTACATGCATGTCAATCGGTACATGGAACCTCGCTTTTTCGTCCCATCAGACCAACTATACGTTGTATCTTGCCAGGATATCCGTCTTGCACCACTGACAAGGGTGAGCCATGCCCATAATGTGAGTAAACTTTACCTGTCCTGTAATGGCTGTTATAATAATGGTAAATATCATGCCAAAAAATCCACCAACATTATTTAAACCAATTATCCAGTAGGTAAATATGAGGAAGAAAATTGGTGGAATTAGTAGAAGTGGAATCTCACTGGTCATCTTGGCAACATAATAAGCTGACAGACGATACCAATTAGCTGTTCTTTCTTTATCAATAACTGCTCGCTCTGTGGCAACTACAAAAACAATAAATAATTTTCAAATTATGTAAACTAAACATCAAGCATATACTTACATGAGAGAGAGAAATGGGGTTTAATGCCCAATGGACACAAACTAGGTCATTTTGGAACTAATATGGTTCAATTTTATTTCAATAATTCACATGCATGTAAGGGTCTTTAGCAGGTCCGGGGTTCGATCCCAGTGTTGGTTAAGAAAGTTTCGGGATTATCCAGTGTCGCTTCGCCTTGTCCATGGTGCAGGATTGAGGGCCTGGCAAGGGCATCATCTAGTCTTTTGCTTTTGGATGAGACAAAAAAAAAGAGGTCCTGTGTACAGGCTGGTGTACACATAAAAGAACCCTTGACAGATGAAATTAGCATTGGTCATATTCCCACTGTCCAGGCAAAATCCCCTCCATAGCACACTGTATGGCATATACCCTACACCCGTCTTCATTAGCCCATTCAGTGCAGAAAAGTAAAATGTTAAACACAATTTCATTACTTTAGCAGTGGGAGAAAACCGGAGGACCCAGAAAAAACTCACAAGGTTGGACAGGTGACCCCATACCTTGTCATGTACAAGCTGGGAATCAAAACCATGCCACTTGACTCAATGAGAGACCTATATGATCTATAGCATTCCACAACCCAACCCTCCATACTTACATGATGTTACTGCATCTATCAATGGTATAATACCCCAAATAGTCACAATAAAAAATATCTGTAAAAAAGAAATTGTTCTTATATTATATACTATTTAGATAACATGGCTTCATTAGACCATGATAATTTAGACATTTTATATGCCACAACTTCTTTAGAAATGAGTATTATAGCAAAAATAAATATTTGGGGGCTTCACCTTAATAGAACCTAGGCATAGAGGTAATTATCAGTCAATAAAATGGGATATCACCAGTCCAGATTGTATTCCATACACCAAAAATGTTACTTCAGTGATTTTTGCTTGGATCATTGTGAAAATGAGAATTTCCATTGTAATTTTCAGAAAATGTTTTAAAAATAAGAGAGCCTAAACAGTTTCAAATTCACAAGAAATCATGTATCATAATATCTGATCAGGATAGAAGGAAACATTTTTAGGACTTTCCATTGTGGGAATAAGTAAGGATAACAGGTTCTAAAAAAGAATTTCGCTAGATACCACAATCCATCCAACAATAAAACACCCATCTAACATATTACTATATCTAACCACACTGTCCTTCAATGAAACTGAATCACTGGGAAGAAACAAATCTTACAGTTGTGTATCAAGGAAAAACACTACCGATGCAAGCAGCATTCAACGATAAGTGATTAGTAGGAGCTGTATTTTCATTAGCTCTTTATATTATACAAGTATGAACACAACACAATGATGTCAGAAATTAAGCAATATTAAGTCATGGTAAAATATACAAGAGCATCGCTACCACTGTAATATATGTCCACATTCCTGCTTTGATTGATATGGTACTTTTTAAAATGAAGAGAATGAAATATGAAATGGCTGTTATATGGCAAGAGGCAAAGAAGGCTAGGCGTTGGGTTTGTTTTGCCAAATTTACAAACTAAATATTAACAAAAAAGTGGGTGTGACATCGCCCACAGGGGCAGGTCATCCACCAAAATAAATAGTTGCTATCTTTATGGTATAAGGAATAAATATGCAAAGTTCCAAGATGATCTATTCAGAATTCCAGCCTGTAGATAAAAGATAGCTTGCCAGCCAACGAAACACCGACAGCAGCTAAATCGTCCGAGCAGTCGACAAAGGTTGTCGCATATTTATTTTTTTGTAGCTAATTGGGAGCATTTACAAGATAATTTCATACATATCAGATTATAATGTTTTGTCGTTTGAGGGTTCACAAGGTTCTACAAACTGAAACAAGGGCCTTAACTCTGGAAGTAATTTACAGAAAATTTTGAAATTTGACCGTTTTTTTATTTTTACTAATTTAAATAATGCATATAAATTTCATACAGATCGGATCACAACTTTTATCATTCAAACGTTCACAAGGTTTACAAAGTAAAAACAAGGGCCACAACTCTAGAAATAATTGACAGAAATTGCTGAAGTTCAATAGACCTCTGTTTCACAAATTTAAACGATGCATATAAATTTCATACATATCGGATGATAACTGTCATCAATCAACCATTAACAAGGTTGAACAAAGTGAAGCAAAATAATTATTGTAAATTGTTGAATTTCCATAAGCTTCATGGTTTCACTAATTTAAATAATGCATATAAATTTCACAAAGATCAGCCGATAACTTTTGACATTAGAGCATTCACAAGGCTAAAAAAAGTGAAACTCTAGATGTAATAAATGGAAATTATTGAAATTAAATAGGCTTCTTCATCTCACTAATGTAAACAACATATATCAATTTTAAAGCAATTGGATGATAATTGGTTCGATTTTCATGAAATTTGAACTCAACCATCATTACGGGGTAACAGAGATATATTCACATGTTTTTTTTTAAATCGGATAAAAATTGTGACTTCTAGAGTCGCCACAAGCTAAAAACGCGATTTTTTTTACAGTCAAGGGCCATAATTCAGGAAGTTATGACCCGATATGTACAAATATCGACAGTAACCAAGATCATTGGGTTATAAACATTTATTTCAAGTTTCATCAAACTCGGATCAAAATTGTGAGCTATAGAGGGTCCACAATCTTGATATTCCATATTTTTACACTGTTTGCGTACGAGGGGCGGCCATTTTGTCTGGCAGTTTTGGTCCGATTTTCACGAAATTCGAACTCAACCGTCATTAAGGTGTAACAGTGATATATTCAAATGAATTTTTTAATCGGAATAAAATTGTTACCTCCATAGGGTCCACAAACTAAAAAATGTGATTTTCGTACAATCTGGGGCCATAATTTAGGAAGTTATGGTCCGATATGCGCGAATATCGAAAGCAACCAAGATCTTTGGGTTATAAACTTACATTTTAAATTTCAACAAAATCAGATAAAAATTGTGATCTCTATAGGGTACACAAGCTAAAAACGTGATTTTTCGTACAATCAGGGGCCATAATCCATGAAGTTACGGTTCGATACATGCCAATATTGAAAGAGAGATAAACCTATATTTCAAGTTTCGTTGAAATTGGATAAAAATTGTGACCTGTAGAGTGACCACAAACAATTGTGACCGGACGGACAGGGGCGACGACAATATACGTCCGCATGAAAATGTAGGCGTATAAAATTTGGGTGTGGCTCTGTCCCAGCGGGTTGCGCATGCAGCAAAAATAATAGAGTATAAGGAATAAGTATGAAAAATTTTCAAGACAATCGATTAAGAATTGCGGCCTGTAGGCGACACACACATACCCACACGCCCACCCACACACATACACACAGACAGGGGCGATGGCAATATACATCCACATCATGTATGTGGACATATAAAAATACTGAATGAAAAACATCTGAATTAAATCAGATTGGATTAAAATGCCTACTTACTGCTCCCATACGATCTCTCAGTGTTTCTTCTATTCTAGGTAGTTGAAACCACACTAAACTGACTATTACACACAATAATACACTTTCTATCAGTTTCATTTTACTGAAAATACGTGACTTGCACTGCCAAAATGTTCGTACAGTCAGATGTTTAAATTGAGTAAAGAAACTGGTTGGCCATTTGTCTTTATCTACAAATAGTTCTGGATATTCCAACTCCATTAAACTCATATCAACACTTCCAATATCTGTAATCATTCAATATTAATAAATATAACAGGGCCTGCATTTAATATTTTTCAAAATGTCAATATTCAATATATAAATAATTACAATATCATCTTTTATTATTTTATGTAGTGTATGGAATCATTTTCTTCTTCATGTTTTGGGAGGTCAAACCTCTGCTGCCGTTTGCAACACTAAACCTCAAGCAATGAATGAACTGAAATGGGGTTTAACGTCCTACTTTTCTGCATGAAGATGGGCATATGCTATACAGTGTGCTATGAGAGAAATTTTGCCTGGATAGCAGTACTACTGGCTACTCTTATATTGAATTCCAACTGTCTAGGGTTTATTTACATGCACACCAATGTGTACACGGGACCTTGTTTTTCCGTTCCATCTGAGCAATTATACATTGTCCCTTGTCAGGTCCTCCATCCTACATCGCTGACAAGCGGGAATCGCACCGGAAAATCTCTATGAACTTTCTAGCCTAATACAGGACCTCCAGGTCAGTGAGCCAACATCTTACTCACTGGACACTGTAGCTTCTGTGTTAGTTATTGTTATACATACTAGCCCACTAGCTATGTTAACAATAACTATATGTAATTTCACAATTAAGTGTTTCTATGCATCACAGTGGACAACTGCGATGTACATGCTTCTATGTATCATGTGTAAACAGTGGTATAAACTGAAGGATTTCATACAATTTCATCAAATAGTCCGGCATATGGGTAATAATATTATGAGTGACTATTAGTGAATTGAATCTTAATCGAATGTTGTTAATCTAATTAATTTAATTTTTCAATTTATTGCTGGCAGACAGAAGGGTATCTAGTCCTTAAATTCATTCACACACTTCTATTACTAACACACTTAAGGGATATACAGATGCTTTGCAACCATACACCTTGGCACTTTCACAGCTAGTTTAACTATAAACAAGCGGGGAATGCTCGCTAGTCTGGGGGGCGCACTAGTCAACCGATATCTATTATTGCCATTTTTACGATTGAGACTAACACATGGTTTAAATACATTTCAATAATCGCCTGCGGGTAGGGGTCTTTAGCAGTGGGAGGAAACCGGAGGACCCAGAGAAAACCCATGAGGTTGGACAAGCGCCCCTACCCCTTGTCACGTACAACACCGGGGGGATCGAAACCACGCCAGTTGACTCAATGACAGACCTAATGATACAATGCGCACACGCTAACCATTCAGCCATCCAACCTCCCCAACACCCACACACACCCATAACAAACTCTGGAAATAATAGTAATGCACCCACCCTGACAACGAAATGTAACACACCCACACTGAAAATGAACTGTAAATCCCGACTGACCATGAAATGTAATACACCAATGTTATGTTTGCAGCACACCCACACTGAATGGTATGTAACCATTTTTCCAAGAATTGATTGAATTCAATGTAAGAGTAGGCTGTTAGCGCTGCTACCTGAGCAAAGTTTCCTTCATAGTACACTGTATAGTGCATGCCCGTCTTCATTAGCCCACTCGGAGCAGAACAGTAGGGCATTAAACCCCATTTCATCCTGCACCACAGAAAGGAAGAAAGCACGCTGCAAAATCCAGGGGAACTTACTTGACCAACACCAGGATCAGTGTACTTAATCAAACTGTATATTGAGAGGAAGATGGCTGACATCACAACATTTTAACACGGCAATGCAACATTTTTACGCAACATTGCGACATTGATATTACCTGCTGTTTTTTTGATACCCATATTTATAGTATTTTTTATAGCGGAGGACTAGTGAACCCCTCTCAAACTAGCTATTGAATATTACTGTTGAATTTATATACATGTAAGTATGTTTATGTATTAAATAAAATCGATTTAGGAGAGAGGTTATATAGGTTATGCCTGTTCCTCAATCACTTTCAATTTCTGAATAAAATATTGTTTAAAAAAAAAAATCAATTTCAGGTACCTTCTTCATCTCCTGTAGCTTTTTTCCCCCTATTTGATATTTTACGTTTGATATTAATGATGGGATTTTTCCTGTCTAGTGTTGGTCTCTTTCTAGCTTCTTCTATCATTTCAAGATTAAGTTGCAAAGATGAGAAATTTGTAGAAGATTTAGACAAAATTTCTGGCCACTGATCAGAATTTCTGAAAAGGATGAATTCACATAGACAAGATCATGCATGGGTATTAGTCACCTATCGTTATATCTTTTAAAATTATTAATCCAAAATTTAAAGCAGAATTTCTGTTGACATGATTTGTTTCTACCTATTTTGCAGATACATTGGGCCCGATGGCTGTTAGGGAGGGCAGACCTGAAATGCCCAAACAAATTCCTGTTTGCAGACAGCTGTGTTGGTCGTCAGCAAGCGCTGAAATCTCAGAGCTCACCGTGTAAGAGCCTCCCCAAGAAAGTTTGGAAAACCTGACGACCGCAGACGCATGTCCAGCTCGTCCAGCAAGTCCAGCCTGTCAATACAGCAACTTCAATGTGGTCTAATAAGTCTAACTTAATATAAACAACCAATCAATCGTTTAGTCCACGGAGCCCCTGAGAAAATTTTGGGGGCGGCATTCACAAGACAGATTGCCCAAAAGTAATTTGACTGAAATTTTCAAAATTTTAATTTTTATTATCCATTTTTTAACTATTATAGCAAGAATGATCAGCTCTTTATCTATTTCTTACATAATGCATCTTTACAATACTTAATTTTCTGTTATATTTTAAACCTACCTAAAATCCAAAGCAGCATCAGATATTTTTTCTCTAGTTTCCTTATCACCATCTAATTTTTCTACTGTAAAAATAAAAGTATCGTAGTCTAGAAACATTGCACGTCTTCTGCAGGTTTTCTAGGGCTTTTCATTTATACAGAGTTAGACTTGGTCCCTTGTACAAATAGTAAGATCCTTACTGAAATGTCTTATCGAACAATTAAACGGAAAAAGTAAATTGAAAAAAGGCATAATACCAATAATGTCTAATATTATTTTATCTATTTATAGTTACGTACACTATCTATTTTCTACATAATTCCTATTACTCTCAGTACAAGTAACAGATTGTCGCCTATATGACTCCTCAGACAAGAATCAATATCAGATGTTTAAGAAAGAGTCAATACAGTATACTCTGCCTTCTACATTTCATCTGTCACTACCTAACTGGAGGGATGAGGCAAAATAAATACAAATATGTCAAAGGTCACCAGCAGTTAAATCCTGTGGTCTAAATACAAAAGTACAATAAAATTTGAACATCTCATTTTTGAAGTGGCATCAGGTGTTCTGGAATAAGCATATACTATATTAACATTTGCTTTTACGTCGTAACTCAATTGTCTTTTATGCTTTCTACACCAAATGATTTTTAATATTTAGGCCACACCAATTTGATTTTTTGTTCTTCAGGAATACCTGTTAAAGTTTTGCTTCTTATTTCTTCAGCAAAAAGACTAATTTAAAAACCAAAAGTACTTGGTTGACCTTTTTAGAAACTTGATTTAAGACCAAATTTTTAAGTTTTGAATTTTAAACAAAACATCTGGTGGCTATTTATTTATTAAGTCCCTGAACAACTGAAAATAAAATTATTTGGTCTTGATTTTAGTTGATAAATTATGTTATAAGGTGTCTACGATATCACCTTAGGTGGAAGTGGACGTAAAACCCCAGAAACGAACGAACGAATATTTATTAAAAAATATACTTACATATAAAATCAGCTGGATTAAAGTTGGGTTCGATATGTAAACCAATATTCTCAAAGAAATTCATAACTTTATGAGAATCTCCAAAATAGATAACTTGACCCTCACTCAAAAGGAGAAGTTGGTCCAACATATGAAATATCTGACTTGATGGTTTTTGTGTAGTCATAATAACAGTTTTATTGGATTTCTGTGTATAAGCTTTAAGAGTTTTTATTAAAGAAATGGAAGTAAAAGCATCTAAATCAGCTGTGGGTTCCTGTAAATATATTATTATATATATCATGGAGATAAATGGCATACAGAACTGATCTTAAATAAAGATCACATAGGCCTACTCGTAAGTTAAAAAGTACTTAACAGCAAATGCACAAATGAAGTACTGTTTTAAAATCATAGATATATATTATTAAATAATTTGCTTTTGGGATTTCGAATAAAAGTGTTAATTCATAACCTAAATTTGGGATCACTTGTTAGAGACAAGCTCTTCATGTAGTATTTACAAGCCTGAAAATAGGGCGCATGCTATTGGGGACAACACATGTGTTGATTTTCAACATTTTTATTGATGTATTTAATACATGTCCAGCACAAAATAAAAGAAAATCGCACAGGCAACGAAACATAGTCATCCAAGCAGTCCACAAAGGTTGTCGCATATCTATTCTTTTGTAGGTAATGTGATCATTGACAAATTAATAGGCTTTTGGTCTTATCAACAAACACTGTGTATAAATTTCAGATCAATCAGATTATGATAGGTCACAGTTATTATCTAAATCAATACGATTTTTCGTCTCACAAGCATAAACACTATATATAAATTTCAAGTTAGGACTAAGGCTTCCTAGCCTCTAGGGCTTCCACAAGATTTTTCCATATTGATCAAATATCTTAACTCTGACAGCTTCTTCGTCCCATTTAAACATAAATATGGTGAATAAATTTTGAGACAATTGCATGTCAACTTTTTTTAAATTGATCAAGGGCCATAAATTCTGGCAATTAATATTGGAAATCATTGAAAATCAATAGAATTATTCGTCCCATGAACATAAACACTGTGTTTAATTTAAAGTCAATCGCATGATAACTTTAGCCTCATGAGTGCCCACAATTGAAGGATTGATAGACTGATGTACGGACCAGTGTGATGACAATATAATATCACATTTAAAAATGTCACTAGGACCCGACATTTTGTCACATGCATTTAATATGATTATTTCCAGGCCTGAATATTTATTACACAGTAGGATAAGCATAATTATTATCCTTGTAAACTATTAGGGTGACAGGATGGCCAAGTAGGTAGGGTGCTGGTTCAATGACAGTCTAGGATACCCAGAATTTAATCCTGGTGCTGACCAAGAAAGTTCTCCTTGGAATTATACACCATTGGCAGTGGTGTATGCAGTAGAAAGGAGGGTCTGGCATGGAACATTGTCTAGTAGTTTGGATAAGATGAAAAAACAAAGGTCCTGTGTACATAAAAGAACCCTTGAAGGAATTTAAATTCAAACTACTGAATACTTACATCAATGACAATCATAAGAGGATTAGTAATAAGTTCACAAGCTATACTAGCTCTCATTCTATCACCATCAGTTAGACCACTTGTAGTACTATTACCCATTTCTATAATCAAAATACATTTTACTTATACCAAACATGTCAATAATAAAATTCATTGAATATAGATTTTTATACGCCCACATTTTCATGAAGACGTATATTTTCGTCGCCCCTGTCCGTCCAGACATCCATCTGTCCGTCCACAATTTGTTTGTGGATACTCTACAGGTCATCATTTATATATAGGTCTATCTCCCAAAGATCTCAGATCCTTTCGATAATGGCATGTATCGGACCATAATATCATGGATAATTGCCCCTGATTGTGAGAAAATTCACGTTTTTAGGAGTTTCGAATTTCGTGAAAATTGGACCAAAATTGCCAGACAAAATGGCCGCCCCTCGTACGCAAACAGTGTAAAAATATGGAATATCAAGGTTGTGGACCCTCTAGAGCTCACAATTTTCATTCGCTTTTGATAAAACTTGAAATGCATGTTTATAACCTAAAGATCTTGGTTCCTTTCGATATTTGTACATATCAGATCGTAACTGACTGAATTATGGCCCCTGATTATACGAAAAACCTTGTTTTTAGCTTGTGGTCCTCTAGAGATCACAATTATTATCCAATTTAAAAAAAACGTTTGAATATATCACCGTTACACCGTAATATCGGTTGAGTTCGAATTTCGTGACCAAAACTGATGGACAAAACGGCCATCTCTCATAGGCAAATAGTGTAAAAATATGGTATATCAAGGTTCCCTCCAGAGGTCACAATTTTGATCCAATTTTGATGAATCTTGAATTACATGTTTATAACCCAAAGATCTTGGTTCTTTTCGATATTTTCGCATATCGGATCGTAACTTCCTGAATTATTGCCCTTGATGATACAAAAAATCGAGTTCCCTATATTTATCCGATTTATAAAACCGTTTGAATACATCACAGTTACACCCTAATGAAAATCGGATCAAAACGGCCAGACAAAATGGCCGCCCCTCGTACGCAAATAGTGTAAATTATATCAAGGTTGTGGACCCTCTAGAGGCCACAATTTTGATCCAATTTTGAGGAAACTTTAAATTTATGTTTATATCACAAAGATCTTGGTTGCTTTTGATAATCTCACATATCGAAACATAACTTCCTGGATTATGGCTCCTGATTGTTCGAATTCCCCGGTTTTACGTGACAGGTCCAACCTCATGGGTTTTCTCCGGGTCCTCCGGTATCCTCCCATTGCTGAAGACGCCTATGCGCAAGCCATCTGTTAGTTCCGAAGTAACCTAATTTGTGTTGAGTGGACGTTAAACCCCATTTTTCTCTCTCCCTCTCTCTGATTGTTCACAAAATCGCATTGTTAGCTTGTGGATCCTCTAAAAGTAACAATTTGTATTCAATTTAAAAAAAACATTTAAATATATTACCGTTACACATCAATAAAGGTTCTATTGAATTTCGTACAAATCTGACCCAAACTGCAAGGAAAAAATGGCCGCTCCTTGTACACAGATAGTGTAAAAGTATGTAATACCAAAGTTGTGGACCCTCTAGAAGTCACAATTTTTATCCGATTTTGAAAATGTTTGACCTTTTATATTGAGCTATTTCACAGTCATCAAAGATAAGTTAGATCAATTAAATTTAGTAATGGGGTCATTCATTACCGAGCTATATATGAACAAAAACATAGTCAGTTTGAATCTGCTATGGCTGTTTGTGCGTGCGCGGTATCATAAAGTCTGTCATTGAGTCGACTGGCGTGGTTTAGAATCCCCGGTTGTACGTGACAAGGAGTAGGGTCACCTGTCCAACCTCGTGGGTTTTCTCCGGGTCCTTCGGTTTCCTCCCACTGCTAAAGACCCCTACGCGCATGCGAATTATTGAAATAAAATTAAACCATGTTAGTCCCGAAATGACCTAGTTTGTGTTGAGTGGACATTAAACCCCATTTCTCTCTCTCTCTATGGCTGTTTGATGGTTAATGACATCATTTTCACTAGAATGCTTTCTTTTGGGGAAATCATGTGACTATTTAATTTAGTATATTCATCTTTTTGTACTTGATAGCCACTATTATAAACCATGTATTATACTTTTTATACGTAACACCTGTCTCTACTTAAAGTCAAATATAGTCTTGTACTTTTATAATTCTTTTCATGTTTTTAAATTAAATGAACTGAAAGCACATCTGGGCATATTGTAGTGAAACATTGCATTAGAAATGTCTAAGTACATAGTAAAGAATCCCCCACCTCAACCCAAACTGCGACACATATTACCATTTTCTAATTAAATAATACATATACCGGTACATATGATATAAAGTTTGCCTCTCAATATTGTATAGCCATATGAACATGACTGGGCCATTGATTGACAGTAGTAACTTGTAGATTTTGTGGGTGTATTAATATTTTAACTAAGATTGGATCTATATATAGATCATGTTCAATATTTACCTTGTATTGATTCTACTTCACCTTTCCCTTTATTACAATAATTACTCTTTTTCTACCCATTCTATCGTTATTGATATATAAAACATAATCATCGGGTACTCTTATCAAACAATTACTGATGCCGCATGTAAGAATCTGGACAGTCACATACAAGTGGGTCGGTCCTATAACGCCAAAGACGAATGTTCTAGGAAACATTTTGTTCTATCAAAGTTTACTGTTTACAGGTGTTCGTTTTCAGGCAATGCTGATAAATTCAAAGGTTTCCATAGGAAAATCTCGAGGAACGATACAACAAAGGATTGGGACTACCTACCTAGGCTTAAATGCCAAAGGAGATGATTGAGATTTATTCCATAACTTACCTATATCAAGACATTTTCTGATATCTAGTGTATCTATTATTGATTCCATTCTAGCTAGTTTCTGTTTGATTGGTATGGCATCTGGCAAACGTAACATGGCAGCAAACTAAAATTATAATAATATGTCAGTGGGTATTAGCTCTAAAATCAATGCCAACAAAATTCTGCAGAAGTAGTTTTAATTAATTCAAGTATACATTTTTAAAATATCATAAATACCATAGAGAACTCTGCCTATAAAGTCAACATTAGAATGGAAAGATGATTCCACAAAACATGTTCAAAACTTGTGATAATAGATCTGCATTGATAGATTCTGAATTTAAATAGTGTTCCAACTCATGCCCTAGTGAATAATTCTACTTTGTTTTAATAAATTCTACTTTGAAGTTTGCAATAGTTTGCATTTTCAAGTCAAAGCGTGAACGGAAAGATAACTATTCAAAACAAGTTTGAAATTTATACTAAATATTTTGAAATGCTATAAGGTTGAAATATATCTGTCAAGAATACTGAATTATAGAGGGGTCACAAGACCTTCACAAAGTTGAAACATTCTGCCTCATTTTTCTTGAAAAAGTAATGGTAATGTAATTAATTACACAGACACAGACAAACACATTTGATTAATAGTCCCCTATTTTATTAATAAGCCAAGTGACAAAAAACTGACAGACGACAGTATACATACACATTATTAAAATAATTGAGAATAATATTTACCCTTAATGTTTCTCGTAAGGTAACATTAGGGAAAAACACAGCATCTTTTATAACATAGCTTAGTTTACGTTTGATCTGTTTATTAAATGGTTGTCCATTGAGCGTAATTTCACCAGATTGGTAGGCATTTCTTCCCATCAGGGCATCTAATAATGTTGTTTTGCCACAACCTGTAATATAAATAATATATAATGCCTACCTGTTGTGACATCTAGCGAGTTTAAAGGGAATATAAAAGCCTGTGTAGAGCTGTGTCACATAAAAGTAATAATTAATATTTAATAATCTAGTCAGCCACAGGGAATCACTTAATCTCCATAATATGGTGTACAATAAATTTGTGATAAATTGACGTTTGACAAACTGGTATGTTTCTTTTTCATTTTATCGGCCAACTGGTGTTGTCCAATCACAATTGAGTGCCATCTTCACATAGTTAATAATTCGGTATCTATATTCATATTTGTAATTCGATAAGGAAATTGTAGTTGTTTGAATGGAATGAAAAAAAACAAGTTCCACACTAGTACACATTTATGTGTATGTAAAGGAAAGATTGGTAGAAGTGACATCACATGTTCTAGAAAGAGTTTGTTTTAGCTTAAACTACAGAAATTTAATTTAAAAAATCTTAAAACTTTTGAATCTTAAAACTTGTACCCGAACAAAAAATTATGGCCTGACCATAATTTCTTTTGAACTGGGCTATTCAAATAAATTTAAGGACTTAACATATATGTAACTTAAATAATACCAAGGTTAATTTTAAAGATACATTATGGGAGATAAGATAAAGAGCTGGCAGTTCTCAGTATAATAGTTAAAAACTAGATAATGTAAAGGCAATTTGCTAAAAAATTCAGTCAAATTGATCCACTATGAACCGAGAATTAAGCAATTGAAATTTCGGCCTAGCCTCGATCATCATTACTAAAGTCTGTACGATAAAAAAACATAGTCTTGATCATCCATTTCATGATTAAATTATGAATGGAAGTCGAGCAGCAAACGGGATCATAATCCAGTAAATATCGCAGGCTAGCGATGCCATTGGGAGTTGATTATGGTCTGGATAAGTTAATTAATGTCTAATTAATAATTTAGATAACATTTCAGGCCTACAGAAAGACCTGCAATTGGCAGATTTAGCTCTTGCATAATGTAGGTTTAAATTATAGTCATCAGTACTAGAGGAACTCATGAGAAAAGCCAAATTACCATTAAATAATATAGGTTTGCACATCAACCTATGAAATTTTCTTTGGCTCTTTTTAGTAGTAAATTTTTCATAAAATTAGCCAATGTTTAAGGAAATTACTTACAGACAGAATCCGAATTATGACTGCCGCTACCATAGTCTAATATATAAATCATTACCACCACAGGACTGAAGTGATTGTATATAAGTCTTTCAACCTGTTGGTTTGATTCTCTTGATTATGTTATATACGGTAGAAAGTGCCAAATGACCTACATATTCTACACATAAAAACATTATAAAACAATATAAACATCAATATTATTATTATTAGAATGCTTACCACTTGGTCCCATAACAGTTAACAATCGCCCTGGTTTTGCAATTCCACTGACATTTCTCAAAATTCTTTCATTGGACTTTTTAACATTGATGTCTCTAAATACCACCTCCATTCCTGCATTAACAGGACTATCCTTTGGTTTATAGATGGACATTTCAACTGTCAAATTTCCTCTACCTCCCTACACCTCACCCCTAAAAAATACATTCATATAGATTCATATAATGTGCATAAAAGTGAGGGTTTCTTTCTCAATCAATAACTTGCTCTTGTATTCATTGGATATTCATCATACTTTTTCCCAAATAAACATTGGACTGCATAGCGATTCATATAGGATAGAAAATGAAATGAAATGGGGGTTTAATGTCTTACTTTTCTGCACCGACTGGGCCAATAAATATGGGCATATGCCATACTGTGAGCTGTGGGGGAAATTTTGCCCAGATAGAAGCACTATGTCCTACTCTTATTACGAATTCCAACTGTCAAGGGTAGTTTTACGTGCACACCAATGTGTCCGATCAACTAGACAGTATTCCTTGTCAGGCCCTCGGACCTGCAACACTGCCAAGGGCAAACCACACCGAGCAATCCTGAGAAACTATCTTGGCCAATGACTGATCCAATGCAGCTCCAATGTAGGATAGAGATTATAAATGCTGTACAAGTATAACAGGATGCTCCTGTCGGGAATTGAACTTAAAACCTCTAGTTCAGAATCCATAGGCTACACCTTTAATGAGTGAGCCTAAGGGAATTCTCCATGACCAAGTATTTAAACTTGTGACACCACAGGACAGAACAGTCTAGACGTCCCTAGATATATACGAATAATCACACAGCACATCACATAATTACATCTCTGCTACACAAAGTACCGAGCAACATTTAAAACAGAGCATTGTTGGTCCCTAAAAATATCCCATTTTGTCTAGTATTTTGGAGTTTTCAACAAAAATGACATTTATATTTGAATATTCAGTCTGAAATTAAGTTTTCATTTTGTAAGTTGACTCCCATAGGATTTTAAATTCAGTGCAATTAACGAAAGATTGGTTTTCAAACAAATTTTTACCCACCAACATTTTTGTATTTCCTGTCATTACTATGGAAGACCAAACAGCTCTTTATCCAGTGTTCTTAATTCTTAGCTCTTAATTCATAGACCTTAATTCATATTTCTTCATTTGTTGTCGTATTTCGACATTTGTATGGAAATGGAAAATTGTCACAATATTCAAAAAGATTAGATAATAATTGTAACATCCATAGTTAGTAAGTTTTGGCACAGGTCTGAAAATTCATGACACTGTGAAAGTTGGTCTTAACTCAAATGTGTTGGCAAGCATTATAGTAAAAGTGGCTTTGACAGCTGTTACTTGCAGGTACATCAAGCATGAAGAAGATTAAATAAGGCTGAAATATGGAGGTAGTCAGATCAGAACTGGTTCATGCCTGATAGACAATATCTAGGGTCATGAAAATTATGGTCTTGGTTAAGCACAATCTGAAACAGACTTGTCAACCTCTGGACACTCAATATTCAGAGATCAGTGCAAGAAATCAGGAGATTTACAAATAATCGATCCATGTTGCATTTTATTTCTATACCATTATGCATGTATATTTACATTACAGTATATATATATATATATATATATATATATATATATATATATATATATATATATATATATATATGTGTGTGTACTTTAATTTCTATTCCATTAACTGTCATTTTATCACTGCCATCATATTATTTATTCCATTAATTCTCACTTTATCACTACCATCATATAATTTATTCCATTAACCCTTGTCAGTGGGTATGCGACAGAGAGCCTGGCAAAGAAATAAAATGAAATGAAATGAGGTTTAACGTCCTACTGTTCTGCTCCGAACTGGGCACTACAGCCTAGTCTTATATCGAATTCCAACTGTCAAGTGATCTTTTACGTGTATGCCAATGTGTACACAGGACCTCGGTTTTCCGTCCCATCCAAATGACTATATACAGCTGTCCTTGTCAGGCCCTCCGTCCTGCATCACTGACATGGGGGAACCACGCCGGAAAATCTGGATGAACTTTCTCTGCAGGGATCGAACACCCAACCTCCAGACTAGCGAGCCAATGTCTTACCCACTTTGCCACCGTGATCCCCCACCTGGCAAAGAGAGAGAGAGAGAGAGAAATGGGGTTTAACGTCCACTCGACAGGTCATTTCGGGACTAACATATAGTTGAATTTTATACCTGGCAAAGACATTGTCTAGTCGTTCAGATGTGACAAAGAACTAAGTCCCATTTACATGTACACTGGTGTGCCCATAAAAGAACCAGTGAAGTTTTAATTCAAAATAAATGTAGCCTTTAAACTCCATTTCATTTCATTTTCACACCACAATGCTGACTGTCGGTATCCCTCCATTCCCATCTGATCAATCGTTTTCTGTCAACTTTTAATTTTGGGTCTCCCGAATCGGAGGCCTCGCTTCAGCCCAGCCAGCACACCCCTTAATCTGCCGGTAGTAGTCAAAACATATTCAAAACCTGTAACATTTAGTTTTAAGTAGGTCTAATAAGTCATAGATGGGGTTTTGTCAAATCCCCTAATTACCCCCACAAGCATGACAGATATCCGTATTAGCTCTGAAATCACTGCCAACAAAAATCTGCAGAATTAGTTTTAATTAATCCAAGTATACATTTTTAAACTATCTTAAATACCATAGAGAACTCTGCCTATAAATTCAACATTAGAATGGAAAGATGAGTCCACAAAACATGTTCAAAACTTGTGATATCTAATAGATCTACATCAATAAATTCTGAATTTAAATAGTGTTCCACCTCATTCCCTAGTGAATAATTCTACTTTGTTTTAATAAAATTCCACTTTGAAGTTTGCAATAGTTTGCATTTTCAAGTCAAAGCGTGAACGGAAAGATAACTATTCAAAACAAGTTTGAAATTTATGCTAAATATTTTGAAATCCATTATGGCTGAAATATCAATATACTTAACATATTTAATATAAAACAAACACATCCGAGATAGTATCTAAAACATCCTTGTGCAACATATTTGTCACAGGTTGTAGCCATATTTAGATTGCAAAATTACATTAATTCACTAAATTAAAGATCATTAAACAAAAACAAGTGGTCTGGATCCAAAGATCATTCGTAGAACAGTCGCATCTCAAAGACACAGACAAACTTTCTACCGTGTTAGAATAAGAAAACAAAAAATCTAACAGGAATAAAGATAGGTTGCCATGCAATGAAACATACGCCCACAGCAGCTAAATCGTCCGAGCAGTCGAAAAGGGTTGTTGCATATTCTTTTGTAGGTAATTTGGTGCATTTACAAGACATTTCATACAGATCAGATTATAATTTTCATTGTTTGAGGGTTCACAAAAAAATGTTCTACAAACTGAAACAAGGGCCTTAACTCTGGAAGTAATTTACAGAAATTGTTGAAATTTGACAGGCATTTTCATTTTACTAATTTAAATAATGCATATAAATTTCATACAGATTGGATAACTTTTGTCATTCGAATGTTCACAAGGTTCACAAAGTCAAACAAGAGCCATAAATCTAGAAGCAATTGACGGAAATTGTTGAAATTAAATAGACTTCTTCATTTCACTAATTTAAATGATGCATATAAATTTCATACAGATCGAATGATAACATTTGTCGGTCGAACATTGACAAGGTTGAACAATGTGAAACAAGGGACATAACTCTAGATGTAATTAACGGAAATTGCTGAAATTCAATAGGCTTCATCGTTTCACTAATCTAAATGATGCATATAAATTTCGTACAGATCGGATGATAACTTTTAGCATTAGAGCGTTCACAAGGTTCAACAAAGTAAAACAAGGGCCATAACTCTAGATGTAATAAACAAAAATGCTGATTCTTCCTTTTACTAATTTAAATGACCCATATAAATTTCATACTGATCGGCAGATAAATCAGATAATCTAAATAATGCATCTAAATTTCACAAAAATCGGATGATAACTTTTGCCGTTAAGAGCATTCACAAGAAATTGTGGATGACGGATGGATGGACGGGCCGACCGACTGACCGTACGACCAACCAACGGGGTGACAGCAATATATGTCCACATTTCCATGTGGGCGTATAAAACCCCAATGAAGTTTTAAATGCATACATGTATGCACAAACACCATCAAGTTACTGTCATACATTTCAATATGTAATATTAAAGATAATATAAGAGATAAGGTGGCTATAAAGACCTGGTTATCCCGAATATCAGTGACTAGTTCGTATTGAACTCTTCAGACTGATTGGACTCACGTGTTGGGCGTTTTTATTTATTCTATTCCGAAACCCCAGTGGGGTTTCTATGGTTACTAATTGGCAGGGTTTTTCTCTCAGCTACGAGAGATACGTAGAATCAAACCGGTCCAGAGCCGATCGTGTTTATAAGAATCTGCTTATTTGACATTGACATATAACCGAAGGTGAATAGGCCTACTCGTCCAGTTAACACAACGGACAATCTCACATCGGTCCACATAAGAGAGACACATATTAGTCGCCTCCAACTTCCGATTTCCAAGGCATTATAGTCTAAACCTTGACTCTCATACCAATAAACCATTTGGTACTTATATTTCGTACCTATTTTATATTAAACCCCTTGGGCGCCATGTTGAATCACATAGTATTTAACGTTCTAAAACCTAACTACTTCATGGAATCAACGAGATTTTTATTTTTGTATCATAATATTAAAGATACATTAAGGGAGATTAGATAACGAGCTGGCAGTTCTCACTATAATAGTTAAAAGCTAGATAATGTAAAGGGAATTTGCTGAAAATTTCAGTCAACTTGATCCACTCTGAACTGAGAATTTAGCGATTGAATTTTGGGCCTAGCCTCGATCATCGTTACAAAAGTCGGTACGATAAAAACATAGTCTTGATTATCCATTTTTTGATTTAATCAGCAGCAGATCAGGTTCTAATCCAGTAAATATCGCAAACTAGCAATGACATCGAGAGTTGATTATGGTCTGGATAAGTTAATTAACGTCTAATTAATAATTTAGATAACATTTCAGGCCTAAAGAAAGACCTGCAATATGTATGTTTAAAGTTTACCTATGATCATCAGTCTGGACAAGTCTACATCTGTT